TGCACGATTAATGGCCGCCAGCCGCCATTTAATGGCCGCCCACCTTATATTAATACCGCTTATCAGTCAGGCCAAAATGGCCGCCCATTGATGCCCCGCCCTATATCTCTAGTTCACTAACGCTTATCAGTATTAATGGGTGCCCACCATGGTGCAATAGCTAATATCTATCAACCATTAATGACCGCTCATTTTGGATCCTTTAATCCGCCCCACCCACCTTATATCTCTAGTTCGGATTTTAACTACCGCTTATCAGTAGAGGGCGCCAAAAATGGCCGCCTATAGATGCCCCGCCCTCTCCTTATCTCCTAAGGGGGCGTGACCAACAAGAACTGCTGACGTCACGAAGCTGTCTGACCCATTTCCGGTCCAGAACCCGCTTTGTATATCTACTTAGAAAAAAGACAGAGGCATGTCTGGCGAATATGGAGGCTGGGGCATCATTACAGTATTGTTTTTGGCCAAAAGTTTTGTTCAAAATTTAACAATTTTAGAACAAATTTTTCTGCCACGCGTTTCATACCCAAAACATTCGAAAAAATTTCATGGGATGAGCCAATCGATATACCAACATCATCAGCGACTTCTCTGATGGTTTATAACCGTTTCTTCCACTTTTTCCATGTTTTTATCGGTTGTTAATGTGCTTGTGCGTTCGTCATCTTCAACGTCTTCAAGGCCATCTTGGAAACTCTTATACCACTTCTATGGGTAAAAGGCATAAGGGGATAAGTCAAAAAAAGCAATTTTTCATTAGAAACTTAAACGTGTTCGCATTAATTCAGGAAATATATTTATTGTTAGCGAGTATACCCTTTTTGCTAGCATATGACATGTGCTGGCAAAAGGGTATACCCGCTAAACATAAATGTATTTCCTAAATTAATGCGAACACCTTTAAGGCACTGTTAAAAAATTTATTTTTTTGACTTATCCCCTTATGCCTTTTACCCACAGACTTGTAAACTTATAGCAGACTCACTATGGGCAAAGACATTTCACAGAATTTATATCATTTTTTAAGCAAAATTGGATACAAATTCTTTGATCCATTTCTTTTAATGAACGAAAAATCGCCGAGCTCATAAAACACGTCTAACCTTAGCGGCTGCCACAGACAAAGTAAACAATGAAAACTACACTGAAAGAAATGAGCTAACAAAACACTTTAACAAATACTTGTTTAATTGTGATAATAATACATATGATTGTAACAATAATACATTTATATACTATTATAACAATGTTATCACTGTCATTGTTAAACACGGATTCTTAAAACGTTTTTATTGTGGTTATTGTGGCTAAATACCTAAACCAATTAAAGGATTATTAGGACAATTACATTGATTAAATATGGTTATTAAATTGTTTTATTACTATTTTTATTATTACCATTATTAAACCGTTTATATGCAAATATTAATGATTATTAAAGACTTTAATTACTATTATTAAAATATTTTAAGAACGATCATTTTCGGCATCAATTCGCCCGCTCGCGTTATAGTTTCGCGGTACTTTTGGCAAACGACGCAACGTGATAGCGAGGAGTGGTCGATGGTGATAAATGCTAATAGAAACTTTTTATAGTGCAATGGAAATGGAGAAAATTCAGTGCTTTTAAAAAAAAATAGGTTTGGAGGCTTATTATTATTTTAATAAACATTCTTATTTATTTAAATAAACATTTTGTTGTTTTGTTAAATACTTTCATATGGTTTTAAAACCATGAAGTTCTTATATATTTTAATAAACATTTTTGATCTCATACAGTGTTTTACTATTGTATATACATATATACACACATTTTTATTAAGATTTTTATTATTAATATTTTATTATTTTTTTAGGGGGATTGGTTAAAATAAATAAAAAAAATCATACAGGACAAGTTAGCTCTAAATATTAATTATAACCTAATTAATTATAACCTAGCCCCCACACCAGTTTAAGTTTTCAATAGAAAAATGCATGTATTTTTAAAATCAAACTGAAAATTTATAACTTTGGTAATAATAATTATTGATAAAAATATTTAAAATTAGGCACAATTTAGTCACTTACTTACCTACATAATGTAAAAGAGGATGCATTGAAAAAAATTCAAGAAATGTTTTTTCAATGCAACCTTTTATACATTATAATATAATGTAATTACATTTTATAAATAACATTTCTGCCAAATTTAAATTTTTTCATAAATTATTACCAAAGTTATAAATTTTAATTTAAAAAAATACATGCATTTTTTTATTGAAAGGTTTGACTGCGAGGTGGCCAGGTTAAAATTAATATTGAGAGCTGAAACTTGGCATAATTTTTTTTTATATTTAACCGATTAGAACCACCCAAAAAAAAATCAAAAAATAGTAGTTTAAATTTAAGCGGGAAGAACAATGAAAAAAAAATGCTAAGGTTATGAAATAGCTTTATTACGGTAAGTACACAATTATTATTACAGCTCTAAGAGAGTTGTATTATAATAGTTAATCTTTAAATGACATAATAGCCATAATTAAACTGCTTCACTGGTAGCACAAAATAACTTGGTGATAATAATTAAACTGTTTAACAGTAATAATGATATTTCTTAAATAACTGTAGTTAATAGTTTTGAATATGTTTATAGATTGAATAACCATTGTTAAAGTGTTTTAAGACAACAGGTATTATAACCATAACTAAGCTGATAGACTGTCCCAAATAGTATACAACTTTTTAATAACTATTATTAAATATTTTATTACCAGCTTTAAACATTTCTTTCAGTGTAAAGTTTTTATCATACTTCGGGGGCATGTATACCAACATAATAAAGAAAATTTTATAACAACCGGACCCTCCGAACCCGCGTAATTTAACAATTCCCGTTATTTTCTGAACACTCCTCGTATGTTTAGACCTTTCTATCAACATTCTAAAGACTATTTGATAAGTCATTAATAAAGTGTCCAAGTTGTCCAAGATATAAATAACAATTGGTGGAAAGGAAACGTGACTCCAATATCTTGGACACTTTATTAATGACTTATCAAATAGTCTTTAGAATATTTTAGAATGTTGTTTATAGAATAAGAGGCACTTATCTGCTGGTTTGATTTATTTTAAAAAGGTTTTTAAAATAAATCAAACCAGCAGAGAAGTGCCTCTTATTCTATAAACAACATTCTAAAATATAGGTAAACGATAAGTAATAGTTATTTGTTTTACAAGTGTTGAAAAGCGACTTTTTTATGCAAGTGTTTAAGTTTCTCACGAGGCCGTTAGGCAGAGTGTGCATCAACACGAGCTTGAAGAAAGCTTTTCTCACATGTGAAACAATATTTTTTCTACGACCCTTTTATTTTTTATTATTTTCAAATACAAAACAAAGTAACCTAAAAACGTGTTTGACAGCTGTTAAAATTACTTTCATCTTATTCTTTAAATTTTTAAGCTATAAGTTACTTAAAATCAATAAACTTACCTTCTCAATTTAAATAAAGGCACTAAAAATTAGAATTTAGTATACAAACACAATTAACTGTGTTCTAAATGATATTGAGACAAACATATACAAATACAATTCAAATTTTGAAACGAATGTCAAACGATGCTGTCAATTTCTTTTCGCACAGACCTGTCACTTTTCACACAGAAATGTCACTTTTCATTTGTGTTTTGCCTTGCCAATGAAAAGATTCATTTTCTAAGCAACAATGCCATTACGAAATGTGACTTTTACATAGTGGTCGTAGAAAAAATAAATTCAGCATGCATTCAGGTGCATCGCGATTGTACGCCAATCTTTTCCCTAGCCGGATTTATCCGCACCCTTGGGCAATTTTAAATGCTGTTCAAAGGGCTAGGGAAACTGGTAGTTTACAGGAGTATCATGGAGGATGAATGAGACACCCTAGAAATGTTTAATGGGAGGAACACATTCTGGATTTAATTCATAAGGATCCAACGACAAGCCCTAGTGTAATCACTTCCCGGGTTCAAGTTAGTCGAGGAAGGTTGTAAAACCACGTTTAAAGGGTTCAAGCTTTCTACGCAGAGTTGTTTTTGCCAATAATAATAACTTTTTAGGATGGATTTTGGGGGTGAATGAAGCCATGTTTACCCGCAAAGGAATTAATGATTTTCGCAACAAACAACTTTCACTAATTTTCAAGATCGTTGTTCCGTCAATGTGTGTTCATGCATTTATTTTAATTTATTATTTATTTAATTTATTTTACCAAACCGCAACCAAAATTCTGATGATACAACCCAAGTAGCATTTTAAGTAAAATAGTCGAGATTTGCGGATTTATTACTTAATTAAAGTAATTAAATTGTTAAATTAACCTTAAAAACTGTGATTAAGTACTGTAGCGAGTACGGCTATGGATCTGGTTATTATGACTTATCGCCGATAAGTCATCGCTGGTGAGTCAGCGCTCTAGCGATCGAGAGCTTTGTGGAGCTCGCTGGAATATTCGGGAACGTAGGCACTAAATATATAAGGAACGACGCATCATGGAGAGTTAGTTAAGTTTTGATACTCGCGACGAAATAAAATAAATATAGTAAATAAATAAACTCTTAAATAGTAGTGATATATAAATAATTAGTTGTTAAGTGTTTAATTAGTTTTATAGTTTCTTAGTTTCTAGTGTTTTAAGTGTAATTTAGTTATAAAAATAAATCGTTTAGTTTGTTAATAAACCAGTGCGTGTTTTAATTCACACTAGGAACAGTAAAAACGTTACAGTACAAATGATACAATTGTTTAAACTAGACCACTGAAACATTACGGACCTACGGAATAAAATTAAATAAAATTCAATATTTAATAATGTTTACAAACAAGAAATCAGTTCGAATATTTCTGGTTAATTTTATTAAATAAAGTACCAAAATTTTACATTAGGTCATTCCTTATTACAGAAAATACATTTTTGATTATTTTTTTTTTACAAAATCGTATTTTTCATTTGACATACCGACATTCTATGGTTATAGTTAAATATGCACATTTTATTAAATATGGTTATGGGCATAAAACTACATTATTGTACGAGTATACTAATGAACTACATAAACCGAGCTTCCATTGTAGCATATGTCTTCCAATTTGGAAATTCTAGGGTATAAAGCTTGTAATCGTCAGCCACCCAAACCGTTCCCGTTTGGGCGTACTTGATCAGGTGTATTACGGAAACCTTAAGCGGTTCCGTAGTCTGTGTGGGCTGTGACTTCAAAAACACCTCCAAATCGCTCGACATGCCTTTCGTCAACTGTCTCTTCTCGGCCTCCATGATGAATTTGGTTTTTGTTATGCCAAGGCACAGACAGGTGACGCGTATTTTGGATTTGCACGTGTTGTCTTTGTGGCCAAAACACCTTGAAGCTGACACGATTCCAGAAAAACTGGCTGATAATATGGGGGAGTGGGAAATCCCTTCGAAACCGGAACCGGAAACGTTGATTATGATGCCGTTTGGGTTCATGAAAAAGGTGGCAAAAATGTTTGTTGTGATTATACCAAACTAAAATAAAATTATATATATATCTACTGTTATTTTTCCTATTCTAAAATGTGTGATTTTTTAGACATTCCTAAAACGAATCTCACAGTGATTCTCGTTTAAATTTAGATACAGGGTGTCCCAGAACTCGCGCCACAGAGTAGAGCTCTCGCGTAGGTTAAACGTAGGAGTTTTAAAATTTGCTACGAGACGATAAAACTTTGTTGTCTTAAAATTTTTTGTCCGACTGTGTTTACTAACCTTTAAAAAAGGAATGTCATACTTCAGGACGAAAATGTTTTAAAGAAAAAAATTAAACAACTAGTTCTGCACCCCAGAACCAAAATCTCTAGCAACCACTACATAATTCCACTCTAGCGGTATTATCTTCCGGCTGCAGGTGCTTTACTCGCGTGCAACTTCCATTATGCTCTTCCTAGCAGGTTCGTTTTTGGTTTCGATATCTAGGTGTGTTCCTGTGTTTACCTTGAACCAAGTATATCTTCTTGTATTTATCCTACCGACAGCGCCATGTCGTATATTCGTGTGTTATTAAAACTCCAGGTACACTTGTAACATTTATATTTATAATAACTTGTAACTGAACATCACGAATACAGCGGGAAACTTTAATACTGACAGCTGCTTGTACAACCAAGGTTCTTGATTATTGTTATGCCTATAGGCATATATGCATATACAACAGCGCCCATACTCCCCATAAATAATCATTATTTCGACATAATAAGAGCCCACTTAGCAAGAAATGTAACAGAAACACTAAAAACGTTTTCATACTGTTATATTTTGTTCCTGTGTTTACCTTGAACCAAGTATATCTTCTTGTATTTATCCTACCGACAGCGCCATGTCGTATATTCGTGTGTTATTAAAACTCCAGGTACACTTGTAACATTTATATTTATAATAACTTGTAACTGAACATCACGAATACAGCGGGAAACTTTAATACTGACAGCTGCTTGTACAACCAAGGTTCTTGATTATTGTTATGCCTATAGGCATATATGCATATACAACAGCGCCCATACTCCCCATAAATAATCATTATTTCGACATAATAAGAGCCCACTTAGCAAGAAATGTAACAGAAACACTAAAAACGTTTTCATACTGTTATATTTTAAACACTCAAATTTAAACGTTCCTGTTTTGTATTCTGAACGTAAGCATAATCATGCCAACAAGCTATACAATACATAAACGTTACTGTATCGTTTTACCTTTACCCTAACACATTTACGTTGTGATGACTCTAATTTTACAACGTTAGTGTATTGTTAATATATCTACGTTAATGAAACGGTATATATGATAATTGTTAATCCTTAAACGTATATGCAACGCTTATTTATCAGCGTTATTGAATTGTTAATAAATTTACATTAACTAAACGGTACATAATGACTGTTGATTCCCAAACGAAAATATAACGTTACCCTGCTGTTTATTAAGAACGTTTCTAGAAGGTTTATAAATGTACATTTATTAAACGTTACATATTGATTGTTTATAGTCAAGTGAAAATTAAGAAGCTAAAAAACCAAGCCAATATGGCTGTTTGGCGTCACACGTGTTGGGCGTTTGTTTGTTTGTTCTTATTATTCACGGTTATTATTATTTAAACAGCACGCTTTTGCTTGGACAATGGAACAAAATAGAAAAAACATTGAGGTGAGTACCATTTACTCTTTTATAATTGCTTAGGGATATTCCATTGCCAAACATTAATGTAAATCATACTTACAAAAATCATTAAAATTTGTGCACCTATAGGTGCACAAATTTTAATGCTTTGTCGATCCTATTTTGCTAAAACAAAAATTCTTCGATTTTTTTTTCTAAAATATTATATTTTGAAACAATTATTATTAGAAATATGTAAATGAAAACCACACTGTTAGGAGTTTCCAAGGTCAAATGATGGACTGTCTGACCTGAGCTCATCTCCAAGTGCAAAAAGGTAATACTTTAGAGAAATTTTATGAATATTACTGAAGTTTTTATAATTTCAGAGGCAAATCCAATAGAAGGCAATCTAGCTGAGGCAAATAAATCCAGTTGATGCATACAGAAAAGGTTGCAATTGAAAAAAATGCCGTTGAATAAATGACCATGAATGACTAGAGAATAAAGAAACCAAAGAATTTTTGTTTAGTTTTGTTAAAATATTTAATAAATTTTGTGTAATTTTAAGTGAAACATTTTTATTTCATAAATTACATTATTACCGCAGTGGCGGCTGGTGGATTTTGCATATACCATATCTTAGTTATTAGACACCAAATATAGTTTTTGCTCTGCCTACCCTGCAGCCTGCCCCCCCTAATAAAGATAATAAAAATTTAAATAGTGCAATTTATAATTTACCAGTTTATTAACCAATCTCAAAATATATTTAAAAAAACCAAGTATTACATATTTTATTCCATATTATTTTTTTATTATTTTAGGAAAAGAAATACAAATTTAAAATGGTATACAATCTGTAATATTTGGATTTTGATTTGAAATTTGTTGACAAACTATGGTAAATTATAAATTGCACTGGCCCTAATAAAGATAATACAAATTTAAGTATACTTAAATTTGTATTATCTTTATTAGGGCCAGGCTGCAGGGTAAGCGGAGCAAAAACTATTTTTTTTTTCGCAAACTTATATTTGAATTCTGCTTGTGCAGAACTTGTTAATTTAGTGTCATTATAAACTCATATAAATTTGGTGTGGGTACCATGTCTAATAACTAAGATATTGGTATAAGCAAAATCCAGCAGCCGCCACTGTTATGCCAACGTTAAATCGATGCTGCCCGGCAGTGGCGGCTCGTGGGTGTACAGGAGGGTGAGGCTACATAAAGTTAATTTTGTCTAAATACGAATAAATTTCCACGTCACCCGGGAGGTATTATTCTGCGACGCGTTGACCTTTTTTAAAATGGAGCCGATAGCCCTACTAAACCAAAAAATAAACTCTAAAAAACAAAACAAACAAAATATCAGATCAAAGACTAGTTTTAATCTTAAACTTAAAAATATAGTCTTAAAAAAGTTAAAAATAAATAAATTAATCAAAAAATAAAAATAAAACTAAAAAGTCGACCCCTACCTAAGTATTAAAAAATATAAAATACTATACGTCTATCTTTTAAGATTGCAAATTTATCTATTATTTGGTCGTAAAATTGTGGGTCTGCAGTGAGATTTAAAAGAAATTCTAAATTTTCAAACCGCGTCTCTAATTGAAGAATTATGCAATCTATTATTTCAAATTATAAAATTTGCTCAATAAAAAATGTTAAATCTACCTTAGTGTGTTCCCTACAATAATTAAATTTACTAATCGAGACAAAAACTATAAAAGATCAGCCAAAAGTTTTAAATAATTTAATCTGAATCAAAACAATAACGTGCTCTACAAACGCTAAGAGAAGACTAGCAACCTTCTTTGTCTCTGCTGGCATCCCACCATAAACGGACCCCCACAAGCGATTATCATCGGTCATGTGATAAAACCACCAATCAGAACAAGCCAAGCTAACTAAATTTCGCCTCATCTACGGTGTTTATTCGCGAACTTACGGCGATATTTTTGTTGGTGAGTCATTTTCGCTTTCAAGAGGTAAATGGGAGCTTCGCCTCTGTCCAAGCGACTCTCAACGATGCACGTTAACTTGACGCGCTTTGCGCCTGGATTTTTATGTACGCTTAGTATGATTGATTGGTTTTTTACTTTTTATTGGGTAGAAATGTTGTAAAAATACACTTGTAATAGGCAAAAATATAAATACAAAAAGTCGTTCGTTCCTTCATTTTAAGGGTGAGGCGCGGCCTCAGAGGCCTACCCTGACGAGCCGCCACTGCTGCCCGGTACCACCATATGTAACACCACAACCGGTACGTTACATAAGCGTTTTAAAAATACCGCCACAATGTTACGTTGCAGAAGGCGGACATTAACTGTAACTATGACGATGCCGTTACGTTTATGTTACCTTCATGGACACGTTACAGTAATAAAACGTTTAAGCACAGATCCTTGCCAAGTGGAGATAAGATTAATCCTTTGCGTCATACCTATAATTTTAATTTTCAAGTATGCGTTACGTATAACTTTCGGCACGTTCCCTTTTTATGTGTCGCGAGTTTTGGGACACCCTGTTTAATTCATAAACTATAAAAATAAAAAAAGAATTTAATATCTAAATAGGTCCTACCAAGTTTGATTCTATTTGACCCTCCCAATCCTTTTCATTCCAATAGCCAGCTGCATTAACTAGTATATCAAAGTTACCATATTCTCTTGAAACTGTCTTAAAGGCATCTAAAAGTCCAATATAGGCTTTTCAAGAACTGATATAATTAAAATAACATTACTCGAATAGTTTGAATATTTGAAAATTTAAATTTTCCAACAATAATCGGTCAAACTAATTAAATAATAATACTTAATAAATATTTAAAATTTTTAGGATACTTTTTTTTAATTCGCATTGACATAAATTTAATTTTTTTTTAACTTTTTTACAAAATCTCTTCACAAACCTTTTACACAGTTTGGTAGGCTAACATCGCATTTCAAAAAAACTACTTTATCGCAACCATGAACGCAAGTAAGTTCATTAATAGCTTTTAGTCCGATATCGGGATTTAAATCGAGAAGTGCAACTTTTTGAACATTATTTTTTAGCAGTTCGCTTGCAATTGAAACTCCTATGTCGCCAGTTCCTCCAGTTACTACTGCTATTTTATTGGTTGGGTCCAAAAGTACTGGTTCGCTGCAACAATATTGATGTTGCAGAATTTGTAAATTTTTGTTGTTTTGGTTTTACCTTTGGGGTTTTTTGGAGCAAAATAATCTTGGTAATGTAAGCAAAACTTTTTGGAAACTAGAAATGTTGAGATTGTTGTATCTTGGTTTAAAAATAATATTTTTACACATAATATTCATTTTAAAGAATTTGTCAAGTACATGTCATTATGTTTTGACATATTTTAAAGAGCATAGAAAAATAAACTAGGGAAAGCTTTTATTAAAATTAAAATAAAAATTATGTATTATTAGCACATTAATTGTATTGTATTGTTATTGTATATATAAATTGTAATAATAATATAAGAAGTAAAATAAATAAAATATATCTACACAATTATTTTTGACACACAAATTTCCGTAGGAATAATAATACTTTGCGTTATTTAGTATCTCGTGTCAAATTCTTGCTCGATAATAAAAGAAAACAATAATTAAAATATTGTGTAAATTATTGTATTTCGAAAACAATAAAAAATCGGATAACAATATATTTTTTTTTCATTGTTAGAATAATGCACCCTGTATAGCAAAAGATCAAATGAGGAGCATCCGTGCAAAACCGGCTATAACCACTTTAATAAAATGTTGGGAAAATGGCAAAAACTCTCGGTTTCCTGGCCTTTACAGATAAAAGAAAAAGCAAACTTGAGTTTTGTGGGCTTTGTGGTACTTGATTTATAAGACATACTTTCGTTTTCAAAAACTTTATATTAAGGCCAAAATTTCAAAAAATGTTTTGTATATAGCCGGTTTTGCTCGAAAACCGAATAAAAAACGAATAAAATGTGAAAAAAAACCTTTATTATTCAAAAATATAACAAAATAAATTTAGTGCAAACATGAAAAAACAGAACAAATTTTAGTAGTAGTGTCGACATATCCAAGCAACCTATTATTATTTATTGGATATAGCCGGGTTTGCTATAAAAACGTGGATTTGGCCGGTTTTGCTCCAAAAGCTACCTTTTAAATGTGATTTTAACATGGATTTAGTCGGATTTAAACTGAATTATCTTGGTTGTCGATAGAAATGAACCCAAAGATGCGAAATCAAAAAAAAACAAAAACTGAATAAAATGGATTTAGCTGGTTTTGCACAGATGCTCCTCAAATATGCTTGATCGATTTTAATCTGCATATAATATTATGGTAGCAAGCACAGTTCTGTGGTAGTAAGTCACATGAAAAAATTTTGCCCTACGATGCCGAAAAAAGTTTTACTTCAAAAAGGTAGGTAGGTATCACTTTATGTAAAGTTAATTTGACTGGCTTTTGTTGCTCTTATTAAAAAACAGGGTACATACGTAAATATATATATTTACAGACGTATACGTATGTATAATTAAAAAACAACTTATTGCCAAATTACGGGCACTCCTTGTGTAAAACATAAAACGTGAGTGAAGAAATACGTATTTTACAAATGAAATAAATGCTTGACCCAGTAAACAAGATATTTGTCATTATATAATATTTATTTTCTTAAGACAGTGTTACAGATAATTTATCAAATATTGTTTGTGCGACCCTTTGAACCGAAGCCGTTACTGTTTAAAATTCAGCGTCATAATAATTTTAAATTTTAACAAAGTAGGTGGTGATTGTATTAAAAAAAAAATGGTTTTTGATATTAACAATAAGGTGGCGCTTGTTACGGGGGGTGCCTCAGGGATCGGATTACGGTATTCCAAGGAATTACTTAGGAATGGAGCAAGAGTAAGCTTATTTTAGTTTTTATTTTACTCATAAAACGAACGTTACAATTGTAATAAAATAACATTTAAAAAAATGAATAAAATTGATTGAGTGTACTCAAAAAAAAATATTTTTTATTTTAGGGAGTTACTTTAGCTGATGTTGACTCAGCTCATGGTAAAAATGCTTTGGAAGAAATCGAAGCGGAATTTGGTCCAAACAAAGTAATTTTTGTTCAAACCGATGTTACCAATAAAGACCAATTTGAAGGTAAATATATTTATGTAATTTTAACACTGGTCTACAAATTCCAAAAAGGACTGGAAATGGTGGTTATGTTTCTCTTAGTAACTAATTTCTAATCTGGCGCCAGAGGTTCGCCACCATCTGCAGATGTGGTTTTTGAGGAATCTAACCCAAAAGTAGAAAAAAAATCTTTATTTATTGTGCGATTTTAACCGGATTTGTTTTAAAGTGTAGATTTTGCAAAACTCTATTTTTGAAACACCATATTTTTACAAGGCCTACGTCAGTTTTTTAGAGTAAATTTTTAAGAACTCATATTGGCGAATTTTTTTTAAATCGGTGCACGGCACTGGATTCACTACCCCTCAAAACAACCCTATACTAAATTGTTTTGAAATTTTTTTAACTAGGCACGATTTTGTAGCTAAATTAAAAATGCACAATAATTAATATTTACAAAAATTTATTCTGTCAAATTATCCATGAAAAAACATGACATAAAATTAAACTAATATAGCATAAGAATATTTATACCATATATGGTATAAATATTCTTATGCTTAGTTCTAACAAATAATCAACGTAATATAAACTTAAAACAAAAATGAAACAAAAAATCTCTATTTCTTCTAATTCCAAAAATTCTTTACAATTAGATTTTCGTCACCTCTACTAATCCACCATTTATTTCAATACACTTTCATATTTTTTTTCGAGTAATGGCTGCGCAGGCTTATATTACCCTAGCTCGTAGTTCTTGTGCAGTAGAGGTGAGAAAAATCTAATTGTAGAGAATTTTTGAATTATCAATTTTTTATTTCATTGTTGTTTTCTATTGCTTTTTTTATTTGTAAAACTATGCATAGAAATATTTATACCATATTACTATTTAGTACTAATAATTGGTTTAATTTTATTTCGATGTATTTTTTAATAAATTTTTGTAAATAGTTATTATTTTTCATTTTTAGTTTGGGTTCAAAATCATTCCTACTTATAGGGTGGTTTTAAGGAGTGGTGAATCCAGTACCATGCATAGATTTTTTTTTAATCGCTAAAATGAATTCTTACAAATTTACTCTCAAAAACTGACATAGCCTTGTATTTTGTTCATTTAACATATGGCGTTTTTTGTTTCAAAACTACAGTTTATCAAGATCTACACTTTAAAACAAATCCGGTTAAAATAGCATAATAAATAAAGATTTAACAGGGGTGAGTCGCAAACAAATGGGTCAAAGTGTATACATACGCGGCTCCGCGTACTATACAAGGTGTCCCTAAACTTATTGGCATAAATTTAGAAAAAGATTGAGCAAGTCAAAATAAGACGAAAACCCAAATAAATATTTTTCCTAATCACTTATGTTTCCACGATACAGGGTGATAGTTAATTATCATACCTATCAGTTTTTTAATATATATATATATAACCTCTACTATGGTAGTCTTGGAAAGGTGATATTTTGCGAACTTACTATAAGTAGTTCACTCAAACAATTATAATTTTAATCCTTTTAAATAATATATATATATATATATATGACAACAAATTTTATTTTTTAATTGAAAAAACTAAAAAGAGCATTCCCTGAGCCTTAGGACTTTTTGCCCTGACCGTCACATTAAAAAAATTGTAGTTTTTTCAATTAAAAAATTTGTTATGATATACCTTCCAATCCTTTAATGAGATAAAACAATTATTGAAATCTCGAATATCTCGGAAACGGTTTATTTTATCGAAGTTTGAGAGGTTCACCTTTTTAATAGTAGCCAAACTGAGTAATCGAAAAATTGCACCAAATGGTTTAAAAACCTACCTCAAAGTTTGTATGGGACAATAAGCTTAAGTAACCCCTGTTTCTACGACGCTTTGTTCACTCGAACAATAATTGTTCGAGTGATACAATTATATTATTATTTATTTATTATTATTATTATTGTAATTATGTTTGAGTATGTGTTTTGGTAGTAAGTAACTGTTCGTAAAATATCACCTTTCCAAGTCTACCACAGTAGAAGTTATATTAAAAAACTGATATGATAAGTAACACTTTATCACTCTATCTTTTAAACATACGTAATTAGGAAAAATATTTATTTAGATTTTCGTCTTATTTTGACTTGCTTAATCTGCTCCTAAATTTATGCCACTAAGTTTAGGGACACCTTGTATATACGTATATGGCATGCGGAGCCCGCGGGTTTAACTGTTAAACTTTAACAGCTACGTAGCTATACCTAGAGAGCATTATATTTACTTGTTGCCATATTTTACAGATGCATTCAAAAAAACCATTGAAACTTTTAAAAATGTGGACATTCTTTTTAATAATGCGGGTATTTTAAACGATGCTATTTGGGAAAAGGAAGTAGCTATAAATGTGGTAAGTAAACCCTCATATACTTTTTTTACAACCAAATTGAATTTTTGTTTTATTCCAGAATGGCACAATAAACGGAATACTTCTCGCGCAGGACAATTACATCGCCAAATATAAATCCGGTGAGGAAGGGGCAATAATTAATATTTCATCCATTGCTGGAGTCGACAAATTTCCTGTCATACCAATTTACACCGCAACCAAGTTTGCCGTTCATGGATTGACGATTTCGTTTGGCGACGAATATCACTACAAACGCAACAAAGTCAAAATTATTGGAGTTTGTCCTGGAGTCACTCACACCCCATTGATCACCCAAATAAGCGGGAGGAATTTAGGGCCGGATTATGAACCTTTGCTGCAGGATCTACTGACAAGCTTGCCAATACAAAGGTTTGTTTATACAATTTTTATATTTTAAAAGCTATAATTATAGCCTATGCTTAATCTAAATTTTTTATATTGATGATATTTGTATGCTACAGTTCTGTGATTTTTTAATGTTTTGTTATAATTTATAACTTGTTTATGGTTAATTAAAAATAATGACTGTCATCTACTTCTACATTGACGATCGAGCTGTAACTTCATGGCGTTAGCTGTATTATAAATTGGGGAAAAGGGGGGTTAAATCCGTTGACATTTGACAGATATCTGACAGATATATGTCGAATGTTGAACAAATAAAGCTGGCTTTAAATTCTTCTTTGTGTTCGTCGTAGATAAAGTATATACATTAGGGTGCTTCATTTGAAACGAAAAATTTTTTTTCTTGCTGACACATGAACATTTTGTTTTTTAGGTTGAAAAAAAAATTCCCTCAAAATTTGAGCCCTTAATTTTGATGCAGGAAATTATGGTGATAAAAATTATAATTCAAAACCCGGCCAAAATATAGAAATTTAAAGTAAAAATGATTAAAAATACCTACATGCTTTTTATATGGAAAAACTACAAAATTAAAAAGGAAGTACTTAGAATCAAAATTAAGGGCTCAAATTTTCAGGGAATTTTTTTTTCAACCTAAAAAACAAAATTTTCATGTATCAGCAAGAAAAAAAAAATTTCGTTTTAAAATCTTTTTTGTGCGATTTTAACCGGATTTGTTTTAAAGTGTAGATCTTGATAAACTTTATTTTTGAAGCAAAAACGCCATATTTTTACAAAATACAAGGCCTACTCAGGGTTGCCAGACATCCCGATTTAGGCGGGACTGTCCCGATTTTTATCGTTGTGTCCCGATTGTCCCGCCCTCCAATTTGCACGTCGAAAATCACGATTTTTAAATATCTTTCAAAATTGCGAACGAAAAAAGGAAAATTTTATGGCATTTAAAAAACTTGATACCTATACTATTAACTGTAAAAAAAATTATAAATACTTAAATCATAATTTAGGTAGATATGTATGTACAAGAAAGGTTCCACCGAATAAAAAATAATTATCGACTGATTTTTTGTTTGTTTGATTTTAGCCCAGAGCAATGCGCTGATGGGGTAATAAAGGCTTTAAAGATTGCACCAAGTGGTACAATGTGGGTGGTAGAAGCTGGCAATCCCCCTTATGAATATGTACTTCCAAACAGAGAAACTTTTAATAAATAAATTGTATAATTGTATATTATTTGTTTTTTCTACTCCCACCTTTAAAACGCCCTTTATCGTACATGTTTACATGACACTAAGTGACCTTTTAAATACACACTGACAAGTTGTGGCTTTACGGCGCTTTAGTCACTAAAGTAAGCAACAGGTTTTTAGTCACGGGCTGAAGTTAGTTTTAAGTTAGTTGACAGTTGTCAAATGTCATATAATCGTTAAAATAAAGTGCCTTTCTTGTAAAATAATACTAAATGTGAAAATTATTTTATTATCTCAATACAAAAATACAAATATAATATTAAATAGTTTCTCAACGCCAATATTTGAAAAGTTTATATGAACATTGTACTGACCTTATAATTTCGCCGGCAGTAAACTATAACTTAAACTCGGTGCTCATAAACATTTTCTTTACTTTCACTGTGAAAAACTGTCAATTTTCAAGATACATTTCTATTTATAACCTTTATAATTGTGTTTATAAAATGTAAAAATGTGACATTTGACAGTTTCTCCTGTTGTTTCATAGATAGCGCTCTATACAAATTTTTGATTTAAATCATTTTATCTACTCCTACATTGACGAGCTGTAACTTTTTGGCGTTTTATTGACGGGCTGAAGTTAACAACAGTGGCTTTTCGACATTTTACGTCACGGGCTGAAGTTAGCTTTATTATAAATAGGGAAAAAGTGAGGTTAAATTCGGGTGACAGTTGACAGATGTCAAAATTTTAACAAATAAAATTGGCTTTAAATTCTGTTTTGTGTTCGTTGTAGATAAAGTATAGTATGCAACTCGTTTATAAACTTCTCTAGACACTCGTTTTTATTAAACACTCGCTCGCAAGCTTCGCTCGTGCTTAATTAAACTAAAATGTCATTTATAATTCTTGATACATATATATATACTATTATCTACTCCTAAGCTTTATTATAATTTGCGAAAAAGTGAGGTTAAATTTGTTAAATGTCACATTTTATGAAATAAAATTGTCTTTAAATTCTTATTTCTGTTCGTCGTAGATAAAGTATAGTTTGCAACTCGTTTTATAAACTTCTCTAGACACTCGTCTTAATTAAACACTCGCTCGCAAGCTTCGCTCGTGCCTAATAAAACTCGTAACTAAAATGGCGTTTATAAATCTTGATACATAATATACTATTAAGATAATAATAAGTATTTGTCGTAGAAAAAGTATAGTATGCACCTTGTTTATAAACTTTTCTATACACTCATTAACTTAAGCACTCGCTCGCAAGCTCGCTCGTGCCTAAATTAAATTCGTGTATAAAATGGCGTTTATCAAACTTGACTTGTATCAAGTTATATTAATATACTATTATTTTCTAATATTCTTTTCCCTAACAATAGTAGTTTTTTCGCGTAAATACCATGAAATACTATGGTTATTAAACTTAACTTTGGTTAATAGTTAAGGCATTTTTGCGTTTAGAGTGCGTTCAAAAATCCTAACTATGACGTCACAAATACCAGACCATAAAACTATAGTAAATTTAAAAGTAAACTACGTACACGTCATCAATCAGCTGATCGGGCACGGTTGTCAATGTGATGCTAAAATCCTTGCATCAAGGGAAAGTGGTAGTGCAACTACAGGGCGATAGATGGCGTTTACATGAATAATACCAAAATGTCAAAAGTCAGAGTTTTTATAACCTATATGATGCACCGCCAAAAGTATGTTTTTAGCCATTTTTAAAGACATTTTCTGATATAAAACCCAAAAATTTTGCCATCTAAAGTCAGTCTCTGGTATATATATTATTATTTCATGTATCCAACATATATTTTGTTAAATATTCTAATATATAATTAATATTAATCCTATTTACCTCTCTAACAGCTGTTAAAGGTAACAAAGGTCCATTATTATCCCGTTCTGCCTCAAAATAGCGTATTAAGGATGACACCAACTCTTGACTCCGACTATTTAAATGCTTCAGCATTTTAAATATAGGAAACACAAAAAAACGATATATAACAAACACAAAAACGGCAATGAAAACTTAAACGATATAAAATAACACAAACAACAAACAAAATAAACGAAATAATACACGAATTAAACGAAATATTCAAAAACACAACTGACAGCTTCGAAATTTTAAAACGTCAAATTCTTTTTTATGTGTCATTTAAATATGAAAAATTTGAATGTAAACATGACAACATCACAATTGTTGCCAACTTAATTTGGTTAAAATGTATTCAAATATTCAATTACAGACTTCGATTTAGTCATTTAGTGTTGGTACCAATGCGTAAAATTTTTGTTTTATTGATGACGTGTACGTAGTTTACTTTTAAATTTACTATATATCGCTGAGCTATAGTAAATTTAAAAGTAAACTACGTACACGTCATCAATAAAACAAAAATTTTACGCATTGGTACCAACACTAAATGACTAAATCGAAGTCTGTAATTGAATATTTGAATGCATTTTAACCAAATTAAGTTGGCAACAATTGTGATGTTGTCATGTTTACATTCTAATTTTTCATATTTAAATGACACATAAAAAAGAATTTGACGTTTTAGAATTTCGAAGCTGTCAGTTGTGTTTTTGAATATTTCGTTTAATTCGTGTATTATTTCGTTTATTTTGTTTGTTGTTTGTGTTATTTTATATCGTTTAAGTTGTCATTGCCGTTTTTGTGTTTGTTATATATCGCTTTTTTGTGTTTCCTATATTTAAAATGCCGAAGCATTTAAATAGTCGGAGTCAAGAGTTGGTGTCATCCTTAATACGCTATTTTGAGGCAGAACGGGATAATAATGGACCTTTGTTACCTTTAACAGCTGTTAGAGAGGTAAATAGGATTATTATTAATTATATATTAGAATATTTAACAAAATATATGTTGGATACATGAAATAATAATATATATACCAGAGACTGACTTTAGATGGCAAAATTTTTGGGTTTTATATCAGAAAATGTCTTTAAAAATGGCTAAAAACATACTTTTGGCGGTGCATCATATTGGTTATAAAAACTCAGACTTTTGACATTTTGGTATTATTCATGTAAACGCCATCTATCGCCCTGTAGTTGCACTACCACTTTCCCTTGATGCAAGGATTTTAGCATCACATTGACAACCGTGCCCGATCAGCTGATTGATGACGTGTACGTAGTTTACTTTTAAATTTACTATAGTCGTTTTTTCGCGTAAATACTATGAAATACTACGGTTAAATAAGTCATGACGTCACAGTTAATTCATATAACCATGGTTAACATTTGACATTTGTTTACTTGTTCATAACCTATAATATTTGAAATGTGTTTTTACTTATTTATATTTAATTTCTACGCTTTTACAGGTGTAAATAAATTTCTTTGCCTCTTCTTATACCTTGTATATTCTTTTTCTATGAACCCTAGTTCTTATACCTACCTTTTCTATACCTCTTTTTATATACCTATAAACAGTTCTTCCCTGTTGTTTACCATAACTAAAATCCAACAGTGTTTAACGTTTATACGAAAATTATTATTGTGAAACTCAAAATTTAGAATGGAACCCCAAAGAAAAAGACGAAGGTTGGCGGTATGTTTTGGAGAAGATATGTTTAGCACACAACATTATTCCTACATAAACATATTAAATATATATATTAAAAAGAGAAAGACTATTAACCACGTTGAATAACTAGCTCAGCGATATAGTTTTATGGTCTGGTATTTGTGACGTCATAGTTAGGATTTTTGAACGCACTCTAAACGCAAAAATGCCTTAACTATTAACCAAGGTTAAGTTTAATGACCATAGTATTTCATGGTATTTACGCGAAAAAACGACTTATAGTTATTCAACGTGGTTAATAGTCTTTCTCTTTTTAATATATATTTTTCTCTGTTTCGATCTGTCAAAAAGTTGTTTACATTTGAAATTTAAAATATTTAAGTAGGTACAATTGCTCTTAAACCGAATTTAAACTTTGTATTAAAATGGTAAACGGGGTGTTGTCAGTAAAAATAAATGATAGGGTGCTCCATATTGTGGAATCTCCGCAAGAAGTGGAGGAATTATATGCAGGTTTGTTTTAATATTCTTTCTAATTTTGTATAAAACATGTAGGAAAATTGGATAACGTGTATTGAAAAAACTAGTAGGTATAGAAAAAGAATATACTAGGTATAAGAAGAGGCAAAGAAATTTATTTACACCGGTAAAAGCATAGAAATTAAATATAAATAGGTAATTTCAAAAATTATAGGTTATGAACAAGTAAACAAATGTCAAATGTTAGAAACCTAACCATGGTTATATGAATTAACTGTGACGTCATGACTTATTTAACCGTAGTATTACATAGTATTTACGCGAAAAAACGACTAATATGTGACAACGCTGTGTCGCGACTTAAATTTGACAGCACTGTATGTAAACAAATTAAATTTTAAGGTTATAATTTCGTGGCATACAAAAATCCTTTTTCTATGCAAAAAGGTGCTTCTTTATCTCTGCTTCGTGGGTTATATTTGTTATATGTGGTTAATAGCATAGGTTAAAGAAGAAGTGTAAGAACAACTCAATTTTTATGACATCTAGGATCCTCAAGTTAAAATGGCATGTCCTGGTTGCAACTTTTCAATAATTGACCTTACAAAACTCACTTCATCCAAAATACATGTTGATTATTTAGTCGATGCTTTGAAAGAACATGGTATTGTTAATGTTAAAGAAGGAAAACACACAACCAATTCACTATTTTTTAATGTACATCGTAATCATTACAGAACTATTTGTCATAGCATGGCCTCTTGGCTTATTTGGGGTGACAAAAATGTTATAAGTAAACATCATTTCATAAAAAAAACCTGGCGTGCACGATTTCGGGGAATATGCCTATCTGCTTTTATTAAAAACTCTGTTCCCATAGGAGGAAATAATAAGTTGGTCAAAATACTTGAAGCAAAAGTTTTTAACAATGTTACCAATGTGAATGTTACCAAATCAAAAGAATATATTGCTGAAGGACAATTAGTTTATTGTGGGTTTGAAGTTGAATCGAAGAAAGTATTTATAAGACCAGTTAAAAATCACAATGAAGAAACAAAAAAAGAAATTTTTAAAGATTGGGTATTGCCAGGTAGTTCTGTTTCAGTGATATATCTGAGTGTAATGAATATAGAAATTAATAAGAGAAAGGTTAATGATGCTGGGAAAATGATGTATTATATATTAAAAAAACTTTACCCCCCAACTCATGAGAGGTTGCATGCTTTTTTTGAAATGATAGTGAGCTCTTTACAAGACTGAATTAAATAATTTGTAATAATTATTTGTTGTAAATATTTTTATACAATAAAATAAATTATAAAAAATAAGTAGTTTTAATCAGTACATACTCCCATACATTTTCAACGTTTTACAATCTATGAGCAAGGTTACTATCAGGTTTAGGTAACAGTATTATATGCTGAGATGTTACTATAATAAAATAATTTATTGTTATTAGGATAATTATTCCTACATGTATTTAAAGAGCAAATATTGTTAAATTAAATTTATCTTGGGATGAAAAATTTTGGTTAATGGGTGTTAAAACCATAAAGTTGACACATACAAGGTGTCCCTAAAATGTCTGTACAAAGTGAGTCAGGTCATACCAAAACTTATCCACATCAAATTTGTATATAATGTATAAAATCATGAAGATGGCAAAGCAAAGAACTCAACTGTGTTAAAAGTTATTAAGGCGAATTTTGGAATGACCCAAGTAGAGATGTAAAAAAACGGTTTTTTTTTTTCAGATGTGAAAAAAAACTAGAAAAAAACGGTTTTTTTTGTTTTTTTTTCAAAATGAAATTTTGAGTAAAATGTATATTAATAATAAAGTAAAATGTAGAATATATTACATTTTTCATTATTGAAAATTTTGACCAAGACTAAAAAATCTGATTTCTTATTATTTGGTAGTTTTCACATTAGAAACCTATAGCAATGTAAACTTCTACACTTATACAAAAAATTATACACTTATACAAAAATACAAAAAGGATAAAAAAAATGTTTGCGTTTTTTCGGATATCTGTATCTTTGTTAAAAAACATTTGAAGCTGAAGTTTCTAGTTTTGAGATTTTTAAATGAAAAACGTGCAACGCTCAATCCTAACGAATACCGTAATAAAAAAATCGATTTTTGTTGCTTTCTTTTTTGGTCCACGGAATGTTCTGACTTAACCACCAATGAATAAATGTTTTACAAGAATTTGCTATTGTTTTTTTGAAGAAAAAAATTCCACTACATGAATTTGAAAAATCATGAAAAAAGTGCTTTTGGTAGCTTTTTGAAAAATCAAGCGCTGAATCAAAAATATTATATGTAGTTACTTTTTTTAGGACCAAATCAAAACAAGCGCGGCCCTTATTGGTCAATTCGGTGGTGGTGGCGCCTGCATAGCGCGAGACTGTATTTACATTTACTTATTGTCATTTAGTGGCTAATTTTAGTCCATGGAAACATAAAAAATTAGGCAAATGGGACTAATCTTGAAAAAACATTTGAAAAAAAAACAATGAAAAAAAACCTAAAAAAAAACAAAAAAAAACGGACCGTTTTTTTTCAAGTCGCATCTCTAGACCCAAGTCATATTTCTAGGACCAAAATAATGTGATATAACTAAATTTATTTCTATACAAAAGTTAATAATACATAAATACAGAAATAATGTTTTTAGTCCCTTCTGAACAAAATATACTAAATTACCGTAATCCTCCAGCCTGTTATAAAATATTTTAAATGTAAAAAAAAAGATAAAAAATTCACGTTTTTATTAAATTTTTTGATCTTTATTACATAAAAAGGTATGCTCTCTAAATGTCGCTGCAAGTAACCGTTTTCAAAATACATATTTGCATTTAAATTGTTCAGCGCATCCATTTAATTGTGATTTAAAAATGTAACATTTAGTAGGTTACGATTAAAAAAATTCATTAAGAGACGCTACAAATTTAGTTACCGTCCAACTTTGTAATTGTTTTTTAAATATTTTTAGAATTTATTATATATACAAATAAATCACAATAAACTTATTTAATAAAATCGAAACTGAACTTTCAACTTTGACACCCTGTATCTTGGTTATTACCAACCTAGGTACCAACTTTTGTATGGAAGTAAATTAAGTTATATCGCATTATTCATATCAGGAATACGTAGCATTATTTTGTGCAGGCAATTTAGGGACACCTTGTATATTGTATTTAGATATTTAAAATGGTTTTAAAACTGTCTCAGTTATTCTTTCTGGCAGTACCTACATAAAAAGCACTAAATAAATAAAAATTGTTTTATTACATAATCATTTATTTCAAAATTTACTTAAACATTACAAAGTCTATATTAACAGTAATAATTCAGTATAATAAATTACAACAACCATGGTTGGCAAAATGATCAGTAAGAACAGAATAATTAATCCCTTAAAAAATTAAAATAAAATCCATATAGTAATGTTCTGACTGACCAACAAAGCTACAAGTATAAAAAAGTAATATTAATTTCTAATGGCAGTAAAAATATACAATAATAAATTTTTCCTCTGCCTTTTTTATATATAAAATAAAATATTTATCACTTAAGGTACACCTTATCTAACCTATTTTAATACTGACAACAGGAAACTAAAATAAAGCACTGTTTTTTTTTTCAATAAATACAACTCCACACAAAACAGTGACATCATGTTAAGTTACAGAAGTAACTATGCCTTTTTATCATCACAGATCACTGTTAAATTAATTGCCATCCTGTAGCCAATAAATTAAAAGTCAAGTCTCCGTCTTCCTGTGTCAGCTGATTCAGTGTTTTCGTCAGATCTTAACTTATATCACTGAAAAAACAAGGGCCATTAAAAAACTATACTCAAAAAGCAAATTTATTAAATGTTAAAAAATAAATGTTATGCGTGCCTTAAAACAACACCAAAGTTAATTATGAAATTTGTCAAGTGGTCCCTTGGTCTCTAGGGGGTGCATAGAGTGGTTTTTCAAAATATTTTTTTTTTTTTTGATTTTGCAACTTAAATTCATTATGAGGAAACTAAGTCAAATCATTTAAAATTTACAGGGTTTACATAGAAGCCTATGGAAAAATTCATTATTAGTTTGAGAAAAAAAATTGTTAACTTATTTTTAAATAAATGCTTGTTCTTAAATGTTCTAAATCGGTAAAATTGTTTTTTTTTTCTACTTTTTATGATGGTGATACATTATTACAGAATATGAAAAGAAATCTTTGGAATCGGACTTAGGTTCGTAAATATTTGGGTCCGATCCATTTTTATATTCTGTAATAATTATTGTTTATATGTATCACCACTATAAAAAGTTGAAAAAAAAAGTTTGAAAACAAACAGAGTTTTAATTTACTAAAACTTTTTTTCTTGACCAAATATTTAATTTTTCTGAAGTCACCCTGTGAATTTCAAGTCATTTGATTTCGAAAAAAAATGTAATCTAATTTTTTAAGTTGTAAAAACAAAAAAATAATTTTGAAAAACCACTCCATGGGCCCTCTAGAGATGCGTTAGGGGTAATGAATAAAATAAAAATGATTTTTGCGTTATTGTGAAAAATCAAGGAACCACTTTGCGAATTTTCACTAATAAATTTATTACATAAATCACTAGAACAGGATAAATAGACTTCAAATAAGAAAAAAACCCGATTTGTTTATAAAAACGTACGGCAAGTAAGAGGCTTATTGATTACAATAAAAAATTTCGCAAAAATGTATTTTACCTCAAATCCTAAAAAATGATATTCAAAAATTTTATTAATTATTTTTGAATACCAATTTTTTAGTAAACATATTATGCTTAAAGAATAAAGGTAAACATTTATTTATTGACTTTATTTATTTACTGTACATTTAAATTGGTAAAATCTTCTAACAACTTTTTATACACTTACCGGCAAAAAGACCGGCTACCAGAAATATGCCACAATTTTATTTTTGATTTCCTCGCAAACCACCATCTGATTTTGATATATTTTTAGGATGTGGGTTGACTCTTTAGTAACGATGCTACCTACGGTAGAAATTTTTATTCTGATTTTAGTTTGAGCCAAAGTAAGAAGAAGTTTTTCCCCGAAACTTATTACCGCCGAGGGATTCCAGTTGACATCCGCTGTTATTAAAATTTGCACTTTACTGGGTGTGGAAAATTTCGGAAAAAAAACTTATTTGAACCCTGTATATGCTCAAATTAAAATCCGAATAAAAATGTCTACCATACCATCGTTACTGGAGTCAACCGATAGATTAAAAAAATTATCAAGGAAATCAACATTACATTGTGGCCAATTTCTGGTGGCCTGTTTTTATTGCCGATGAGTAGGTAGAAATAAAAGAAATTAAAAAAAGTTTTGTTAATATTTCTTATAGTGCAAAAAAGTGTCACTTTATATTCTTGTTGCATAAATTACCATTTTCGTTTTTTTGCAATAATTTGATAAGTTAAAAAAAATAAGCAATCTCTCTTGATTTATTTTGTCACGTGACGTTTTAAAAAAAACCTCCCCCCTCAGGCGTGACAGTTCTCCAGCGTCGCGAGATTTATGGATGAAAAGTATAAAAAATTCATAATTCAATAGAAATGATTACTTTTGAGAAATAACAAATAAGAAAAACTGACCAAAAATTCGTTGAAATTTTCGGAGAAATGTAATTAATAAATTAATAGTTAATAAATTTGGGTGGTTCTAAATAAAATGTATATTATAAATAAATCTAGCTCCTCTTTGATAATGATAAGTGAACTAAAACATGCAACATTTAATACAAACTTACCTGTTGTGGGGTTTGGATTTGTTCACTGCCACCTATAAATTAGTTTGTTTAATAAAAAGTTAAGAACGGCACAATTTGGACAAAACACATTCAAGAACCAATGTTATGTTAGTAGTCATTTTAACAACCAAACACAAAGAAATATATTGCTTCAATGCGTAAAAATAAGCATTGTTTTTAATGGTTACAACCCAGAAACATAAGAAAAAAAATCCAAATGTTAGTAATAAATAAGTCACCAATGGTTTTGTAAAATAATCAAAAACTACCTGCCATTGCAGGCTCTGCCACTGAGACCTGCTCAGTGGTGCTACTACTGGGAATTGAATTTTGATCTGTTTCGGATTCGCTTGCTACTATCTTTTTGTCGGATGCTTGGACACTTGAAGTTGTGTTTTGCACGTCTAGGCTAGTTTTTTCGGTTTGTTCCGATGCGGAACGGTTACCTTGTTGCTGTCCCTGCTGCTGCTGCTGCTGCTGTTGATGATGCTGATCCCGGCGCTGCGGCTGTCTGTATCCTCCGCGATACCCGCCCCTGTAGCTCATGCCTCTGTAACCTCCGCGTCCGCGATAACTACAACAAAACATAGTCTCATATAAAAACATAACTTTAGAGTCCGGATTAGGGGCAGCATAAACAGCCTTTTAAAACTAAAAAAATAAACAATATCCCTTACAACTGCTACGCCTCTGGGCGCTGTCTAAGACACCTTAAATGCATTGGTCACATCTTTTTTGCGCCTTACTGTATTCACGTTTTAACTAAAAATATTACTTTTTAATCTTTATTACGTAAAAAAGGTACACTTTCTAAATGTAGCTGCAAGTAACTGTTCTGAGATAATGCATTTAAATTGGGCAGTGCAAACATTTAATTGTGATTTGAAAATGTGATATATTTAGTAGGATAGTAGGTAACAATTAAAAAAATACCATAAGAGACGTAAGGTACGCTATTTTAGCATTTATTAGATAATAGTTTAAAAATTAAAGTTTAGCACTTTAATGATGTTTTAACAGAAATTTACAGAGATCATTTTTTTTATACAATTGATAGTCAAAAATGTTTTAAATATAAAATGCAACTCTAAAACTTTAAGTTAAAAAATATTTATTTTTAAAAATGTTAGTTCCAGTATTTTATTCTACAAAATTATCGGTTTAAATTTGTAAAGTCATTTAAATTATGGTCAATAAATTTTTAATATAAACATTCTCACATTACATTTAAATGTAAGTTTTAAATTTTAATTTAACAAAAAAATCTTATGTTTTTCACGTTCAGTTAAGGACTTCTTGGGCTTATATATAGAATTTGTATTGTTTTCCTTCGAGTTAAAATTTTGTCTTACTGTGTTAATTCTCTCTGTGATATACATACATATATATGTTAGGGTGCTTCATTTGAAACGAACATTTTTTTTTTCCCGCTGACACATGAAAATTTTGTTCCTTGTATCGAAAAAAAAATTCCCTGAAAATTTGAGCTCTTAATTTTAATTTTCAGTGGTTCCTCTCGATCGATGTATATTTCCCATTGAAATAACATGTAAATCATGATTGTTTTAATTAAAATTAACATAGCTCCGTTTGATTTCATGGTATTTCATTGCGATTAGTCAGAATTTGTAGTATATTAGTGACTCTTTGAAAGTGCCCACCAACATTTTTTTGTTCTTGAACCCGTCTCATCGGTCTCGGCCTCGAAACCCCAATTTTCTCAAAAATTGTTATATTTTCGTTTTTATCAACAAAACAGTTGAACTTATGAAAAAAATGATTAGAAAATAATTTGTAGGAAATTAAATTTCCTACAAAAATATCCCTGTATGAATTTTCTGAGGTCCATAGTCCAAAAGGTATAAACAGTTTAATGTTTAACGTTTTATTTGACACTTTGATTTATAAGATTATAATTTTTTAATTTTAACTTTATTTCATTATTTTGTAATAAGGTATTTTCAATGGACTTCTTTTTGCAAAAAAGACTCAATACCCAATCAACAGTATATTTAACGTTTACTTTTATTTTCACAAATCAATTTAATTCAATTTAATTTAGTGTTTTTTTCTGTAATTAAGGATATTTTTTTTTTAATTAAAATAATGTTTGCTACTTTTTTAAATGTGTATATTTTCCCAAAAAGACAATTTTTACAAGACCTGGGCCCAGTTTTTTCCCCAATTTTTTTGACAGGTTTTCAGTTTTTTTCAAATTTTTTGTTGCCATTTTAATAGACTTGGGATTAGGGTTTTAAAATTACCGGAAAAAATTAGCTGGCGGAAAAAAATAATAGGTAATTGGGAAATTTTCAGAAAAATTGACTTTTGCATTTTTTAAATTTTATTCAAAGGGTAGGTAATACGAAAAAATGCAAGTCAATTTTTCTGAAAACTTACAAACTTTTACGGATACTATCCGTACACTGAGAAAAAAGTGAATTTTCGACGCTGAATATAATCATAATATTATGAACGCGATTATGAATATATTAATTATTTTTATTATTATTTTAATTCAGTAAGAATATTCTACCGGGTCGAAAAAAAACATTTGGTGCCGTTTCGTTTTATATGACACTTCGATTTATAAAATTTTAATTTTGTAATTTTATAAATCATTCATTATTTTGTAATTGGATATTTTTAATGGACTTCTTTTTGCAAAAAACGTTTAATTTTCCCCCAAAATCAATGTTAGTGCAAAAACGTTTGTTTTTTCAAAAGTTATTTAAAACATTGCAATTTGAAAACGATTTATTATCAAGTTTTTTATAGAGGTAAATTTAGTTATATCGCATTGTGTGGTATTATTTTTTACAAGCATTTGACGTTGTATAACGTTAAAAAGAATAAATTATTATATCACTAAAATAAAATAAAATTTTAATGTGAAGAAACCTACAAAAGGACCATGAGGATTTTTTCCTAGCTAAATTGGGTAAGCTTTGAAACTAACTAAAGATAAATGATAAAAAAGCATAGAATGAAAAAAGGTTTTTTATAGAGGTAAATTTAGTTATATCGCATAATGTTGGTCTCAGGAATGTGTGGTACTATTTTTTACAAGCATTTGAGGGACACCTTGTATAACGTTAAAAAGAATAAATTATTATATCACGAAAATAAAATAAAATTTTAATGTGAAGAAACCTACAAAAAAGGACCATGAGGATTCCTTTTTAATGATGAAAAAATGATTTTTGCCAAGCTAAATTGGACTAGCTTTAAAACTAACTAACTAAAGATAAATGATAAAAAATCATAGAATGAAAAAAGGTTTTTTAATAGAGGTAAATTTAGTTATATCGCATTATGTTGGTCTCAGGAATGTGTGGTATTATTTTTTACAAGCATTTGAGGGATACCTTGTATAACGTAGAAGAGAATAAATTAATATATCACAAAAATAAAATAAAATTTTAATGTGAAGAAACCTACAAAAAAAGGAACATGAGGATTCCTTTTTAATGATGAAAAAATGATTTTTGCCTAGCTAAATTGGGCTAGCTTTGAAACTAACTAGCTAAAGATAAATGATAAAAAAGCATAGAATGAAAAAAGGTTTTTTTATAGAGGTAAATTTAGTTATATCGCATTATGTTGGTTTCAGGAATGAGTGGTATTATTTTTTACAAGCATTTGAGGGACACCTTGTATAACGTAAAAAAGAATAAATTATATCACGAAAATAAAATAAAATTTTTATGTGAAGAAACCTACAAAAAAGACCATGAGGATTCCTTTTTAATTATGAAAAAATTATTTTTGCCTAGGTAAATTGGGCTAGCTTTAAAACTAACTAACTAACTAAAGATAAATGATAAAAAAGCATAGAATGAAAAAAGGTGTGTACTCACTTTCCCCGTCGGGCCGCCGACACGCCGAAAGTCTCCGAGTTGAGTTTGCGCTCGACTCGCCAGTCCGTCCGTTGCGACTTGCCCTTCGCGCGTTCCACCGCCTCGCACGAGATCTTGTCGAAAAAGGATTTCGCCTTGTCGTAGAAGATCTCCTGGTCCTCCTCGTGCTCGGGCTCGCCGGCCCCGGTCTCGTTGCCCGAATCGTCCTTCTTGTCCGCGTCGTTCGTCGCGACGGCCACTCCGTCCGCGGCCGCGGTCCCGTTCACCGCCTCGCTCTTTGTACTCGTGCTGCTGCTGCCCTCGTCCACTTTCACCTGAAACAAACCACGTTTAAAGTCGTAGCGTTTATTTTTTTTTAACATTTATTGAATATTCCAATTAAAATTCTAATATGCAATGCACATTTTTTATTATTGCATAATTTATTGAATGTAACATCAAAAACTAAAAAATGTGTTTTTAGTTAAAATCCTTTATTTGTATCGTTATTAAATTATTAGCAAATTTTCGTAAAAATTATAATTGGATTAATAAAAGAAAAGCCAAAAACGTTAAACAAAAGCATATGGTACTAAGTAAAAAAAAAATAAAATGTAAAAAAGAAACATTAAAAAAAAACGATGAAAATCCCTCAAATTTGAGGTTCAGTTTTGAAGTGTTTGCAACGCGTGTTTCAATGTTCTTTTATAATCTGTGTAATGTGTTAAACTATTTATATGTCCTATTAGGGTTTTCATTGGTTCCCAAGTTGATTTTTTTATTCAGGTAACATTTAAAAACATTTTGAAAAAAAATACCATGTTGTTTAATCCTTCCTAAATGACTTTATTAAATAAGAGAAAATTTATAACTAATAAATAGACCTGCAACAATATATAAGACATATTTTTGTGGGAAATTTTACGCTCTACAAAAAAAGTGTCTTTTATGTTTTTTTCGTAAAATTATCGATTAAAATGATAGCGGAAATTAATATTTGAAATAAATAAAAATTAAAAGTATTGTCATCTTTTTTTATTATTTTATTAGTGTTTTTTGTGTATCATCTAGATTATTTGTTTAATCTTAATTTTTTTTTTAGAACGATAATTATACTTTTATTTTTTAATTATTTTTATATATTTTAAATTTTAAATGGTTGATTTTATAAAAAAACGTAAAATACCTTTTTTGTAGAGCCTACAAAAATTCGTCTCAAGATAATGTGTATTGTGACATGTCCATTAGTAAGCAAGTTGGGAAGCTTTTATTTAAAACACAATAAAATTGAAAATTTAGTATAATCATTTAGGCAGGCTTAAACGACATTGAAAAACAATATTTTTTTTTTAAAATTGTTAACAAATAACTTTGATTATACCCAAGTAAAAAAACCAATTAAAGCCAACATGAAATTCAGAAAAGAACAGATGTATTTTCTATTTATTTCAAACATTGCCCTTGGATATTATTTAATTGGATTGTTTTACGAAAAAATCGTAAAAAATCTTTTTTGTAAATCGTAAAATTTCCTACAAAAATATTGTTGCATGTCTATTAATTAATATTTTCTTATATCATAAAAATGTTATTTAGGCAGGGTCAGAATTGTATGTAGACTGTAAAAAAACAATTTAGAAATGAAATAAGCCAACTTGGGAAAAAACGGACATCATAATGTCCTATCTACTTAGCATTACACGCGGCGCGAATTTTTCTGTCGGCAGTCCATCTGCAATAGGGGTTTAAAAGTTCTTTTCATGCACCCCAAAACGTCTTTCTCTTTGGGCAATATTTGTTAAATTTTTTTTTAAATAATGGAAAATAACACTTGTGCAGAAGTGTTATTTCCCACAGATTTCTCATAGATTATTTAAAAAATTCGTTTCCAAACAAAATAGGATCCTGATAATAGCTTAACACATTCACTGCCCACCCCAAAAAAGAGTATTGCTTCAGGTACCACCTAAGTTTTTCTTCATATTTTTTCATTTAAATAAGTTCATCTTGTTTCAAATAAATTCTAGTATAGGTTATAAATTTTATTTTTTGAAAAAAAACAAAAAACGCACCAGGTACACTTGTTGAGTTATAAACCATGTTCAGTGCCTATAAACGCGCCCCACGCGTTCTTGTTAATAAAATGGGAAAATCTTGTAAAATAATGTTATTTATTATTAAGAACGCGCCTAGCGCGGTGTGGGCATATGGCCGCAGTACTTGTAAACGCGCCATGCGCGTTTTGGGCAGTGAATGTGTTAAACATTGATTCTATAGTTTATTTTTTATGGAAAGCTCGTGAAATACAAAATAAAAAGATGGCGTATGAAAACAAATGTAACTATTATTTTCTTGGAAACTGTAAAAAAATCTGAAATTATTTTTGAATGTGTCTGATGCCTCCCAAACTCATATATTAAATTTTGAGGACATTCAATGGAAACTCTTCAAATGGAGGTACTACCTTAAATGTAAATATTACTTAGAATTGGTAAGAAATGTAATGTCATGGTATTATCTTTAATTGCTTAATAATTTTATTAATTTTATGTCCAAATACATCATTTGACATAAAAAATAATAGAAAAGAATATGCCAATAAACAGAATGTGATGTGATGCAAAAAAACTTGATTTTTTTTAATTGCTTATTGGAAATATTTAAAAAACAATGTAATCATTACCAATCTTAATGTAGTTATATAAGTGTATTTTTTGTAAATGTATGGCCATTAATAAAGTTACTATTATTTGTATGAAAAAAATACTTTAATAATTTAAAAAAATCGATAACGGTTGTTTGTTATAATTTGTCCAAAACTGCTTAACATTAGAGACCACCCGATATTTATTGTAGGAAAGTATTTAATTTTGAAAGAATCCATGTTTTAAATAATGTTAAATGGTAAATTGTACAGGTTTAGTCAAACCCTTGCCTAGGTGCTGGCTAAAAAATTTAGACAAAACATTGTATGATTGTATAAAAATTATTATAATTGTTATTGTATTCAAAAATACCAAACTAAATAAATAAATAAAAATTTACAAAAATGCTTGCCATCGTTTTCTTCTTAATTTTGTAAAAAGCAACTAATTCATTAGAAGCTAAAATCAGTTTTTAAATAAAATATATTTAATACAATGAACACAACTTGGCTCTGAAATTACTTTTAAATTCTTTCTTACCTTGGCCAATTGGCTTCTCAGTTCCTCGAATTCGGTGTTGGCCTGCTCGAAATCGTAGTCGTTCTCGAACTTGAGCGTGTTCTTGGGCTTGTTGCCTTGGTTCGGTTGGCCCTGGTTCGACTTGAAACCGCCGCGCGGCCTGCCTCTCGGTCTCATCGGACCGCGGTTCGTCCAGCCGCCGCCGCCGCCGCCACTGCCGCGGTTCTGCTGGTTACCCTGTTGATGCTGCTGCTGCTGGTTATGGTGCTGGTTGTTGTAGTTCTGGTGATGGTAGTTATTTCCCTTTAAAGAAAACGTCAGATATTTATTCAAACCGCAATTAAAAATGTAAAAAACTAAATTTAGAACTAAAACCTAGCGGTAATGCAAGAGGAGAAAGGAGTGAACAAGCTAGCGAACTTGTATAGTAAAGTATATAATATATACCCAATCTTTTTCAAATTTTACTAAATTATAGTACAAGTTACAAGTTTAATAATAGGCTAAAAATGTTTAATAAAGCACAGAAGTGTGTTATCTTTCATGAAGCAATACTTTGACATGTGTCAAGATGACAGATAACACACTCCTGTGCTTTTGGACACCAAACAGTTGAGAATCTCTAAAACAATTTATATCCCATTATTAAACTTAAATGGTCTTAAAGCAAAATAATCCAGCTTTTTAATGAGATTAATTTTATTTAAGAAAAAAATGCATTTTATAAAAAAATTAAATTTAATCAAATTTTCAGATTATTTTAAGTAATAAAACATAATTAGCTTAATTAATTTTTTTTTAAATAAAAAAAAAATTATATTTATGTACATATGGTAGCCCAAACTAACTTTTTTATTGGGACTATTACAAAGTCCCGTCCGTTACGCTTTAAATTATTAGTTTTTAAAGAATTAAACAGTCAACCACGATACCTAATTTTGCCAAATAAAAACCTTGTTGAACAGCTTTAGTTTAGAACTATTTATAAAAATTTGACATTGGTAATATAATAGAACAATATTATTTTGTAAATAAAAACACGGCAACTGTCCTATCCGTTACTCGTGGAATGGCCCAGTTAGCTGTCTTATAAATTTAAAGGTAGGTAAATATAACATATAAAAAGGATATACTAGCCTTAATTTACATTAAAATGTATAGCTTTAAAAAAGCAGGTCCTTTTAGTTCTGGTTTTAATATTTAGTCTTTTCTTTTTTTCTGTTATTATTATTAAATAAAAACATAAAAGTAGAACATTATTCACATAACGAACGTTATATTTCCGTTTTACAATCTTATTAAAAGAATATTAAGATTTAAAATAAAGTATCTTAAAATAACGTTAAGCGTCAAAAACAGATGTGTAGTGACAGATTAGTTAAAATTATTTTAAATTTCTCCGTCAGACGTACCAACTTAAAACTTGACGGACGGAAAAATGTCATAATTTTTGAATTATAATTGGACCAATAAGAGCGCTCCCGGATGAACGGACAAACGGATACATGAAAATTAAGCTTTACACAGCAAAAGTTACTAGGTAACCATAATCCAGTTTGGGCTACGTGAATTAAGAGGAAATATTTTTTTTAAGTTTGTCAAAGAAAAACTGTAAACTTTGCGCACCTGTAAATTGATAACCTAGAGGTAATGAAGAAAAATCCTTTACAGGATTGATAGTTAATAACTACTACTATAATTTAGTGAAATTTGGAAAAGTGAACATTTCTACAGTGGTATACTTAAGAAATTTGCATGAAAGCCCACATTCATAATTTCATTTTTATCGTAAAAATGTGTTTTATCGTCCTAAAAACCGTTTTTGAAAAAAAATGCATTTATGTAAGAAAATATCGACTATTTCACAATTTCTCAAAATTAAAGAATATTTCCAAATTGTGAGCCGGTTTGTTAAATGGGCCAGGGACTTTAAACATAAAAAGCTTATGTATGGCACGCCGTTTTACTTTTTAATGTCATGTTTATTAAAGCTAAATATTAATTCAAGTTGCGTTTTTAACAATTGACTGAACATTTTAAAGTAAAATTTTTATGATGTCCTGGTATATTAAGTAGACAATTTTAAGCACAGAATAAAAATTAAAGTAGATTTAATTCTCGACCTAAATGGCGTATTTTCTGTCTAAAAAATTCGATGAATTAAAATTTGGATTGAGATAATTTTAATAAGGCGCTACTTGAGAAACACGCAGTCAAATTGAAATTATGTAAACCAAAATTTTAATTCATCGAATTTTTTAGCCAGTTAATTCAAGGTGCGCGACATTTATTTAAGAAAAATTAATACTGAAATTATCATTATGTCGCAATTAATTTCTATATCTATAACTCGTCGACATAAAAATCAATTTACCTTTTAGAAATTAAAGTGATAAAGTTTCTTATTCAACACACAAATATTTTGCACAAAATATTTGTTATAATATTTCATCGAGAAAATTCGCCTTGCGCTTACAGATTTAAATCTTGTCTAATTTTTATTCCAAAATAAATATTCTACTTTAACTTAATTTTAAATTAATAAATGAAATATTATTATTTACATATAAGCACCTTTTTTAAATAGAAAAAAATATTCATACAATAAAAACAGGCTTAAAAATATAGATCACACAAGAATGATGTAAATATATGTGGAAACTAATCCAATACACCAAAAAATAAATTGGTAGATTTTAATTTATAATTAAATTTAATTTAGTAATTTTTATGAACGTTTATATTTTCTAGGCAATTTTTAATTTTGATAATTTTTGTTTTGAGTTAATTTTTTGATGTCATTAAAAAGTAAAACGGCGTGCCATACTTATGGTATTGGGAGCAACCAATGCAAAATTTTACCTGATTACCGCCGTGATGCCCATGATAATTCTGCTGGCGATTGGGCTGCCTATTTTGCCCGTCTCCGCGCGAATCCCCGCGCTCGCGCGACTTGTTTCGCTGCTGCTGGTGCTGGTTCTGGTTGCGCTGGTGGCCAGGCGGTTGGATAGGCTTGACCGTCTTCTTGTCGTCGCGCTTGCCGCCCCCCGCTTGCGTGCCTTGGTCGGCGGTGGGCGATTTGCGAGACGACAGGCTGGCGGGCGTGGTGCTGCGCGAGCCGCCGCCAATCAAATCTAGAACGGAATCTAAACAAATCAGGTGTCGGGTTCTTTTTGAGCGACAACCGTTTACAGGTCTACCACGACTTTTCAAAGTATCTGATTTACTACATTCAAGCAGTGTTGCCAGATCAGGGGTTAGGGATTGTTTGAACGTTCGGGGAAAGTTTTAAGAAGTTTCATCATTTCTTATTCAAAAACTGATTATAACTTAAAAAAAAAATTGATTTAAACCATAGACTGATCGGCCATTTCAGGCGGACGGACAGGACAAATCATAAAACTGTTTTTATAAAAAAAATTGTCGGTGATTTATTATATACACGGTGCTGTTCTGAGAGGTGATTTTTGGACTTTCTGTGAAACCTATTTTTTTTTATATTCTTGTTAATTAACTCATAACAAAAATTTTAAGAGCAAAATAAAAAAAAACTGACGGTTTGAATTGTTTTAATTGGCTGTTTATTAAAAATATTATGCACTCTTTCAATTTTCCAATTAAAACTAGCGATTTAATTTAAATATTTAATATTTGCATAACTAAAAAAAAGGTTTTTACAATTTTTTTATATATTTTACTGTTTTGTTGCAATAAACGTTCAAACTTTTATTCTAACCTTTGACGTATACAATTATGTTCCCTTAATTAATATATCCTTAAAGGTTGCCATGAAATTTAGATCTATTAAAAATGTGTTTAAATTGTCATTTTCAGTATACGTATTCTATAATTTTTGTTTAGTTTTTTAAAGTGTTTTTTATAAACAAAAATGAAAAATTGTAGTAAAAGTTACGAAAAAATTCATGAAATTTAACCAAGGACCGTTTTATTCATCTTTAGTAAAGTTTATCGGGCCGATAACTTTCATGTCTTGGCAATATCTAGTATCCAAAGAAATTATTCGTCAAATAAATCAAAAATGAATAAATCGGCCCTAAATAAAATGTGGCACCCTTAGAATTATTGTTTAATAAATGTATACTATACATTTAACCTTAAATTAAAACTTTAAACGTGTATTACAACAAAACAGTAAAAGATATAAAAAATGTATAGACCTTTTTTTAGGAAATTAACTAATCTTTAATCTGATTTAAAAAGTTATGATAATATTTAAATAAAATCGCAAGTTTTAATTGGAGAATTGAAAGTGTGCATACATATTTTTAATAAACATCCAATTAAAACAAAATTAACCGTCAAATTTTTTTTATTTTGCTCTTAAAATTTTAGTTATGACCTAATTAACAAGAATATAAAAAAAAATTTGGTTTCACAGAAAGTCCAAAAATCATCTCTCAGAACAGCACCATGTATATTATTTTTGCATCAAAATTGTCAAATATATTCTTCTTTCATTGTGCTATACATTAAATAAAAAAAATCGCAAAAAACATTTTATAAAAGTAGAGATAATTTCAATAATTGACAGGTGTGGATTGGACAATATAAATCTTTTTTTTGTCCCGTCCACACCTTTTAATTATTAAAATTAAGTCTACTTTTATGAAATGTTTTTTGAGTATTTTTTATTTAATGTATAACCTAATAAAAGAAGAATATTTTTGAAAATTTTGATGCCAAAATAATAATCTACATTTTTTTATAAAAACAGTTTTGTACTTCGTGCGTTTCGTAAACTCGATTTGGTCGGGTCTTTTTCAATATAGGGATAATTTAGAGACTTTTTTGACAAATATCAAATTCAAATTGATCTGTGCGGTTGTCCGAATGCTGTGAGAACTTCTCACTGAGAAGTACTTGATGTGAATACTATCACTCAAATTTTATTCGTTAAGTATTATCAGTATTATACTGCCAAGCTAGGCACAAAGGTCCTATGTACAATATTAATTAATATTGGACAATATTATTTTCATTTTATTATCAAATGAAAAAAATAATGCTAGAGAAAATTGTACTACAAATTTTACAGTGTAAAAAAGTAAAATTTTTGGGGAAAGCGCTCTGAAAATCTGGCAACACTGCATTTAAGCCATTATAAGATAATTTACAGTCTCTTGGTCGTAGACCTGTACAATTTGAAGTGGTGGTGATTTAGTGCAAAAGCCAATATGAATAGTGAAATAATAAAAAAAGTAAAATAAAATACTGATATAAATTGTACAGAATTTAAAACCATGTATTTTAACACTTTTTCCAAAGTAACAAACAACTTATTTATGCAAAAAAACTAATACTTTAAAAAAAGTGGACACAATTTAAATAACTTTACAGGTTATTTACCTTTGAGAAAAATCAATAAGTTAAAAAAGAGATTGTTTTTACAAATAAACATTTAAAGATTTACTTAATTAATTCATAATCAACAAGTTAATTCCCATGAGGATGATGTGTTTACAACAACAAATAAATGCAGCCAAGCAAAACAAAGATAAGTAACACAATACATTCACAAACAAATCCACAAGGATTTAAAACATGGTTAGAAGCTTTTCTTTTTAAAAGTTATAATATCTGCACTTTATGAAATTGCATCAACTAATAAATAAAAAAAAATTTATATGATTTAAAATTTGGTTAATGGCTATTACACATATTTTTAAATAAAATTGGAAAGAAATAAGTGTAAAAATTTCGACAAAATTGAAATTCACAGATTAAATAAAATCAATAAAAAACATGCATAGGTACTAAAATACATTTATAATAAATAGGTTTAACTTATTTTTTTTAAATTATTTTTACAGTATATCCTATAGGATTTCTTGTTGTTTAAAGTATTATTATTAATCTATGATTTAATTTAATATTACATGCTACATTACAAAAAATGATACTATAATTATTGTTACATTTACTCCTATATGGGCATTTTTAAAAATTTGGCTTGCAAAACCTCTTAAAATTATTTTGAACCTTGAGCTAACAATTGATATGTTGCATATTATACATTGGAAAAACAAAATACAGCCATTCCACGCTACTCGGGAATTTTTGTAGCGTCCGTTACAATCAACAATTGTGAGTAAAAGCTACCGTAATTACAAGCATAATAAACATGTTTGCAATACTAACTATTGTAATAGTATTTAATTTAATTACAGTAATAATTAGGCTTAAGCTTATAAGCATCATAATTACGGTAGTTTTACTCACAATTTTTGATTGTAACGGACGCTACAAAAATTCCCGAGTAACGTGGAACGGCTGAATAATAAATTTGTCCCTTCTTACTTTTGTAAAAAAAAATTATATACTAATAAATTTATAGTAGGGACAAATTGTGTTTTTTCAGTGATATAATAAAAATATTTCCTAGACTAGGTATTTAAAAACACGCAAACTTCTCAATAGTAAAATAAAAATAAATTTTGCCAGTGGATAATAGGAAAGACAAATTATAACATTTTCATTTATTTTTAGCTTCTTTTAAAAAAAATAGACAGTTGCATTCATCGCGCCATCTGCCATTCCTTTGTAGGACTACAAAGAAACTAAACAAGATTTTACTTTTATATTGCTAAAATGGTGAATTTAGAAAGCTCAAGCTTTGAAAAAAATACTAATAATGACAATGATTAAATTTTAAATTAAAGTTGGCAATGATAAATTTCAGAAAAAGTTACTGCGAATAATTTTCAATTGGAAGTTTACTTAGGAGATTATAAAAAACGGAAAAATTTGAGAAAAAGCCTGTATTTTTCTCAGGACTTTTTTTTTGAAAAATCAATTTCTTTTGTGAAATTTTAATAAAATAAATCCAATTTTTTCTAAAAAAATTAATTTTGCAGAAAAATTACCAATTTTTCAGAAATTTTAAAACATTCTCCTATATCATATAAATAACTTTTAGAAATTATATTATTTTTTAAAAATTAAATGCAGTTGAGAAGCCGTTTTTTAATAAAAAAAAAAATGCCCATATCTACCTACTAAAATACTCACAAATGATGATGCAATTAATATACAAAGCAGGTACTACTGAAAGCAAGCTTAAAGCGAAAAAGAAATAGCTTTTTACCGTGTTCATTGGCTCGAGGTGGCTCATTGACAGTAGGAGATAGGACAGGGGGTCGTTCTTGCCCCGGTAAAATTAACTCACTTGGCTTGTTGCTCATGCCTCTGCCGTCGCGCTGAATGTGCATGCCGGGGGCCAGGGCGCCACCCAGGCTGCCGATGGCGCCGCCAATGCTGCCGTAAGCGCCGAATTGCGCCATCTGAGGCGCAATCTGACCCAGCACCGGGTGCGTTTGGTACTGCTGCCCGCCGAGCGATGGCGGCACCGACAGCTGCATGATTGCAGGATCGTTGAGCGGCTGCGGATGGGGCACATTGTTCACTACACGAATATCCTTAATGTCAGAGCCGCGAAACAAGATGTAGTCGTACACTTGGTTCTGGGCAGGCACTGGATACTGAGTTTCACGATCTTCAGTACCAAATGAGCGTACTAAAAACATACAAGAAAAAATGTTAAAAGAATACCTATTTCAATGAAAACACTTTTTACACATTTTTTATCCATTACAATCACCACACGGAGAAAAATGTATGTTAAAAAACGTATATTAAAATTTATATAATAAAAAGTAAATTAAATTATTATATAAATTAAAAAACTGGATCTTAATAAGTATAACAAAAATATTATAATCGTCATATAATTGAAGTTATGATATGGTTGATTATATCATTTATTAATTTTACACTTTTAACTTAATATTTAATACAAATAAAGTAATATGTTAATGCGGCTTAATATAAAATATTATTATATTCACAATATATCTTAATTATATTTTTATATTAAAATTTATCATACGATTTAGCTGTCACTATATTTAACGTAAATATAATAAATAGTATTATATTTCTAATATCATTTATTATATTTTTTTCTCCGTGCATTATTCTAATTTAAATCTTTAATATAGATTTTTCCTTTACACATCATTTATTTTTCATGAGAAGGCACAATAGTAGATTGTTCTACAAGTGAAAAAAAGTGATAGTTTTCTAGTCAAAGAAAAACTTTTTTACGCATTCGTATTCCTATAGGAAAATAATAATAATAATGGAAAATATTAGATCATTGAACTTGTCCCTCGTATACCACCATAAAATCTTTTCTTCGCGATTTTTGAGATTGGCTTAATAAAAATGTTGCTAAGTAGAAAAATTTTGCTAAACGTAAAACTACTCTTCTTTAGGATTTTCTCTCAATAAAGAATACGAAAAAAACAATTCGGCAAATCTTAAAAAATCGTAAAGAAAACTACCAAACCAATACTAATTTTATGATTAACACTTTTCTACTTGGAAACACTTTTATTAAGCTTAATTATCTTAAAAATCATGTGGATCATCTGTCATAGATGTCAGATTGTCTATCTGACAGTAAGTATTATACAAGGGGCAACTATAATGATCTGTTTTTTATTTTATCAATTAATGCTTTTTTATTGGGAATACGAAAAAACCGCGTGAGAACAGTGAGTTTTTAATATTGTGGAATTTTAATTTACTATTTAAATCAAGAATTTTAACTCAATAGAAAACCATCACTTTTTTTCACTTACCTATAAAACAATCTAATATTTGCAGTATACCTATACAAGATAAACTTAAATGACTTTCACAAACTAATAATTATTAGCCTTATAAGGCTTTAATATTTATACGTAGGATATAAAAAAACTTAAAATTAGCTAATTGAAAACAGTATCAACTATCTATGCCAATTCTCAAATATTACCTAATATGTCTAACAGAAAAAATATATAGGTAAATTAAATGAATCGACAATTAATGTAATGCTTGGAACGTTTTAATAACTTTTCTTAAAAAATCATATTAAAGGTTTTACATACAAATTGTTTTTTAGAAAAACTGCATTTCCGGGTATTTTCCAATTGGATGCTTTTTAAAATCATTCATATCACAAAAGCTAATGCTAATATTAATTAATTAGTTTGCTATTAATATAATTAACTAGCCATGTCCAATATGAGAATACAAAAAAAGTCCAATTTGACGGATACCTATAAAAACTCAGTTTTTTTTTTCTATAAAAAAGACGTTATTTAGTATAAATTACACAATTTGTTAAATTTATTTCTTTGTAATTACCGGCATTTAAAATATCCCTCAGACAAAAGAAATTACTTAATATAAAAATGCAATGAAAAGTGCATAAATAGAAATTAGATACAGTTACAACTCGCTAAAGATGCGCTAGATTACGGTAAAACAATGTAAAATTCGCAAATTTAGGACGAAATTATTCGTAGTAGATAACCGACTCAAGTTCGGAGGTATATTCATACATAATTAAGATATAAAATTTAGCGGTCATAATTATGATACAACTTACCGGAGGCTAAAGCTATCGTACATTCTTGGGGATCAACTGTAAATAACCGTCCCTCATATCGAATATCGGCCTTCGATATTAAACTTATTTTGGAGCCCAGCTCCGGCATTCCCGAAGTCATGATGAACTAAAAAGTTTGCTATTAGGATGGCGATGATTCTCTCGGATTCTCTTTGCAGACTAAACAAAAATTTCGATTTGATATCGCGAATGGCGTACCCAAAACAGCTGGAAGAAGTGACGTATATTGCAGGATGGCAACCGAAAGACACCAAAAAATTCCCTAGGTCACTGTTACGTAAACTGTCAAAAGTCTAATTTTTCGATTTACCCTGAATGAGGTATTTACGTGTAGGGTTTTAGGCTTACTCCCAGGTTGTATGCCCAAAAATTGATTTTGGTCAGTTCTGGTTATTAATTTAACCCTAATTTATTTGACGGCCTAGCACCCTAGAACAACATGGCTGCTACAGTAGGACGGATTTGCGGAGCTGGCCTCTTAAAATCGGCTAATGGGGCCTCTGTAACCCAAGTAAGTTGCCAAACAACATTTTTATGCGTGTTTATTAACCTGCACTTAAAATTATTCGCCGCCTTTAACGATTTTAATTCGTTCACAACTTGGTTAAGTGTTATGTCATTACCGCAACTTCCTAATTTTTAAAATGTTTAAATAAATTATATAATTTCTTTGTTTTAGATATCTTCGTTCTCTACAAGTAGAGAATGGACCAGAGGAAGGAAAGCAGTAAGTTTGATACACCATTAGTTGATGGAATTGTTTTAAAGTGTCGAGTTTTAGCTTATGGGTACATTGGGGATGTTAGCTGGTGGAACAGGTGCTTTGTTGTTTGCCCTGGATAGATCAGTTAAAGCTTCTGATTTAGAATTGCATCCACCAAAAAACCCATGGAGTCATGATGGAATTCTTAGTTCGCTTGATCATGCAGGGTAAGTAAACCAATAGCTACCTCGTAATAATTAATTCGATTTATTTTTAAATAAAGCATTGTATGAATTTATAAACCTTATTCCATAGTTTTTCAGTTTTATTATCTAGAAACTAGGTAATTTGTTCTGATTAGATTACTTATTGAAATATTCTGCAATGAACGATCACTTTACTTTCTTCTCAAAAAATAACTTTTTTGATTAAATATATACAAAAGATTATTAAAAATGTACCAAATTTAAAAAAACTATAGGTGTAATTTAATTGAGTTATAATTAAAGAATTTTTTTTAAATTGATATTTTTTATGGGAAAATGGCTAGCTTATTTATACTGGTCAAAAATGTTTATGCCCTCATTTTTAACCTTTTATTAGGAGCTTACAATTTCTAAGTCAAAAAATGCCTAATAGGCATTGCCTATTTTTCTTACATAAACCCAAATTATGATTTTAATGATGTTTTACCTCAATTTAAATATTGTCTCTCCATTCTGAATTTGTGGTCGACTATTTTTAAATATTTTAACTATTTTATTACATTATTATTATTATTATGTTTTGTATGTTTCGGCTTACATTTTATCCAAACAGTACACAGGATATTATTTAAAAAAAATACCCATGTTTGAAACAATATTTTCAATAATGTATAATGAAAAATTGACTCTTGATCTATTGACCTAAACATGAAAAATATACATACATATACCAGATTACACAATTTCAGTTCTTTTTATACTACCATTTCTACGATTTCTGACAAAAAATATATTTGTGAAAATTTGTTTTTACAATTATTTTAAAATAATGTTGGCGTTTATAAAACTAGAAATGTGTTTAAAGTTAAATATGTTTTTTTATACTATTTAGCATTATTTCTATTTTTCACAATTTTTGATACCCAAGTTACAAGACTTTCTCTGCATCTCATCTGGCAACCATGGTATGCAAGTTGGTTTTTGAATTTGTTAAAAATCTCCATTATTTCACATCCCCACAAAACCTGAAACTGAAAACATCCACAAATAGTACATTATAAACCATTTTTAAGTTCTTTAAGAAATATACCTATATGATTAGTATTAAAATAAAGCTTTAAATCAAAACATTACATGTTAAATTTTATACTTAACTTAATCAATCTTAAGATTAAATTTAAACCTTGATTAAGAATAAATTTAAACCTTGAATATTTCTTTTGTAATCTCAAATCTTTTATTCCTTTTTTCAATAATCTTTTACCTTGCCAACAAAAGTATAAGAAGAGGCTACGAAGTATACAAACAAGTGTGCGCTGCGTGCCACTCCATGCGCTTCATCGCCTACCGTAACTTGATCGGCGTGTCGCACACCGAGGCCGAGGCCAAAGCCGAAGCCGAAGAAATCATGGTCACAGACGGACCCGATGAGCTTGGCAACATGTTCAAACGCCCAGGAAAACTTTCCGACTACTTCCCGAGCCCCTACCCCAACGAAGAGGCAGCGCGCGCAGCCAACAACGGCGCCTATCCACCCGATCTTAGCTACATTGTTGATGCACGTCACGGAGGTAAGAACATTATTTTTATATATACACGGATGGACTTAACTATACTTGTAAATATATTTACTTTCAATTTTTCGAGGAAAAGTTATTCTTCATAATTTCTTTCGCTTATTATATAAATCCGAATCGCGTTGAGAAACTTTTATTTTGTTATACAGGGTGAGCAAAAATACAGATTTTCAAAATGAAAAATTTTTAAATAATTTTTTTTGAAGCACTAATATAAAGAGCTGGAAAGGGGAAATCAAAAAGTCAAATGTAGTTTTTTCCTATGTGTTTTTGAAGCCAAGATATTTTATATTCAAAATTAAAGATATTAGTTTTCAAATGTTAACAAATAATTGTAGACATTGTAGACATGTCAGTTGAAAGCAACAACCTTGATTCATAATCACAAGATGAGATAGCAGTCAATTTCTACAAAATAGTAAGACCACTCAAGTTAGGACCTGAATCGATTTTATTTTTAATAACATATATCTTAGTAGCAACAACTCGCTTTAAAAAATTCATTTGGTTTTTTAGTTTCTTCTAACAAGATCTTCATATTAGACAAAGAAATTTTTTTTAATTTTTCAAAATCTACAAGTATATATTTTTTGCGCATCCTATACAATAAAATGGAAGTTTCTCATCGTGAATCGTATTTATATAATAAGCAAAAGAAATTATGAAAAATGACTTTTTTTTGAAAAATTGAATTGAAGTATAGTTAAGTCTAGGGCTGGGAGAAGATATATATCGATATATCGAATACTTTTTTAACCTAAGACAAATATCGATTATTCGATATATCGACTATTCGATATATCAAATAGTCGATATATCGAATAATCGATATATCGAATAGTCGATACATCGAATAATCGATATATCGAATAGTCGATATATCTAATAATCGATATATCGAATAGTCGATATATCAAATAGTCGATATATCGAATAATCGATATATCGATTATTCGATGTATCGACTATTCGATATATCGATTATTCGATATATCGAGTATTTGATATATTTGATCTGCTATACGGGGTTTCGAAAATTTGTTTCCAGTTAGGTATAAGATGTTTGATTCTAGAGCGCATTTATATTATTATTGTCCCAAATTAAAAAATATATTTAATTAATATGTAGTTTAATTTATTATTTTTTAAATAATATTGATATAAAATAATTCACACTGAGCTTTGCTTATATACAGATCTACATAAAATCAATTTCATTAAATATAGGTAGGGACTAGGGCTGGAAGAAAATATCGATATATCGATTAAAATATCGATATATCGACTACTTTTTTAACCTAAGAAAATATCGATATATCGAATAGTCGATATATAGAATAATCGATATATCGAATATATCGATATATCGAATAATCGATATATCGAATAGTCGATATATCGAATATTCGATATATCGAATAGTCGATATATTCGATATATCGAATAGTCGATATATCGAATAGTCGATATATCGATATTTTTTTCAATATCGCACACCCCTAGTTAAGTCCATCTGTGGACACACTGTATATATATATATATTAGGGTGTTTCATTTAAAACGAATTTTTTTTTTCTTGCTGACACATGAAAATTTTGTTTTTTAGGTTGAAAAAAAATTCCCTGAAAATTTGAGCCCTTAATTTTGATTCTAAGTACTTCCTTTTTAATTTTGTAGTTTTTCCATATAAAAAGCATGTATTTTTAATCATTTTTACTTCAAATTTGTATATTTTGGCCGGGTTTTGAATTATAATTTTTATCACCATAATTTTCTGCAAAGTATTCACGGTTTTTGAAAGGCCCTGCATCAATTTTGTTTTTGATTTATTTACGTTGATTGTAGTAGCTCCAAAAGTCGTTTTTTCACTCTTTTCACATATTTTTGAGAAAATCGATCGAATTACTGGTTTTACCGAAAAAGTTCAAATAAAAAAGTTGTAGAAAATTTAATTTTTGACAAAAAAGGTTTTTACGTTCATATCACTAAAGTGCTTTGTTTAAGAGATATAGTCCGGAAATGCTTGGTTTAAAAAAACCGCTTTTTTAAAATATCTTAAATATTGCACGATTTTGCTGAAATTTGGCAACGTTATTTATACCCCGGACAACAATCGGGATTTCCTGTTGTCATGATGATATAACAACGTGATTTTTTTTATCACGCTCTTATATCCTGGGTGCATACACATGCTTCATCACAGTGATATCATGTAGAACTCACGGTGTGATATTTGCAAAATTTGCGCATGCCTATGAGCCCTGCGAACTGCGAATTTTAAACCTACCCGGACAACATTCGTGAAATTCATACGAACATCACGTCGTGATTTTCACAAATTTTATTCATACTGATATCATACGGAAGTCACCGCGTAATAAATGAAAATCATACGAACTCACGTCGTGATTTTCACAAATTTTGTTCATCATGATTTTTATGCCATCGATGTTTGGTCATAAAAAATCAAGACATGATTTTTTATGCCATCAGTGTTTGGATATTCATTTTTGCGACACATTCGTACATTGAAAGAAAAAGTATGTTAACAATTGAATCAACAGTTTAACATTCAATATTTTCTTGGATTTAAATTAACTATATATAGTTAATTTAAATCCAAGAAAATATTAAATGTATTTAACCGCAAAAACTGTTGATTCAACATAATTTTTCTCTTAGTGTACGAACGTGGCGCAAAAATGATTATCCAAACACCGTTGACATAAAAAATCACGACATGATTTTCACTTCTCACGTAGTGACATCCGGATGATGTCCGTATGAATAAAATTTGTGAAAATCACGACGTGACGTTCGTATGATTTTCATTTATCACGCGGTGACTTCCGTATGATATCAGTATGAATAAAATTTGTGAAAATCACGACATGATGTTCGTATGAATATCACGAATGTTGTCCGGGACGTTTTGTCAATTTTCTCCATAACGACTTGATTGATTACAAAATATTAAGTGGTAGTTTCTGTTTACTGAAAAAAGGTTCAAAATATGCCTTTTTTCATGCAAAACTAGGGTTTTTATTTTTTCTGTCGAAAAAGAGACTCATTAATTTAAGCACTCGCTCGCAAGCTCGCTCGTGCCTAAATTAAATTCGTATCTAAAGTGGCGTTTATCAAACTTGATACATAATATACTATTATAATGCTATTCCGGCACATTTTTGTTAATTTTTTTTTAATATAGTAGTGATTAAATTTGGCACTAATTAATTCAGACTTCATTCATTCAAACTTTTACTTATAATTTAATAGCATCAGGAAACGGACAAAACATTTGATTATTCAATTTAATACCGTTTTCGAAAAATTAAAGTAAAATAAACTCAACAAGAGCAATGAAAATGGAGCGATCTGATTGGCTTACCAAAAAGTGCTATATTTTGCTTAGTTTTGTGAATTTTAAAAATTGTAAAAGAAAGTCTTCTTAGAATGTCTTAGGGAATTCGCATTTAAAATATATTATAATTTAAAGTTTGTAGTTAAAAAGTAAAATAATTATGACGCAATAATTACAAAAAAATGGACACAATCGTTAAAATAGATTTTTTATTTAACTTATTTTGACAAATTTAAACATTGAAGAAGTATTTTAAAATTTTAAGTTTATATTTAGTAAATTATATTAAATTAAAAAATGTAAATTAATTTTAAAAAAGTCCAACTTCAAATCAATTTTAAAAATAATAAAACTATGGGTCATATGTATGCACTGATTTGCTGATTTTATGGGAAATTTGAACGTAAAAAATTCACTAATGATTTTTTTCTAAAACGGCATTTTTTGTAATCTATTTGTTTTTTAGAGCGAGTAAGTCTAAAAAGGACAATTTTCTGTCTTTAAAAGCGTTTTTAACGCGATTCTATTCAAAAATCCATATTTGTAAGAAGATATTGACTATTTTATACTACTAATTACGTAATTTATCCAAACATGTAATCAAAGTTTTAATGCAAAAATGAGTTTTAAAGCCCAAAAAACCTTAAGGACATGGACCTGCACTGATTTAAAATTCGGAAATTCATAATTAAAAGGCTTAATGATAATTTCACCTGATTTTATGAATTTTGTTTAGGTGAAGATTATATCTTTGCCCTGTTGACTGGATACTGCGATCCCCCGGCCGGCGCAGTTATCAGAGAGGGTCAATACTTCAACCCCTACTTCCCGGGTGGCGCCATTTCCATGGCTCAAGCGCTCTACAATGAAGCCATGGAGTACACCGACGGTACTCCAGCCACTGCCAGTCAATTGGCCAAGGATGTGTCCACTTTCCTTAAATGGACATCCGAGCCAGACTTTGACGACCGCAAGAGGATGTTCATTAAAGCCGTAGGAATATTCTCCATCCTTATTGCACTTACATACTACTTGAAGCGACACAAGTGGTCATCGATCAAGACCCGTAAGATTGAATTTAAACCAAGAAATTAAACCAATTCCTGTAGAAAAAGTTTCTTACTTTAGCGTGACTAATTATGTTATAGGTATGAATTATTTAATTAAGCGTATTTTAATTGTATATAATAATTTAATACACACTCCTTTGGTATAACAGCATTAAAACTGACATGTTACCATTTTAAAGTACTTTGTTTATATCATTTTCTGTATACATGTAATTGTCACGTTATTTGTTACATTAAATTATAATAAAAATGCCGTTTTTTATTTATTTATTGCTCCCATACATAAAGTGACCATCCGTCCCGATTCTGAGCTAAGGGTCCCGATATAATAAGCGTCCCGACTATTAACTTTTACTCTAATTGTTTAGAATATTTAAGCCAGTACAGTAGTAAAAAAGCTCCGACATGGGAACAAGTACAAAAAAGTTTTGAGTTTCTTTTAAAAAAATTCCCTAAATGCACCATAGTTAAAAATGATTTATTTGATGAGACTCAATATGTCCATAATTATGTTTAAATATAAAATTTGGACCACCGAAAAAACCAATTTGTCTGTAGAAACTTTAAAAGCTTTAGTGACCATTAAATTTAATTTTAAAGGAGACCGTATGAGTTAAAAAATAAGCCCCTATTAAAAAAAAATCATCAAAATGAAAAATATAAATAAAAATGTTATAGGTATTGAAAATTTAAAATCAGAATACTGATTGTCGTTTTTACTTGTAGTTTAAACTTTGTTTTTTTTTTTGTATTTCATTACATATTTTGTATAACTACTTAATATTTTTTATTTATCACTACCCTAATTCTAAATTGAAAATGAAAACAAGATTTTAGACAATTTTGTAACTTTGTCCCGCTTTTGGACTTTTAGTATCTGGTCACTTTACCCATACATTACACAGACCCACACAAAAATAGGTTTTAACGACACATAATATGTATTCCTATGTATTTTCGACCGCCTAAACTGAATCTGAACTCTGTTTAGCATCTACACGTCTGGATTTATTTCTACAGTGTTCCCATTTCGGATTGCCAATATGAAAAACTTTTTGTGTGCTTTTACGAAAAAAAAATCATTCTTTAAAAAAAATTCCGCATATATTAAAAAATAGTATTTAGACCTGACAAATATCAAGGTGGAACTTTTTGATGCTGATGATCAATTTCATAAGAAAAGCTTGACCCCAACTTTGCAGAATCCTTCCCCCTTCAGATTAAGGTAAAAATTAATTTTTTCGGAGACGGCAGATATAGTTTGTAAACAAAAAATGTAGGGAGCATTTTCCTCTACAATTTATTAAACTGATGCTCTAGGCATAGATTAATAACCTCTAGGACGAAAGCTTTTTGACCATAAACATTTTTTTAGGCAGCACTAATTAAAAAAGTTGTTTAGATAAAAATTCACATTAACTTTTTTCTTAAGATATACCGTTTTGGAGTTATAGTAAAAACTCAAAGGTTTTGGATTTCATTTGAAAACAAAAAACGTTGTTTATGTCATTGGAATGGTGCTTTAGAAGTAACCAAAATAAGCTAGGATAATCTTAAAAACAATAGAAGACCCACAAATACTGATAGCTTGAAATGAGCTTAAAAATTTATCCCTAGAAACAAACTTTTACTTTAATAAACTGTAAAGGAGCCATTCCACGCGTGACGGATGGGATAGTTGCCGTGTTTTTATTTACAAAATAATGTTGTTCTATTGTATTGCCAATGTCAAATTTTTATAAATGGTTCTAAACTGGAGCTGTTTAACAAGGTTTTTATTTGGCAAAATTGGGTATCGTGATTGACTGTCCAATTCCTTAAAAACTAATAATTTAAAGCGTAACGGTCGGGACTTTGCAATAGTCCCGACCGTTACGCTTTAAATTATTAATTTTTAAGGAATTGGACAGTCAATCACGATACCTAATTTTGCCAAATAAAAACCTTGTTAAACAGCTTTTGTTTAGAGCTATTAATAAAAATTTGACATTGGTAATATGGTGGAACAATATTATTTTGTAAATAAAAACACGGCGGCTGTCCTATCCGTTAAGCGTGGAATGGCCCAAAGGTAAGAAGTTATTTAAGGAATTAAGAAAAAAGATGGCAAATCCTGAAATTTAAAAATTACAATAATATAATTTCTCGTATAAAAATATCTGTAAATTTTTTTATTGTATTTAGATCTTGGTCAGTAGCCTTTTGGTTTCCCAATAAATATACATACTACTACTATAATTTCTCGGCAATTAATTATCGTGGAACCTTCAAAACTAAGATTTTTTGTTATCCTAGCCTATACAGGGTGTTTCACATCGGGGTCCATTAGAAGTTTCTGGGGGACGGAAAAAGATATCGATTTGAAATTTTAAAACCGTTTAAAATCCATTTAAGTAAGTCTATTTTTCTAAAATTTATGAACAAAATGCCCCATATATTTTTACATTTTTAAATTCTGTATAAATTGTAAGTAGTAATTTTACTATGTCCTATACCTAAAGTGTATAGTTTTAGAGTTATTTTTTTTCGATAAAATGCGCGTCAATCAAAAATAGTCTATAACTTTTTTGTTACTTAGGTTTGTGATAATGGGGGTGGAATTTTTGAAATCTTATAACATTGTTTAAAATATTGCTTGTCAACTCTTTAATATTTTTTCCACAAATTACCTGAGAAAACCCAGGGCAAATTAGGCTAACTTAAAAGTTAATAACTTTTTATTTTAAATGTGTTTTTACACAATCAAATATTATATTGAAAAATCTTTTGATTTATGTAACTATTCCCTGTTGGTTTATTAAATTGTTACAGTTATGCATTTTTTTATTAAAATATTTCATAAAATAAATTTTATATTTTATTGTAGTCAGTGGCCTATAAAAAATATTGACAAGCCAAACATTTTAAAAATTTAAAAGTTATACCATCAGTATTTGTGGGATGTCGACTAGATAAAGCACTAGCTCATTGGAGACCTCCAATGAGCTAGTGCTTTATATAGTCTACATCCCACAAATACCTACGGTTTGTATAACTTTTAAATTTTTATAAATGTTTGTTACTTACAAAACACTTAATTAGTCAACAAATTGTTTATAATACCAGTTGCCCTGGGTTTTCTCAGGTAATTTTTTGAAAAATTTTAGAGAATTGGAATATTTTAAACAATGTTTTAAGATTCCAAAAATTCCAAGGCCATATCTGCAAACCTAATAACAAAGAAGCATAGCATATTTATGATTAACGCGCATTTGTCAAATTAATAACTGAAAAATTATTTACTTACTTAGGTAAGTAATTTTACTTAAAATGTAAAAATATATGGAGTGTCAGATTTGAAATAACAAAGTTAATGTCAGTTTCAGAAAAAATAGACTTAAATAAATTATAAACGCTTTTAAAATTTCAAATCGATATCTTTTTTCGTTCCTCAGAAACTTCTAATGGAAAACGAATGTGAAACACCCTGTATAACATCCACATAAAATTTGAAGAAAATCTGAGTTTGTGTGATCACCAGTTCGAACTGCACTGTTTGATCTAACGTGATATTAGATAAAAAAGCAAATTAAAATGAGGACTAAAATAAATTTAAAAGCTATATTTGAATAATAAATTACAGTTAAATTGGTAGAATATCCGAATAACGAGCGAAAAATTGTATTAGTGTGTCCATCTACATAAAGTAGTTGTTTATTCAAAATAAAGAATACATCTACATTGTATGAGTGAAAGGTGAAATAATTATTAAAGATTAATTCCTATACTAAGTAAATATAAAAATGTTTTGAATGTATAATTAGATGTACAGTAGCTATAGCTACTATAGTACAAAATAATACATGTTAAGAGAATTACAAATTTATTTTATTGTGGCCGTAGTCACAAAATTATAACATTTATAAAATAATCCTGCATTAAATAACAGCAATTACACATCCTATAGTAAAACCATGTTATGAACAGATACAGCTCTATAAAGGTATTTTTTGTTTGTTTTATAGTAGGTATAAACTTATGGCAAATCTAAATTGTAGGGCCTAGAGATAATGAATTTATTTAGCAATATATAAACCACAAAGCTGTACATTTACTGAGGCCCTCGTTGCCATTTTGATCGCCCTGAATGGATTAAGGTAACTGCAGTTGAAACCATACGGAAAATAGACAGAAAGACAATCTTTTATTTTGCTTATAAAAGACAGCATGACTGAGTGGTGCAGGGGTCCACGCTTGGCGGGCGGGTGGCAACAGAGGGCAGGGGGGACGTGTTTATTTGGCGCACGGGCTAGAAACAGCTGCCCTCGGGAGGCTGCGTCAACTTCATGTTCTCCTTCAGTGTCATGAGTCTGCGCAACTCTTGCAACACGGTTTTGATGGTGTAGTCCCTTTGCCACCTTGCCAACACAGGGACCAGCCTGTTGTCCACCTGAAATTAGATTAAATTTGCAATTTTGTATTTACAAAAATGTCCAGGGTACTTTCCCTGTACATTTTTTTACAAAGATGATAGTATAGTATGATCCAAATCTAATCCCACAACTAATTGCCTTTAAAGGGTTACATACATTTGTGCTGGGTCAAAAAATCGATTTATTTTTTATTTAATATTACAACATATACTTTTAAGAATATGTACTCAAAATTTCAACATCGGAGCACTAGAACTTTTATGTTATAGCAATTTATAGCGCGCTACCTCACGAACATTTAAAGGCAAATTGATTGAACTTAAAACTTTAAACGCGTTTATCTCGGAATCGTATTTTTTTTAAAATGCCGTTGCCGTGAGCACGATTTCTCGAAAACCAATTAACCGCTTGATCTGAAATTTGGAAGTGTTACAATAGAATTTTCATTTAGACGAAAATTTCGATTTTTTTTGGCCGAAAATAGTTATTTATGTATCAAGGCAGTAAAGTCGTATTTTTTATCACGAATGCAGAGGCGAAAGCCGAGGCAAATAACCACGTGAGTAAAACAAAAATGACTTTAATGCCGAGGTGCATATTATTAAATTTTATTCGAAATCACATATAATAATACTAATAATTAATATTGATGATTAAATCAAATGACATTTGATGATCAAATCAAATGTTATTTGAATGTAGGAAGTGTCTATGTATACATACTGTTTGTTGCGACGTTTATGGTATATATGCCCGCCGAAAATAGTTATTTATGTATCAAGGCAGTAAAGTCGTATTTTTTATCACGAATGCAGAGGCGAAAGCCGAGGCAAATAACCACGTGAGTAAAACAAAAATGACTTTAATGCCAAGGTGCATATTATTAAATTTTATTCGAAATCACATATAATAATACTAATAATTAATATTGATGATTAAATCAAATGACATTTGATGATCAAATCAAATGTTATTTGAATGTAGGAAGTGTCTATGTATACATACTGTTTGTTGCGACGTTTATGGTATATATGCCCGCCGCGGCGATTTTTTAATCTAATTAATAAAATTAACTTTTTACTTTTATTAAACAAAATTTTATGAACGGGTCCAATCGACCTCCGCAACCGTGCTTTTTTTAATATTATTTAGTAGCAGTAGATACATCTTAAAAAGTATAATGGGTTGCATACAATACTATCTATTAGATCGGCAGTAAAGTTCTACTTTACTGCCGATTGTTGACTACTTTACTGCCGATTTCGGAAAAACTCAATTTCCGTACCCTCAAAAATCGAGTTTTTTGGGAAAATCACCGCCATTTGCGTGAACATTTTTTGTTTGCAAAACTCTTCGTTCACGAAGGGGGTGATAATATGTAATAATATGATTTTTTTTACATTAAGATCTGTTAAGCGTTTTTCGATATTTCATGCTCACCGCAAACCCTTAAAAAAAGGCGTTTCGGGACAAGGGCCGTATTTTCCAATTTAGCATATTTTCGCATACAATTTTTTTATAAATACTTGGAAACATACCCCATTTGATGCTTTATAGTTTGTTTCAATATAATTATTATTATATACCAAAAAAATCACCAAAAATCGTTAATTGTTACGAGCTTATATGTATGTAACCCCTTAAATAATTTTTGTTATTAAGATGACATTTTTTGCAAAACTCTACACATTACAAGCAAGTTTCTCAAAGAAACTCCAAAAAAATATTTTTTTATACCTATACAAATAGATGTAACATAAAATGGCATCATATTTCCACTTATTTCAACAAAGTTTTTTATGGATACTTGACAAGATACATATATAGAGATGAAAAACTAATAAAACTTAATAGTACAGTCAATCTCTAAAAAAAATTAGGGGGTACATAAAAAAATTAGTGGTCCAACTGGTAAAAAGTCAATATCACGTGTTCCCCCTTTTTTTAATTTTGAATTGTTTTACATCGTGTCTTATTGGTCAGACAAAAAAAGTGTTTAAACAAAAAATGTAGTTTTATATTTTTAACATATTTACACGCGTAGAGAAAATTCTCAATTGGTGCGATGCGCACATGGCGAATTTCTGAGGAACTCTTGCATCTACAGGCAGCGAAAGACTAATGTTCGTTGCGCTTGTCATGAAAAATAGTTTACATATATCGTGGCGAAAGGCGACGATTTCCAAACAGTGTGTGGCTACTCGTACAGCAAATTTATGTTATGTCCAATTTTATATATTTATTTTGATATTAACACTTTTTATTAATCATATTTTTGAGATCCAAAACTGTGGAGCTCGCGCGAAAAAGTCGATAAATCCAAAAAAAGCAAATGTGTGGAAAATCGCAAAAAACGTATTGCATTTATCGGGTTTTGAACCAAATCCTTAACTTTTAACATTTATTAAAAGAGGGACTTGGCGGGATTTATTCAACATTCTTCTACTTCTACACATACAAATTATTTAGACTTTTCTTTTCCTGGGGTTAAAGTAGGGGAAGTGAAAATCACACGGGGATTGCATTAAGGCTCATGCGTGGCGGCATTGCCGGTTTAAATATCATATATCATAAGTATAATAAATTCTTTTCAATAAATTATATAAAAAAACATTTAACAATAATAAACACAGAAAATGGTGATATTTTATAACAGCAAGAATTTGGCAAGGTCGTATTTTGACCACAATAGCCAAAAGGTTTTTATCAGACATATTAATTTGTAGATGGTTTTTATAATTAACCATTTTGTTTGTTTTCTGTTTTATACCAATTGTTTTGGCACTGTTTTTTCCATTGTGTTTACGAGATTTTTAGTGACTTTTAGATAATATGCATATTAGCCACTTTCTGCTTTTTATACAGCCAAACCACAGAAATTTATGTAAGCTTAACCATGCAAGGCAATGATTTAGAAATATTTTATATAAACCTAAATTTTATTTAGTTGACAATTCGTATTAATATGTATATAATATATACATATTAATATGGATTGGATTGGATTTGTTGGGTGGAGGGTAGCCACATTGTGGCTACATGCACTTAGGCCACAGTTGGCCCTTTGTACTGCCCCCGAGATCCATTTCCCCATTTGTGTTTGCTCAAATTTTTAATCCAGCCATCCGAGTTTCCGAAAGAAATCTAGAAAGACGGCTGGAGAGATGGAGCTAATGTTGGTTGCATCAACCCATTCTTCTCCTAAAGTGGATTTTCTGAATTCGGGAAGAGCAGGACATTCACAAATAATGTGTATTACATTCTCTTCGCCCCAGTTACAGGCTCTGCAAAGAGGACTGTCTACTTTTCTTATCGTATGAAGATGTTTGTTTAGTCTACAGTGTCCCGTTATAATTCCGACAAGGTCGGAGAGGTTTTGACGAGATAGCTGTAGACTGTACCTGGCCAGCTTGTCAGATGGATTAGTGATAATATTTTTGGTCTGACGACATGAGCTTAGATTAACCCATCTTCTTAGTTGTTTTTCATGGGTTAGTTTTTTTATCTGGACTTTTAAGGTTGAGTTCGTAAGTGGCAGGACAGGTTCAGGGCCCACTGGCAGCTTTTCCGATCCCTGTCTTGCCAGTTCATCAGCCTTTTCATTTCCTTCATTACCATTATGTCCTTTAACCCATACTAGTTCTAGGATATTATTAATCGTTATCAGCTTCAAAGCAGCAATGCATTCCGCTACCAGTCCCGAGTCAACTATATTGTGACTCAAGGCCAGCAAGGAGGCCCTGCTATCTGAGGAGATTCTTATTGTTTTTCCATGTATTTGGAGCTCTATTACTTTACGAGCAGCCTCCAGTACATATTAATATATTATAATATATAATTCTCCCACTGAACTAACATGCGCATAAGGTAAAGATACAACAAATCGACAAATTTTCGCTCAAAAAATGAAACAAGTTCATCTATACCACAGGTCTGTGATCTATACAAAATTTAGCGAATAAGCGGTATATGTGTGGAAGTATGTGATTCTTGTAGAGCTTAGCGACATCTACCGGAAACCATCAAAAAGTGATATTTGACTAAAAATGGATTTATCGGTTTTTGCGCCCGAGCTTTACAACTTTTATATTAACGATTTTTTCATAAAAAAATTAATTTTGGAACCATTGTCACTACAATCTCAAATATTAAAACTTTTTATATTTTTTATAGATATGTCCTACAACTTTTTTATTTAGAATTTTTAGTTTTTTAGGAACTAAATACAGAAAGTTTAGGCTATAACCGAATATGCTTAACATTTCAAGCTCGACATTTTTTGTCTGACCAATAGGAAAAGAGATAAAACGATTAATTTTTTTCTTTCAAAAAGGGGGGAAGTGCTGAAGGAGGAAACACAAGAATTTGACATTCCACCTTTTAGACCGTCAAGAATACGATATTTAAAATTTTCTATCAAAATCTAGATTGACTGTACTATAAATGTATCTTCATTGCATTCAAGAAGCTACTTTACTCAAACATCATTATATAAAAACCTATTTCATTTTAAATCTCTTTGAAGAACATTAAAAACAAGTAAAAAGTATACAGGGTGTTCCGAAAATGGAGCAACTATGGTGGTACGAGTATACGTTGTAAGGAAGGTTATTTATTTTATTTAATTTTTTTTTTGACTAGCATTTTTTTATACGAAACGCTATGTTCTTCTATGAGGGGTCTAATATTAAACACACTTCATTTGAGTAACATTGAGTTAAAAAATACGCTATTAAAGTATTTCCTTGAAAAAAATAGATGTTGAGTGAAGATCAATGCTAGAAATAGGGGCAAAAATATAAGATATGATATTTTTACTTAATCATTTCAACTGGACTTCACAAAAATTTTAACTATTATTAACCTATTTTAACTTTTTATTTTTGAAATGCCATTACAAATTTGTGTTTAATTATTTTATATAAACAAAATATATAAATAATGTTTTTATTGCATTTTAGGTGCCTACTTAACAAAGTATTCTAAATATACAAAAGGCCATCCAACAGGGTTTACACTTTCCAAAAAAAATTTAAATAATAAAAAAATAAGAACATTCCTAGATATTATAAGATAATTGTAAGATTAATCCAAATATTGTTTCCTTGGGGAATTTGGTGGCATTTTCTTTAACTTCTCATGTAATGCATAATTGTGTAAGTATGTCAATGGTAGCAAATTTAATGGACAGATTTTTTAACCTTTCAACAATATAAACCTATGTTCAATTTTTGATAAACAGCTATTCTTTAAAAATTTAAATAAAGAAAATAACCCCCGCTATAAGTGGTAACCGTAGGTGTGCCATTTTCAGAGCACTCTGTATAAGTTACCTAAACTTTACAAATGTTTATTAAAAGGACAATACTGCCGTACTTAGGGAAAAGGCAGTAATGTTCACTTACTGCTTTTTTGAAATTTCAGTACCAATATGTTTTTCTATTGATTTAACGTTTATTCAGTATAAAATATTACATTAATAACTTTATTTCCATAAGAAAGTAGTTTTTTAAATGTGACAAATATTTTGAATTAATTATATTTCCGGAGTATAAAAGCAGTAAATCTATTTCTCAAAGTAAGAAAGCAGTAAAATTCAAACTATACTGCTTTTATCTTCTGAGAGAGATTAGTACTGCTTTTTTACGCTTTATTAAGTGTCATGTGATTATATTATGATCTGTAGTTACCAAGAAAAAAAACAGTAATCGTCATTTTACTGCTTTTTTCTGTTGAATTATCGACATTTGAATGTCAAATATTGTTGTGAGCGGTGTGCAGTTTTGTTCCGGGCTTTTAAATTAAAAGTCATATTTTTTTAGTTACTAGATAGATTTTGTTGAGGTTCTAATTAGTTTTCATTTTGTTCAAAAAGTTTTCCATGTGATTAAACCTCCGTTTTTTTTCTCGAAAAATGTTTAAATTCACGAAGATTTTATAATTTTTAAAGAAATAATTTAAAAAATAGTCTTTGTTTAATTTTAATTACTGTTTTTTTTTTCATTACCTGATAATTCTAAAATTTAAAAAGATTAAATAATTGTTAAATATTTGTATTCATCGTTACATGAATAACAATATAATTGTTATTATATAAATATTAATCGTTTGTAATAGTAAAAAAAATTAATTATATGTGCAAAAATTAGAAAATTACAATCAGTATTTTATATTTTGTGATTCAACGGTGATAAGATAATAATTGTTTTACCTAGTTGTGTTTATTTTTCAATGAATAAAACTTATTAAAAACGAAAAAAAATTTTTATTCCGAATTACTGCGCTTTTTTAACAAAATAATTAATATGACAATTAAAAAAAACAACGGAAAAAAGCAGTAATCTTGTTTTACATAGTAAAAAGGCATTAAGTCATATGTTACTGCCTTTTGGTTTACAGCAATAAAAGACAGTACGTCATTTATTTTAGGCCCGCCAATAAATTACTTTTTAAATACACACGCAAATGACTTCTTAGAAAACCATGTAAAATATTATTAGTCATTTATATATAATTGTAGAAGAATAATATTATTAATTTAGTTATAAATTATCTGAAATTTAAATTTTATTTTTCTCCAATTTAGCTTTTTGCACTTTACTGCCTTTTCCCTAAGTACGGCAGAATAGGTATAAGTGCTTAAAATATCTTGTGATAACTTTTTAGTGTGTAACTTTGACTCTTTGACTAACAAATAAACTAAAATGGGCTTACAAAAACATCCAAATGCAACTGGAATATTCAATTTGACAATTAAACTAGCTTACAAGCTAGGTGTTGGGCTAAACCATATATTTACAGGGGACTTAACCCATTTTTGCAAGATTGTTCAAAATGACAAGCTCTTGCCATTTTCTCTGTATATAATCTAAGAAATATCTTAACTAACAGTTTTTAGATTGGGCTAAACCATGACAAAAACTTTGCTTGGTTTGTTTAAAAGTCAATTTTTTAAATATACTAAAAAAATAGAGATAAATTTCCTTTTTAGTCTATAATACACCACAAAGAATTTTTGTATTTGATATAACTACTGAATTTATAAAATAAACAACCCTGACTTAAATAAAAAATAAATATGTAAATAATAAATCAAACAATGTTTTAATTGGGTGTGTCTAGCAAATAAAATCTAAAAAATGATAAAATCACAATTTATTAGAAAAAAAGACAATTATAATTTAATTAAATTATAATTATATGTATTTTGTAGTTAATAAATTCTTTAAAGTTAAACATATTGAAATAAATGTTTTTAGGTGGGTAACTCATCATATTATATTAAATACAAAATTTATAGAAGATAATTACCTTATTTATAATCTAAACTAAACTAATTATTTAAAACATCAACTTTCTTTAAAATCAAGCAAATTGCACTTTAAATCTTCAACAATAAACAATTTAGGTAGTACACATCCTGTCTAAAAAATAAAAGAAAAAAAACAATATTCTTACCACTCCATTGTTGCTATTGATACAGTTAATGTTAATCCTAGAAATAAACTTTGCAGTGGGAGCTTCGTCTGGGTATTTCTGACCACATTCAATTTTCACTGAGTACATCCTGTTTTCGTATGGTGTCCTGGGGGGCCCAATTATCATGCCCATCCAATGGGTTAAAGTCATATCATCATCATTTTCCAGACCCCAACTTATGGTTCCATCTGATACTCCCTTCTGGCCAGCTTCAAGTTCTTCAAGAAGTCGGAAATTTCGTGGCACAACTAAAATTATTATAACAATATACCAGGTGTTAGGGAAATAGGTACTGTAACTTTAACAGGATGTAATATCACAAGAGAAGCAAATTAAACATCAGGAAAACTGCTGAAATATCAGTGGCGTAGACGTATTTAGTTCAACATTTAACTTTAACACCTTAAGGTCTCGGAAACGAAGTAAAATCGGAAAAAATATAGCAATTGTTTGCTTCTTTAAAAACATGTTTTCCCCTATTAAAGCTACATTTTTTAATTAACCAACGCCATGCAAATTAAATCGATAATTAAATAATTAAATAAAATTAGATCGGCGATAACTTAAAAATAAAAACTTACCCACACCGGTTGACGGGGCCGCCATGATTTAATGAATCACTAAATTGTCAGTTCCAAAACTTCTCTCCGGTAAAATATTAAATATTACCGATTATCTATTTTCACCTACAAAAAATAAATTAATAATCTAGTCTCTAAGATGGATTTATTTTAAAAATACTTTGACAAAAACCACCTTTTAGCAGAGCTTGTCAAATTGATAATTTCAAAGCTGTCAACACTAAAAACATAAAATCCCTAAAACACCAAACCATAGAAATAAACGAAAAATAGAGAATAATGTTGTTAATAGTTAAATTAGACTGTTGGGAACCCTGATATTTTGTAATGTTGGCTATGCTATTGTAGTTAATGTCACGCACAATCCACACATTGTGATGTCACGGTATAATTTACTTTTAAAGAAAATTAATAGAGGGCGTCACATACGTTTCTTATAAAATAAAAATAACCAATAGAACATGTATTTTTAAACTAAAATATTAAAGTTTAGTGATATATTTGCGAAATGGCGATGACTTTTTGTGGAAAACGATTGCTCCTAACAAAAAACTCAATATTTACAACTCTCAGGAAGCAACATGGATTTATAGTATTGTAAGGTTATTTTAGGTTATCAAAGTTTTGTGCTTACCGGATTTTTTTAGAGTTCCAGAAATAGGAGAGGACTCACCCGAAAAAAATCCTCTTCATCACGATGGACTTCCAGAATTCAGTAATATTTCAATTGAATATTGTCAGGCAGCTATTGCTAAACAAACATTGGAATTTGAAGCAAGTGTCAAAAGTATAGAGAAGAAAATTGAGAACAATGAATGTAAGGATGTGTTTAACGATGTATTTAAGCCGTTAGAGCAGGTAGGAGCTCCATTGGATATGACATGGGGGTTATCAAAAACTTTATATTTGGGGAATAGTTCTAAAATGCCCACTAAAAGTTACTTAGGTATTCACGATCGTGCACGTAGAGCTAGAACTTCCAAGTATAATAGTGTGCCTATATACAATGTTGCGAAAAATGAATTAGAAATGGATGATGCTCAACATTCTAAAGAAGAAAAAAGATTGTTACAGAAATTTGTTTTGGAAGGAAAACTAAATGGTATGGAGTTGGATAGTAAGCAGAAAGAGTTACTTATTTATAGTTTGAGGAAAATAGCCGTTGAAAAAGCCAATTTTAGACAAAAAATAGATATAGCTAATAAGCAGTTTTCTCATGTTATTGATGATAGTAAAATTGTAAGGGATTTTCCACCAGAAACTTTGAAGGCCACTGCTCCTGATCCGAATAAACCTTTAAATGGTCCATGGAAGTTATCTCTTCAACCACATGTTTATTTATCGGTGATGGAACATTGTCCTGTAAGAGAAATACGTTGGAATCTTTGGCAAGCAATGGTGAGCAGAGGTTCAAATTACATTAGCAGAGAACTATCAACTAGTATTCATTTAGAAGAAATAAGGTTTATTAGAAGGGATATAGCAAAAATATTGGGCTATGAAACTTTTGTGGACATGTCGATGGAAACCAAAATGGCAGGCAGTTTGTCTACAGTTCAAAACATGTTTAATGTCTTGTTGGAACAAGCACTTCCAGCTCAAGAAGAAGAAATCAACAATCTGTACAAATTTGCAACTGACAGGGGTTTTAGGTCGGAGAGAATAGAACTGTGGGATGTGCCTTATTGGAGAAGGAAGCAAAAGAAAACACTGTTTGGCTATGATGATGAAGTAATCAAGGAATATTTACCTTTGAACAAAGTTCTGGATGGTTTATTCCAACTTTGTGAAAAGTTGTTCAACATAGTTATAAAGCAGAGAAGTAATGTGTCTGTCTGGCACAAAGATGTTAAGTATTATGACATATTTGAGCCTCACAGTAGTGCTCCAGTAGCCGGTTTTTACTTGGACCCATATGCAAGATCTGATGAAAAAATTAGGACGCAAAATAATGGCTGGATGGTTGCAATACAAAATAATAGCAGTATTGCAGACACTAAGCCCTTATCAGCACTGGTTTTTAACTTTGAGCCACCAACTGCCAAACACCCATCCCACTTGACGTTTACAGAAGTAAAGGCATTGTTCCAAAGGTTTGGTCATGCCATGCAGCATCTGCTAACCAGAGCTGTGTACTCTGAAGTGGCAGGCCTCAGTAATGTTGAATGGGATGCAGTTGAAATCAGCGGACACGTTTTGACCCACTGGTTAAACAAAAAAGAAATTATCGATAGCATAACTTGTCACAGAGACAGTGAAGATAAATTGCCGACCACCCTGTTTAACGCATTAATGAGCAACCAAAAGCACATGGCAGGTTTGGATTTATCCAGAGAACTCTATCTATCAGCTCTGGATCTTGAAATCCATTCCACTAAAGATTTTTGGCTGGACATTGTGAAGAGATTATGGCCGCAATACCGCCTATTTCCCTTGGACAAATACGACTCGCACCCATGTTCCTTCACGCAGATTTTCTGCGACGAGTGGGGGGCGGCCTACTACTCAAACTTGTGGTCGAGAATGATCGCAGCAGATGTGTACAGTGCTTTCCACGAGGTGCAAAACGACGAGCAAAAGTTAAAAGACGTCGGCAAACGATTCAGGGACACATTCTTGGCATTGGGTGGCAGTTCTCATCCCAGTCAGATATTCAGGAACTTTAGAGGAAGAGACCCCTCACCCAAAGCTCTTTTAAGATCGATAGGATTAAAGAAATCAAAATGTTAATTTTTTGTTTAATTAATTGTAGGTTTTAATAAATTATAATTTGTTTTACTTGGGGATTTCATTTAAATCATTCGCTTGGGTAATTTTTGCCTCTTCTAATGCCTTTTGAAAGAACTCATTGGGAAGCATTTTTATGCTGATTTCCAGTTCACTAATACCATGTTTAAACATGTTTAGTTTGCACAAGGCCACTCCTCTTCTTCCAATGCACAGAGCTCTCTGTTCCAAATTTATTGGTACTGCAGGTTTTAGCAAATCCAGAGCTGAACTGCAGTCATTGATTGCCCTATTGAAATTTTCTACAAAAAAAAAATTGTAAACAATTTTATCACGCATGTTTTACTTACCTAATCCCATTTGAGCTTCCGACCTTGCAATATAAAGATCAACAAACTTCTCACTAAGCTTAATACCAAAACTATAAGCACTCACAGCAGCTAAATAGTTTTTATTCTTCATAAACTCGCTACCCTTTGCCAAAAGATATTGAGGATTTCTCTCCTCTGGTCTGATATCTTCACTCATAAATCCAGCTGACCTTCTGGCTTCAGCTTGCTTTCTCAACCACTCATTTTCCTCTTCCAAATGAGATTCTCTGCTAGGTGTTGGAAATGCTCTTGGGGTAAACAAGACTTGCAATGATTTTGAAGTTCTTGGCTTTGGAACTTCAGAAACTTTTTCCTTTTTAATTGTTTCTTTTTTAAGAACTTCCTTTTTATGTTTTCTTGTATTGAATTTGTTGATTTTCTTGATTTTTTCCAAATAATCATTGTCTTCTGTAGAACATATCTGTTGGTTTGGGTTGATAACATCATGATTGTCTTCTTCATATTCTGTAATTGTCATACTTTTAGTCCATGTTTCCACATCTCCAAGTGCTTTATTTTTCTCGTAATGTCTTATTTCCTCAATATTTTCCCTCTGTTTTGTTTCCAATTGAATTTGCTCCCTTACAGCAACTTTTTTAAGTTCACTGTGTTTTAAACTCTTTTCTTCACATTCTTTTTGAAACCTAATATGCTCTTCCTCAATAAGTTGTTGTTTAAGAGCGAATTTTTCCTGTTTTGTCATGTCTGGCTCCAAAGTATGCCACATTTTGTCTTTGCACTTAACCAGTTCAAATACTATCGCATCTATTAATTTTGTACATTTACTCTTACTTTTATCAATTGGTTCCAACAATAAAACCTCAAAAAATAAAGTGCACATTGATATTTTTATATATCTTGGTGATATGAACAAGTCAGCTTTTGAAGGATTTACTTTAAAAGGAACTCTAATATTTAAATGTGTTTCGGTTTGATTCCAAGTGTAATCTTTTATAACGATTGGCATTTTCTATCGGTTTGTAAATAGCACAGAAAATAAGGTAAACCGTTTACAACAATATCAGAATTATATAGAAAATTGACCTAATAATCCATAGCAACCGCAAATATTCGAATTTTATTTTTTATTTTGTTGGTACCATTCCATAGACAAAAAGATAGAGGGATCCAAAGCACTTTATTATATTACATTTTGTATATTACTTTTAAGCAATAGTTAAAAAGTTACAAAATAATGTATTTAAATTTCATTTATTAATTTTAATTATGTAATTTAACGTGTATTAATAAAAAAAAATACAGATTGTTTATTTCGTTAGGTTGAAAACACTGATTTCCGTTGCAAATTTCATGTATGTTTTAGATGTCATAAACATAAATTTATAAACATTTAAATAATGGCAGAAGCGATTTGTGACGATTCAAAGGAAGCTAAAGAAAAGGGTGTGTAAATGCAACGTTCAAAACAGCATGCCATTTTAAATTGGTCAATTTTAGGTGAAAACATTGAATGCGCTGTTTGTCTACAACCCTGCATCCATCCTGCCCAGTTGCCCTGTGGCCATATATTTTGTTTTCTATGTGTGAAAGGATTCGCGAATCAAAGTAAAAAATGCGCAATGTGCAGACAAGAAATTCCCAGAGATTTCATTGAACAGCCTCATCTATTGCATGCAGCTACTGAAGAGTCAACGGAATTCGATGGGGGCTACCAATGGTTCTATGAAGGAAGAAACGGTAAGGACATATGGCCCAGTCACTTTGTGTTTTTTTCGTAAAATAATTTTATTGTTTTAAATAGTATGTGGAAAAATCATAGATAATATGTCATTGAGATAAAAAGATTAAAAGATGGCAACACTGTTTTGAGTTTAAATAATTTAATTTCTATACTGATACTGATCCCTAGTAGCAATGGAATTGGACAAGATTCTTTGTCAAGATACTTGGAGAAGCACTTTGTAAAGAATTGGACAATTCTTGACCAAGACTCTTGATCAAAATTATTTATCCAGACTGGTGGCAGACTTGGACAAGTCTGTGACCAGAATTTGACCAGATTCTTGGCCAAGAATTTTTACACGATTACACGTTAAATAGGAACTTTCAATTCAAGATTTTTGGTCAATACAAAATTTTGTTGAACTTCAAAAGTTAAGAATGTTACTAAAAACATTAATTTTCCACGATTTCTTTCCAGTAAATTCGGTTTTTATCCATAAATCTGGTAAACAATAGAATTAAAAACGAAACAAATTTTGAAAGAGTTTAAGTTTTTAATTTTCTATGTTAAAAAAAAACCAGGTGCCCGTAAAAATAAACATGTATTTTATAATCTTTCATGTTCATAAAGAGTAAACTCTAGTCATGTGTCAGAGCTGACACACACTTTTTTTTTAATTTTTGATTTTTAGAAATAACAATTTTTATTTTTCAAAAAATCAATTTTTTTCTCAGCTAGAAGACGAATCCAATAAGCTCTTATTCGTATTTTCACATAAACAAAAAAACTATACTCATTCCCTACAGAGAACTCACTTCTCGACTAGTATACATTATTGTGAATGATACTACTGTAGAATGAGAATCTCTACTCTATAGGATAGTCCCAAAGTTTAGGCCTCAGATTTCTGGTCAAATTCTTGTCAAATTCTGGCCACAGTCTGGCTCAAGTCTTGCCCAATAATCTTGGCCAAGAATCTGGAACAATTCTTGAGCAAAAATCTGTCCAAAGTATCTTGACCCATGCTGGGCCAAGACTTTTCCGGAATTGCTACTAGGGATGTTCTGTGGTGATATTTATAGATATAGTATACATATATACTGCCCTGCTAAGCTAAACAATAATAATAAGTAATAAAGAACAAAATATCTTTTTAATTGTTAAAAACAATACAAAAATTCCTTTGTTCTTTATTACTTAATATTCTAGATATGGCAGTTTTGCTTGACAGGGCAGTATAGTGGTTTTTATAAAAACTATATGGCTTTGTTCTATAAGGGAGAATGTCAAAAAATGCGTTTGTAAAAAATATTTTTGGGAAAAGGTGGTATCATAGACATTGGTTGTTTTGTCAAAATAAAGAGCAGAGTATGTGTAAATTACTGTAAAACCAAGTACTATTATTCCATCTTTGACGTTTGAATAAAGAATACAGTCAAATAATTTAGGTTATGTATCTGTCAGTTTAAAGCCCGCTGCACAACAGCCCGGTAACAAGAACGCGAACGGGAACCTAAACGGTAAAGGTGGGAGAGATCAACAGTGGTTTTTAAGTCTCTCCCACCCAGTGTTGCCACTTGTAACATAATTATCGAATTGTAACATAATTTTTCTTTGAAAAAGAGAAAAATTATTATCCGTACTATAATCGATAATTGTAACATAATTTTGACCTCCGCGCCGATGGCTTTTTTTAGACAGCTTTCGAACGGATTACTTTTTTTTTATGTGAACCATTGATTTATAAATTGCTTTCCTTCCTTCCTCCCGCCCGTCAGTGAAACAAAAACAATATGCAAGGCGTTGTAGCCTGCTCTTTTCACTTTTTACATAATTTATGATTAAATTAAAATATATTTTATAATTATTGTAACATAATTTTCTGCAAAATCGATAGTTTTGTCAACCCTTTTCGATAATTTCAATTTTTACAAATAAGAACACTGCTCCCACCTTTACTGTTCAGATTCCCGTTCTCGTTACCAGGCTATTGTGCAGTGGGCTTAAGTTAAGCCCACTGCACAATAGCCCGGTAACGAAACAGACCTTGTTGTGTGTATTGTGTGTTTTTGTAAGAACCTCAATTGTTTTATTTTAAGATAATAAGGCGAAATTAGCGTTAAGCCTTAACGCTAATTTCGCCTTATTATCTTAAAATAAAACCATGGCGGTTCTTACAAAAACACACAATCCACACAAAAGGTCTGTTCGATCTCGTACTAAAAATCACTGCAACACTGCACATCATACAATGGCGGCCATTTTTGTTGTTTACAATTCTTATGCTTTGGGTTTGTACAGATCAATAATCGTTTTAAACGTTGTGTTTCTTACAGGGATTTTACTCCTCTTTTGTAAAAAATAAACCTTATTCTATCAGGGCTGAAGGTTTAAAGGTTAATTTGTGGGTTATAAAATAACCTTTAATTAACCTTCAAATTGACATTTGACAGCCCTGATAGAATAAGGTTTATTTTTTACAAAAGAGGAGTGAAATGATTGTTATTACCATTTTGAGGTCTCTTTTAAGGCTTGCAAGTCTTTCTGTAAGAATGTGTTACGTTTAAAACGATTATTAATGTGTACAAACCCAAAGCACAAGAACTGTAAACAACAAAAATGGCCGCCATTGTATGATGTGCAGTGTTGCAGTGATTTTTAGTATTTTTACTATGAGATCGAACAGACCTTGTTATGTGGATTGTGCAAAAACAGACATTTTAAATTAATATTTTGAGGCAGTTTTTATTTTCAGATAAGGCGAAATTAGCGTTGAAATGACAGATACATAACCTCAATTATTTGACTATATATGACATTGAAAAAAGATATTTTGGGACTTTTGATTTGGAAAATCAAAATGATATTAGACTTTTTATAAGCAGGCCATTGAACTATATGATAAAAACTGGTGTTTATTGATCTCTGATCAATTCAGTCCAAAAAGTTGTTTAAAAAGTTTTCCTTGTAGGTATTTATTTTATAAATGCTTAAAGTGATTGGGCTAGTTTTGCATGTTGTCAATTTTTAAGTGATTAAATTTAAGGTTGGTGGAGATATGACCATCGAACTAATGAAGATATAGAGGAAGCCTTTAAGTTAAAACTCCCCTCATTTGATATTTTAATATGTGGAGAAACGTATGTTATTGACTTTCAAAATAATTTTCAGTACCCTAAAAGAAGTTATAGTCGAAAACGGGCGATTAGAAGGGACAAAATTGAGAATGTGGTCGTTAAAGGGGTGGCAGGGATCAAATAGCAATCTGGCCAAGTTGTTAATTTATTTATTATAATCAAATATTTATTTTATAAATAAATTGCCAGTTATTATAATAATTGTCAATAAATAATTAATTAAACTGACATACCTATTTTATTTCAAAATTTCCAAAGGGGTTTTAACTTGATTTTACATTTTTTATACAGTGTGTCCCAAAAATGGCACACTATAGTGGGGGTTATTTTAAGTACAACATACTACCAAGTAGCTGCTAAAAGCCTTTTTTATACTTAAAATAGCCCCTCTCAGCGTGGCATACCGTTTGTGCGCTATTTTCGGGATACCCTGAATAAACATGCAGGTAAAATATATTCCAACTAGCAAGTCTTAGGTAAATATGAAAGTTTTCTTCCTTTTAGGGTGGTGGCAATATGACGAAAGGACAAGCAAAGAACTTGAAACTTCTTATAAAAGTGGCGACAAAACCTGCGAACTCTTGATTGCAGGTTTCTTATACATTGTGGATTTTGAAAGTATGTTGCAGTTACGCAGAAATGACCCATCTAGGAGACGAAAAATCAAAAGGGATTTTGCAACTATACCCAAAAAAGGTAGGTACTAACCAAAACTAAAAAATTGTAAGACCAAAAAATAATCAGAATTTAATTTTATTTGACAAATTTAAATATCTTATATCTGAGAACCGTCAGTCCGTTTTAAGTGCTGTCAACGGTTATCGATTAACAGGTTAACCGGTCATAATTTTATTATAACCGAGAATTGAGGGTATAACCATAATCGGTTACATTTTCTCCTACACCGGTGACGGGTGAATCCCCGTCTTACATGCTATGGTTTTAATTTTATAGTTGCATGAGAGTAGTTAGATGATACACGTTGTTTATCATTTTGTTTAATTAGTTCTTATTTGCCTTTAAAAATTTCTTTTGTGTGGAATCATTTTACTAAGAACATAAAAAATAATGTCGCGTTTTATTTTTGGATATTTTCTTTGGTAAATTATTATTGTATAGTGCTTGCATGACGTTAGTGAATAGAAATTTATAATTATGTATAAACAATTCAATATTAAAAAATGTCAAGTAAAAGAAAATATTTTAGTGTATTTGCTAAACGCAAAGTAAGAATCAGTTCTGACCATTGGTCAGTGACCAAGTTGCACATCATTTATTTAAAACATAAATATTTTTTTAAATAATTTGAATAGTATAATTAAAATAGAACTGTATAAATGGGATACTAAAAATATATATTTGAAACAAATGAAAAATCCTACTTATATGGTAATTTTTTAACAAATAAAAAAGCATCGAAAAATTTAATAAATCTAGATTGGTATTTTTTCTCAATGAAACAGTGTATAATTTTGGATATTTAGATAGATTTTTTAATAATTGACCAAAAAAGTAGGCTTATTTTATACAATTAACGCTTAAGTTTTCTATCTATGGCAACTATGATTTTTGCGTAAAAATCAGCATGATTTTCGTGTCAATTACGATTGACCCGAAAATCCTGCTTATTTTAATAGTTTCCATAGATAAAAAACACTGGCGTTAAAATAAGCATAATTTCTAGATCAATTCGCCGAACTCCGAAAAATGTGTCCATTTTGACTAATTTCTCAGAAAAAACAAAAAACACTCTTGGGTGTTGAGTATTAGCTTAAGAGATGGCACTAAAATTTCAAAATGTTGAGTTACACTTTTCGGGTTTCGCCGACGATATTTTAAGTCAAGAAAAAAAAAACTCGATCTAAAATAAAAAAACAAATTTGTTATTGTTGTTCCTCATTGCTTTTTTCCAATTACCATGATCTTATTTTTGTATTTGCGGTGTTCCATTTTATAATTATATACCATGATCGATTAATATTTATAACCGATCATAACCGACCATAGTCAGTTCCATGTTCGGTTATAAATATTAACCGATCATCGTCACGGTCAACTGGTTAATAATGACCATTTAACCGTGACCATGATCGATTAATGGCCGGTTATGCAACATATTCAGTAACCGGTTATTTACTTAACCGGTTAATATTACATAACCGATTAAAAAATTAACTAGTTTTAACCTCAAATTTTCCCAATCTAAAATCTGTCAGTTTTAACCTAAACTTTAGGCTAACCAGCCCGTGTATAATAGTATATTATTATACGAGAGATAATGCGCATAATCTCGAGTGTAATACGTATTACACGTATAGTACTATACTTTATTACTTAATAAATAAAATCTGACATCTGTCAAATGGTTAACGGTTAACCGTTAACCTCACTTTTGACCAAATTTAAATGTTCCCAATTTTCAAATCCCAGTGAATACGGCCATTTCAAGCGCGCGAATTACAAAACTGTTTTTATAAAAAAAAACTAGATAATTTATTATAAATTATTTTGGCATTAAAATTGTCAAAAATATTCTTTAGGTTATACCTACATTAAATAAAAAAAAACACAAGAAATATGTTATAAAAGTAAAGATAATTTTAATAATTGAACCACACCTTTCGGGACAAAAAAAAGATTTATCTTGTCCCATCTACACCTGTCAATTATTGAAATTATGTCTACTTTTATATAATACTTTTGCGAAAAACTGCTGTTAATCCATTTTCAAGGGATACATTTCGATTAATAAAAATTTGATATTTGACGGTAACATAGATTTCCCTATTGTTTAGTAGATGTCGCTCTATACAAATATTTCATTTAAATTATTTTTAAATAATAATAAGTATTTGTATTAGAAAAAGTATTGTATCCAACTTGTTTATAAACTTTTCTAGACACTCATTAATTATTAAATTAAATTCTTGTCTAAAATGCATTTTGCCATGGCGTTTATCAAACTTTATACATACGAGCCCTAACCACAAAATGTTCGGACACTTAATAATTTATACAGAAATATTTTTCGTGAATACTATCTCAAAATTATTAGAAGTTATGAAAAATTCAGCTCATTTTGGCATATACCCCTCGAAGCGATTTTTATTTTTAAAAAGTTTACCTTTTATTTTTAGATTTTAAGAAAAGGCCAACTTTTTAACTTTTTTTTGTATGAGTAACAAAAGTTATAAATGGGCCCATTAAAAAGAACATAAAATATTATACAAACCCTGAAAATTTGGTAAAAATTGTATAAATAATAAGAAAGTTATAACGATGTATATATCTGCAAAATCTCCCGTTTCCTAAGAAAATTGCAAAAACTCTTTAAAAATAGCCTTTTTTAATTCTTATACTTTTTTATAACTAATTTATTTTTTACCAAATTTTCAGAGTTTGTATAATATTTTATGCTCTTTTTACTCATACAAAAAAAAGTTTTAAAGTTAGCCTTTTTTTAAAAGCTAAAAATAAAAGGTAAACTTTTTAAAAATAAAAATCGCTTCGAGGGGTATATGCTAAAATGAGCTGAATTTTTCATAACTACTAATAATTTTGAGATAGTAATCACGAAAAATATTTCTGTATAAATTATGAAGTGTCCGAACATTTTGTGGTTAGGGCTCGTAATATACTATAATGTTGTAATGCTTTGTATACATGACAATTAAGGTATCGCTGGTCTAAGAACCGAAGGAGAATCCTCAAGTACAGACAGCCAGGGCAATGACACAAGACCAGAAAGTCCTGTAGATGGTAGAAACGACAATATTGTACCAATTACCCCTTCAAACACCCCACAGAGTCCGACGAGCGGCCGGGAATCCCCGCACCAAGAGGAGGATCTTCAAGCAACCATGGAAAGAATAAGCTCTCTAAGATTAAGTTCCAGCCCTTCAAGAAATGACAATGATGAAAATCCACCTGGCAGGTCGAGGTCGACAAGGAGTAGGTATCACAGACATAGAAGTGTGGATTGAGTTTTTGGATTTATTGGTGATAATGATGTATTTATTCTTTTATGTAAGAATTTATAGGAATCTCTATGTGTACTGAATGTATTATCAAATTGTATTATGTATATTAATTATTAAATAAATAATAAATATTTTATCTTTGACTGCATTTTATTTTAACATTTAAAACTTAATGGAGGCAAATCTGCGAGTAAAAAAATGTTTTCAGGTATTATAAACAGGGACTTTTGAATATTAAAATACGTTAAATTGATTGCATAATTTTTTGATGTTTTATATTTTTATAATATTTTTAAGTCAATAATTCGCTATAAAATAAATTTGTCTGAAGATCACTTGCGTAGCCTAGAACATTTTATTAAGTTTGTGGATAAAGTGTTAATAATAAAAAATGCCGTTTTTCTGGAAAGTCACTCTCCTTACCTGTAAAGGTTTGTTTCTACGGGTAACTTTTAAGCTGATGTTTGATCAGGACCACACATAGTAAGAAATTATGGTAAAATTACGGATAAAAATATGTAATATTTACATAAAAAATATGGTGTTTCAAATAAACGCATAAATTATTACGGTGATTTTACCTAATATATTCTGTAAAAGGTAAATATTTTACAGAATAAAACGTTGTTCAATAGTGACAATGAACAGATGTCAGCTTATTTTGTTTTGTATTTTGTTTCAAATGGCTCAGTTTTACATCTGTTATAGCTTATTTTTGACACCTGTCATTTTTGAAATTTAAATCATTATTTTGACATGTGCCACCTGAAAAACCACCAGTTTTAAGTTGCAAAAAAGAATTTTTTTGAAATTATTAGCTGCAGCTTAAAAAGTTATACGCTTATCATCAAACTTCACTCAAATAATTTGTACAGGTTAAAACAGCGAATTTGCCGGATAATTTATTAGCTGTTAGTCGGCATTTGCTGCAGCTAATATAAGTTTTGAAAATGCCGACTAGAAAATTCACAGAAAAATTGGAATCTTTAAAAAAATAATTTTCGGAAAATGACCATTTTTTTTAAAGCACCGAAATTTCGTTCTCATATGGGAATGAATATTCATTGAAAATATTGAAATAGATTATCGGAAATTCGGAGAAAAATAAAGTAAATATTGAATTGTATAAAATATTTATTCTAATAACATTTAACTTACAAATTGCAACACCAAAAATACTGTTGTTTTTAAAAACATAACAAATTAAAATAAATAATATGAAGGTGTTAAATCAACAAAACTTTATGTGTACATAATAAATATAGAACTATAATGGATGATAATTAATATTTCGTCATAATTTGGTATTTACTAAATTTCACAGCAAAAAATTAAAAGGGTAAATTTGGTTTTAATGGAAAAGTAACACAGCCATTTCATTTTTTTTTTGGTGTATCTATATAGTAAATACTGATTGTTAGTACAAAACCAGGTAACAGGTAATATTGTATTAATAAATACCAATTAAATTAATAACATACAAAAAATGTTCGTTATTTTTTAGTTAAAATGAAGTCATTAACTTTAAAAATATAAGGAACAACATTTTAAAATGACAGTATTACTTTGCCTCCAAAATTAAAATTATTGCTAGATATCATAAAAAATGCAGTATGTAGGGTGCCCGTTATTTCCCAAGTTGATTTTTTAATTTGGGTATAATCTAAATTATTTTTAGACTGTAAACAAATAATTTAGAAGATAATGACAATACTTTTTATTTTGATTTATTTCAAATTATGACCTCCGATATTATTTAAAAAACATAAAATACCTTTATTAAAATCTCATTTAAGAAGGGAAAATTTTTTGTTAGGCTGTAAAAAAAATCAACTTGGGAAATTACTGACACCCTAGTATATATGTATATATATTTAGTTTAGTAGAAAAATTTAAGTAGATAAGGTTATCTAGGATAATGAAATCAATAATAAGACAAACAATTACGTTATTAAATCTAAACTGCATTTTTTATGAAACACTTCAACACAGGTACTATAGGACTGTTCTTATTTCTGCAGAAATAATCTTTGAATACATTAACTAAATGTAAATACTTACGTATCTAATCAAATATTTACACGTTTTTATTTGCAATACACCCGAAAAATTAAAGGTTGTTTAATTATTTCATTAGATTCTAATACAATTGTACTTCAATGCCTAATTGACAGGGTGTTGCAACAGACTAGTTCCAGCTTTTCTAAAGGTTATCATGTTGTTGACTTGTTTTGTTCCTCCAAACCCACTGAATCGCCTTGTTTACATTCACTAGCACCCAAGGAAAGAGACCTGCTCCTTTTATCACTCTACCACATATGAATTTTATGTAATCGGTACACTGTATTAAGAAAAATTTACGAAATTTTTGCTGTAGTCAAGGTTTATTAGTAAAAAGTAATAGAAAAAAGGATATTAGATAGTCCACGGCGGATGTCCTCCATTAATGTATAAAACATACATAAAACCATCCTTACATTTACCTTTTATGGAATAATAGTATGGTAAAAAATTATGTAATCTAAATCTACGATAACAGAAAAATTAATGTTAACCTATTCTTTAAATTCCAATCATAAAATACTAAAATAAACCATTTATCTTAGGGTAATTCCATTTATTAGCCACCAATGGGTGCACCTCATATCCTCTAATTTTATTTCTTTTTTAACTGTAAATAGACATGGACCCAAGAAGTGAAAAAAACTCCCCTTTTCTTTTCTCCCCCTATCACCTATTTATACAGGGCTACGCAAAAGTTACTATGCAGACCTAACTTAAAAAAATTGTACTTTTTTTGCTAATAAAGCTATCGACATTAAACAAACTGTTAATTGTTAAGAAAATATTTCTCTTTTAAACCATATAGGACACATTTAGTTATTGATGCCCTAAATGGTCTTTGGGAATTTTTTTAAAAATGCAATTTTTTGGCAAAATTGTCTAATTTTATAAATTCATATATTCTTAGAACAACTTGCCAGCAAAATTTTTTTAATGTAGTTTGTTACCATAGATCTTACTCTATATAAAAGCAATGAAAACATTTTCAAATAATATTGGGTACGAGTTCAATAAAATATAATAAAAATCCATGTTTTTGAAAAATCACTATTTTCAGCCATTTCATGGTTTAAAAAGGCTATGTTTGAGTGAGTCGATTTAAACCAATTTATGCTTATCATCACATGCACTTATTAGCCTCCAATAAGCATTAATAAAATTATTGTGTATTTTGCTTTTAACTGGGCTGTGGCTGTATGTACAGCCCAGCTATAAGCAAAATACACAATATGCCCACCTGACTTTCAGCCATTTCATGGTTTAAAAAGGCTATGTTTGAGTGAGCCGATTTAAACCAATTTATGCTTATCATCACACGCACTTATTGGTCTCCAATAATCATCAATAAAATTATTATGTATTTTTCTTTTAGCTGGGCTGTGGATGTATATGTCCACCTGTGACTATATCCATATTATTAACCATATATTTTGAAAAAGCGTATTGCATCTTTAAAATAACTTGACAGCCTTGAATTGACTTCTAATTCATTCTAAATAAAAATATAAAATATAAAAACCACATACAGTGGCGTCGAAAATTAACTACCCAATTATTTATTTTTTAAATTAAGAAAACATAATCAAATGTACAAAAAATTAATTTAATGACTAAAAGACATACTTTCTATAAACTTTATATTTAAACAAAATGAAACAGGTATTAAATCCTTCATTTGAATTAAACCTAACTGCATATAATTAAACTGAAGAAATCATATTCTTAACTTTTACAATCACCTAAAAAACCTATTTACTATTTTTTACCTCTAAAAAGTTATATGAATCGGAAAATGGATCGCAGCAGACTTCACCAAAAATGTTGGTAAAATTAAATAGATACTTTAAAAAATATTTTTATCCGAAATCTGCCGAAAGTAGTCAACAATCGGCAGAAAAGTAAAAGAAATAAAGTTCTACTTTACTGCCGATTCATTTAAAGGCCATAAGTCGTTAATTTATTCCTCTTGATAGACATTATACACATAAGAAAATTTTCCGATTCATATAACTTTTTAGAGGTAAAAAATAGTAAATAGGTTTTTTAGGTGATTGTAAAAGTTAAGAATATGATTTCTTCAGTTTAATTATATGCAGTTAGGTTTAATTCAAATTTAGGATTTAATACCTGTTTCATTTTGTTTACATATAAAGTTTATGGAAAGTATGTCTTTTAGTCATTAAATTAATTTTTTGTACATTTGATTATGTTTTCTTAATTTAAAAAATAAATAAATGGGTAGTTAATTTTCGACGCCACTGTATGTGGTTTTTATATTTTATATTTTTATTTAGAATGAATTAGAAGTCAATTCAAGGCCGTCAAGTTATTTTAAAGATGCAATACGCTTTTTCGAAATATATGGTTAATAATATGGATATAGTCACAGGTGGACATATACATCCACAGCCCAGCTAAAAGAAAAATACATAATATTTTTATTCATGATTATTGAAGACCAATAAGTGCTTGTGATGATAAGCATAAATTGGTTTAAATCGACTCACTCAAACCTAGCCTTTTTAAACCATGAAATGGCTGAAAGTCAGGTGGGCATATTGTGTATTTTGCTTATAGCTGGGCTGTACATACAGCCACAGCCCAGTTAAAAGCAAAATACACAATAATTTTATTAATGGTTATTGGAGGCTAATAAGTGCATGTGATGATAAGCATAAATTGGTTTAAATCGACTCACTCAAACATAGCCTTTTTAAACCATGAAATGGCTGAAAATAGTGATTTTTCGAAAACATGGATTTTTATTATATTTTTTTGAACTCTTAGCCAATATTATTTGAAAATGTTTTCATTGCTTTTATATAGAGTAAGATCTATGGTAACAAACTACATTAAAAAAATTTTGCTGGCAAGTTGTTCTAAGAATATATGAATTTATAAAATTAGACAATTTTGCCAAAAAATTGCATTTTTTAAAAAATTCCCAAAGACCATTTAGGGCATCAATAACTAAATGTGTCCTATATGGTTTAAAAGAGAAATATTTTCTTAACAATTAACAGTTTGTTTAATGTCGATAGCTTTATTAGCAAAAAAAGTACAATTTTTTTAAGTTAGGTCTGCATAGTAACTTTTGCGTAGCCCTGTATAAATAGGTAATAGGGGGAGAAAAGAAAAGGGGAGTTTTTTTCACTTCTTGGGTCCATGTCTATTGACAGTTAAAAAAGAAATAAAATTAGAGGATATGAGGTGCACTCATTGGTGGCTAATAAATGGAATTACCCCTTACTTACTTCCTATGTTCATAAAACATAATGGCAGCTGAATTCGTTGTTAGAACATGCAAAAATACTGCTTTCACTTTTTTCCTTTCAGGAGTTGTAAGGTGCCTTAGCAAGGAGTCTAGTAGTAAAGACGCAATACCATTGCGCCTATATTGCTTGAGAACTCCCAGAGACAAAATATAAGCTATATCGGAATCGGAAATCGATTTGGCAAGAATCCCTGAATCTTCTTCGTTAAGGTCGGCATGTGATTTAATTTCTGCTACTATTAATCCTATTATTGTTTGATTATAAACTGCAGCCAATGAATAAAATCGGCTAAAATTATATTACTTTAAGCTAATTTGCTTTGGTATTTAATAATCGCTGTGGCTCCCGTCCCGAGGCGGGACTTAAGTTCAGTCCCGATTGACGTCATAATTTTAAGATTTGTTATGTTATAATAAAATAATAATAATAATAAATTGTACCTGTATACATGTTAAGGGCACGTTAGTTCCGTCATAAAACCAAACCAACCCAAACTCAACAACACAACCCAACCGACCCCGCCCCATTGGCCCCCCCCGCCCCATTGAGCAAAAAAACCAACTAAAATGGGCAAATTTATGTTACGATAAAAATAAAACACTTTTTAACAAAGAAACAACAAATTTATAAAATAAAAAAAGTTTGACAACTTCTAGTATAATCGAACCTGATACCTCTCGCATGCCAAGCGAACGCCCTACCATCTAAGCCATCCAGCTTGACACCAATTATAAAAGCTCGGGGAATAAAAACGGATTTACAGTGTGTGAAGTCTGTCGGGATCGAAGTTAAGTCCCGCCTCGGGACGTTTAACGCATACTATTTATACAGGGTGATAATTAAACAATAATTCTTATATTATTTACTTTTCTCAGAAAATTATAAGAACTTTTTGCTTTGCTGTTGCTATGATAACATACATTTTTTTTAGTTTTGAGATAATCATGTTCAAGGTTTTAGCTTTACAAGTTTAGAATTTAATTATATACCTTGGCAACCTTTTACCATGATATAATAAAGAGCACAATCAACACAACAAGGTTTGTACCATGGTCTGTTTTCTGTTGAACAGACTCTGTTTTATCCTGTTTCGCGCATACTAAAAATCACTGCAACACTGCACAGAATCTAACAGCTGCCATTTTTATGTTATTTACAATTCTTGTGCTTTGGGTTTGTGCTGTTTATACAGATTAAACATCTTTTTAAACGTCGGTTTCTTACATAACCAAGAAATTAACCTTAAAATTGACATTTGACAGTTTGATGACAGCCCTGATAGAATAAGGTTTATTTTTGAGAGGAGTAAAATGGTTTTTCTTAACACTTTAAGGCCTCATTTGAGGGTTACAAGTACCTTTGTAAGAAACAACGTTAAAAACGATTATTAATATGTATAAACAGCGACAATTCCAAAGCACAAGGATTGTAAACAACATAAAAATGGCCACTGTTAGATTCTATTCTGTGCAGTATTGCAGTGATTTTTAGTAGGCGCGAAACTAGATAGAACAGGCCTTGTGTGAATTGTGAATAAGAAAAGGTATGCTTTACCCCTTAGAATAAGCTCTTACCATGGTAAGACATACAGTGCTTGCAATATCAACTCCGACCGCACTGGAAAGGACGGCTGTTCAATACCCGCGTGAAAAGAACAAGGATAGAACGCCAAATAGAATTTGATTGGCCAGAGCCGGCTGCCGGATGCGTGCGAATTGTAAGCGAGGTCAACTCTCAGTCTGGCTGCATTTAGACTAAATGATTTAGTGTCAAGCAAACTGCGTAAGAGTGTAGATGCACATTTTAATTTTCTTTTTAAATATTTTATAGGTACCCGAATCCTAAAAATAAAATTTTTTGATTTTTTCCTTGAGAACTAGGGCAACAACAAAAATAGTATTCTTAATAAAAAAGATTTCTCAAATAAAAAATAATTCTGAATAAAAATAACTAGGTATAAATAAAAATAAAACTCTAAATAAAAATAAAACTCTAAAAATAAATAATAAAAATAAATAAACTCAAAAATTAAATTAAATGTTCGAACAAGCCCCCATAGGCAGCCAAACAATAGCCTAACCTATTATAAAAATTCCCACGCACATTTGCTAGGACTTCTGGACTAATATCCCCCAACAAATTAGTTATGCGGATTCCTAAATCATTGAGGTTATTAGCCCGATCTTCCTGGAAAACGTACAGCTTCGACTTGAGGTACCCCCACAAAAAAAAAGTCGACATTTACTCTCCATGGCAGGCACAATTCGCAGAATGTTCGAATGTGGGCGCGAGAAAATCCTCGTAGGATTTATGCAGCTCGGACACAGTATCCCCAAAAACTTAATGTCTGGGCGGGTATTTTGGGCGACCGAATAATTGGCCCATTTTTTATAAATGGTAATTTAAATGGCGCTAGGTATTTAAATCTCTTAAGAGACCAAATAGTTCCCGCGCTTCAAAATTTAGACGGAGTTAACATCGAAAACGTATGGTTTCAGCAGGACGGTTGCCCCGCACATAATACGATGGCTGTTCGGGAATTCCTTTCCGACACTTTTGGACCTCGTCTTATTATGGGTCGAGGAGGAATTCTCTGGCCAGCTAGATCACCGGACTTGGCGCCGTGTGATTTTTTTTTTGTGGGGGTACCTCAAGTCGAAGCTGTACGTTTTCCAGGAAGATCGGGCTAATAACCTCAATGATTTAGGAATCCGCATAACTAATTTGTTGGGGGATATTAGTCCAGAAGTCCTAGCAAATGTGCGTGGGAATTTTTATAATAGGTTAGGCTATTGTTTGGCTGCCTATGGGGGCTTGTTCGAACATTTAATTTAATTTTTGAGTTTATTTATTTTTATTATTTATTTTTAGAGTTTTATTTTTATTTAGAGTTTTATTTTTATTTATACCTAGTTATTTTTATTCAGAATTATTTTTTATTTGAGAAATCTTTTTTATTAAGAATACTATTTTTGTTGTTGCCCTAGTTCTCAAGGAAAAAATCAAAAAATTTTATTTTTAGGATTCGGGTACCTATAAAATATTTAAAAAGAAAATTAAAATGTGCATCTACACTCTTACGCAGTTTGCTTGACACTAAATCATTTAGTCTAAATGCAGCCAGACTGAGAGTTGACCTCGCTTACAATTCGCACGCATCCGGCAGCCGGCTCTGGCCAATCAAATTCTATTTGGCGTTCTATCCTTGTTCTTTTCACGCGGGTATTGAACAGCCGTCCTTTCCAGTGTGGTCGGACTTGGATTTGCAAGCACTGTATATGTCTGGAGAGTGAGGGAGTTACAACAAGAAGATTATTTAATATAATATTCTTAGTTGTAATTATGGTAAATTTGAAATGTTAAATATCTAACCTTAACTTAACCGTCAGTGAAAGATATCTAACCTCAATTCTACTGTCAGTGACAGATACCTCAATTCCTCAATTAAATAGCGCAAATTATTCCATAACCAACGCATGCGCATTTGTTTACTGTTTTTCTAATTTGACTTGAATGTGCTGGACAGGCACTTATCCAAAAATAGATAAAGACATCGTGAAAGTTGTAATAATAAGACAAATAATCAAACTTCGCAATAAATAACAAACACAACAGAAGAGCATATCTTCTCTTATTTATAAATATTATGCCTTTTATTACATATCTATTCCTGCAGGTCCATGGACTCCATTTTTTTGGCTTCTAGGGGCCACATATTAATTGAGGGCCTTATAATAAAGGACACATTTTTATTGTTTTAATATGTTTTTAGCATTATATTATAGATAAGGCATTTTTGCTTAACAGCTTTTATTAATTGATTTTTTTATAGTGCAAATTTAATTTTATTTTTTTAATATATGTAATCAGATGGGGAGGCACACCCATAATTACCTCATTAATTAACACTAATTATTTTGACCTTGAGTAAATATCAATTAATATTAAATTTATTTCAAGGAATCTACTGGGATTGCTATATGTACCTGTTACTGGAAGTAATTTCCTCATACCAATAAAAGGGGTATTCTATAGGAAACCAGTCCTGGCAAAGGGCCCGGACTTCATCTAAATCGCTAGGGCATAAAAATCTTAATTGTACATTTGATAAAGAATAAAACGGAATTTGCATTTCCTCCGTAATGCAAGTGCCATTTGAGCACTTGTCATTTGACTGATACCTACAAAATACGGCAAAAATTAAGAAAATTCGATACATTTGCATAATTAAAATCTAAGGTTAACATATACTTACCAGTTTATTCCTGCCATTTATCTTGATTAACGCCTTTCATTTTACTACATGAAATTTTATGGCATTTTGCTTTTTTTCGCATAATTATTTAAAAAGACATTTGTTTTTAATTCGATCCACAACAATTAGCTAGATGGCGACATTGAAAATTTGACGTTTATGTCATTTCACAAAAAATATGGCAGTATGTTTTAACCAAGAAGACTAAATACAGGAGGAGTAACTTCTTGGGGGGAGCGCGCCTAAAAGCGATACGTATAAAAATATAATATAAAAAAAATAATAATATAATATAAAATATGATGTTTTAATTATCTCGAATTTTTTAACCAAGAAGCGGCTGGTGGCAACCCTATCTACATCAAAAAGTTTCACTATGACATTTGAATACAAATCTATTTTTAATGCTTAGACCATAGATAACAAAGCCTTAGACCATATAACACGCACAGATTATAACACGTGTTACTGGACGTGTAAAAAAACACAATTTGTGATCAAGATCATATGATTTATAACAAAGATGTGTTTTGACAGTGGTTTTGTTTTGTATTGTTTTTAGTCCTTTTTTACGAATACAACTTAAAATGGAAAAAATGTTCAAATTTGTGGTGAAAAATGCAGCCTAAATGCAACAGAAACGCGTGCATGGCTTTTCTTGCAATTTCGCCGACATGTTTTTATTTTACTATCAATTAAATATTGGATTTACTATTAAATATACTAATTAAATATTGGATTAGTTAATTATTATTAATATATTATGTATACATACAATTTAAATTTGTAAGCATAAATTTGAATTTTTTCAATCTATAACAAATATTATACTCAAGTAGATATTTATATCGTACAGTGGCGGAGACAATGGGGTAGTTAAATTTTTTCTGACCTATACTTTTTATGGTTTTATTCAAAGCGTTTTGTAATATTAAACATTTCTGTGAAATCAGAATTTCAATCGAGTTTACCGTTTTCGAGATATTTACAAAAAATATAAATTTTTATGACGTCACAAACCCCGCCATGTGACCAACATTCTAAGATTTCTATTGGTTGAAAATTACCCTGTTGTCAAGTTGTCTTGTTAATGATTTCATTCGGTTATGTCAGAAAATACCCGAAGAGGTTATGTACAAATACTGTCACTGTCAGTTGAGTGAAAGAAGGAGGCTAAAGAAAATTCTGAAATTAAAAGTTTTATTGATAGGTTTACACATTGAAACACTGTGTGAAACCTAATAAAATGTAATAAACAGGTATCTAATAACTGTCTAAAGCAGAGTTTAATATATTTCATAGAAAAAAGTGGCAAAATAAAGCTGAAAATGAATGAAATAAATTTACAAAAAATAATAATATACCTAAAAGAATATAAAGAACTAGGCATTATACTAATGAAATGGATTTACGACAAAATATGATTATAATTATAGGTACTTACTTTATTTGTTTAAAAGCTCCAGTGTTCAATGTAACCAACCATTCCACAAGATTCCTCTGCTTTGGAGTCCGTTATTAATAAATCACTTATCTAATATCAATTACAAATAACATAACAATAACATTGATTTTCAATAATCTAAATTTAAAAAAAACAACCCGAAAAAAAGAAACGTCAAAAATCAATTCTTCTTCTTCTCAACTAAAATATTATAACGTGGCGCCATCTATCGTAAGAATCTTAAACTAAACACACTGGCAACGTTGTCAATAGCCTAGTGACGTAATTAGGAGATTTGGTTTTGTAAATATCTCGAAAACGGTAAACTCAATTGAAATTCCGATTTCACAGAAATGTTTAAAATTACAAAACGCCTTGAATAAAACCATAAAAAGTATAGGTCAGAAAAAATTTAACTACCCCATTGGTCCAGGATTCTTGGAGCAAAACAAACGCTATTATTTTAACACACATTTAAGCTACGCGTCCAGTGTTATAACTTTATAAGCACAGACAAGTGTTTGTCTGTGGTTAAAAGGTCTAAATGCGTGACATGTACAGTTGTATTCATTAAAAAAGCGTACAAGAATTAGAATGAGAGAAAACTGTCAACATTATTGCGTAAAACCGGCTTTCCACTGACTTAAGTCACTATAACTGACAGTAGAAAATAAAATTGCCTCGTCAGTTAAAAAGGCTCAAATAGTATCAAGAATCGAAGAAGATAGGTCAATTCGTACTGTGGTATAATAGAAATAAAAAATCTATATTAAAAATTAAGCAACGCTGGGAACAGGAAGATTTACTAAACCAAAAAGTTGGTTCAGGTCGTCCCAAAATGTCCACCCCTGAACAGGATGCTGCTTTTTTGAGATATCTGAGGATTTATGGGAAACTATACAACTATACTATACCTACTATACTGCTGGGAAGATATTAATCCAAATATTGTATTAAATTTAATTCAGTTCATCCCAAATAGATTGGCTCAAGTAATAGAAAAACAGGGATGCATGACTAAATATTAAATTTTTTTTAATGTTTGTTTTTTTCATTATTAAAAGGTAATAATTTTTGTAATATTATTTTATTAACCTACGACGTCAATGCTCTTTATAACCTATAATAATTATTTTAATGACTTATGTCAGTGATAAGCCGGTTTTAAGCAATAATATTATTTTGACAGTTTTCTCTCATTCTAATTCTTGTACGCTTTTTTATTGAATAAAACTGTATATTAGGCATTGTCGTGATCGAGTTACTTCTTCTTAATCTAGTCTTCTTGGTTTTAACGGAATTACAAAAATACATTTTATCCAGCGAAAATTTTAACAGATGTGTTATAAACATAACCTACCAAAAAAACGTGGTTATGTTGTGAATGTTAAAAAATGTGTGCTTCTAATAATCAGGGTTTTAAAGGTAACAAATATGAAATTTTCCATTTAATACAAAATTTTAATGAATGTTATTATTGCAGTTTTAAAGTTACGTTTTTCTCCAGAAAGTTCATGTTCACACTCAATATTTGTAAAGGAACATTCAGTTAGGACTCACGATGATAGTAAACCATCAGGCAGGACAATATTTATTTTAAATTTACCCCCATATGCTACAAATGATAGTATTGAACATGTTTTTTCTGAAGCTGGCAAAGTTGATTCTGTAATTCTTCAGAGTTCAGTTAATAACGAAGAAAAAATAAATAATGGTTTTAATGTTGGGTTTGTTGTGTTTCACAAACGTGAAGGGTTACTTAGGGCGTTAAAATTAAATAATATTAAACCATTATCAAATACAGAACACACTGTCAAGACAGGGTTGAGTAAATGGATTGAAGAATATAATTCAAAAATTTGTGACCCAACAGAACTGCAAGAAGAAATAAATAATTACATGATGGAATATGAAAAAATTGAGAAGGATAGTAAGGATAAAAAGGATGAAGTTGACGATGATGGGTGGACTGTTGTTTCCAAAAAAGGAAGAAATCCTGGTGTGGCAAGAAAGGAGAGTGTGGAATTAAAGCTGAATGAAAAAGTTAAAGAAAGTTCAAAAAAGAAGGAATTGAAGAATTTCTATACTTTCCAAATACGAGAATCTAAAATGAAGAATATTGCCAATTTAAGAAAAAATTATGAAGAGGCCAAGAAGAAAGTTACTGAAATGAAATCTGCTAGGAGGTTTAAGCCTTATTAATATATTTTTAGGTTTTTTAACTGTTTTTATAAAAATTAAATCCCTTTTCTTTTGCCGCCAAATTTGATTTAGTATGACTCACCCTATGGTTTTCTACTTGTGAAACCCTTTCATGGGTCTTATATCAAATCCAGCAAAGTCCATCTAAGTAACATTTTTAGAAATTAAAAGTTTTTCTTTGGAAAAAATATGTACCTACCTTTATTAATAAGGAAATAATAGTATTATATTATCTAATCTTTGCGCGCGTTTTTTGCGCGTCGGGTTGTGTTGTTGAGTTTGGGATGGTTTGGGTTTATGACGTAACTAACGTGCCTTTAACATTTCGAATCGCGGCACGTTAGCGTGCCTCTAGTCACAGCGATAACAAATATTTTCAATGTCACTTGACAGATGCCTACTAACATTTTTTCTAGTTTGTTACAACTTGTAACTTACAAGCAAAGCTAATATAAAGAGTGTAAAAAATAAAATTTATTTGATTCTTTTGTGTGTATTTACAACAATATTAAGCAGCTTGTTATAAGGTAAATGTTGAAGCTGATTCAATAAGTCATCAACATGGCCATACACAGCTTTCATGGACAAGGCAACTTGTATTGCCTGTGCATATCTATCCAAAGCTAATTGCAATTTTTCATCATTCAAAACTTGTTCACTGTTTAATCCTTGATTTTTTAAATCATTGACATAATACATTACATAACTTATGGGTACTATGGTGTGTTGGGCATATATTGCTTTGGCAGGAACAGTTTGGGGGATTTCCAGAATACTGTTTAAAAGTGCCAAATGTAGATGGCAGTACAATTCTGATTCTTGGTTGTATAAAGGTGCCAATATACACCACCTCAATAACCCTGCAATTGGGGTAGTCACCTCCATAGCTATGGCACCTGGCGGCAGTGCAGCTTGCTTTTGCTGAGCTGATATACACAATGAACTGTTTTCTGATATCTAAAAAATACAAATTGCAAAGATAAATTAAAAATGTACAAAAAAGGGTCAAGATTAAAATACTCTTTTGACTTACCCACATAGTAATAACCTCTAGAAGTATCTTAGGAGGAAACATTTTGTCTTTCCTAGAGTTTAAGTAATAATTTTCAGCTACAGCTGTTAAAAAATTAGCTGTAAACTGAGGACAAATATCAGGTAAAGTTTTTAAACGATCTTTTGCATTTGGTATTAAATAAAAATAATCATGAACCAAAGCTTCAGCCAGTTTACAGCTATTAGCTGATAAACAACCCAACTGTTGCATCCATGTACTAGCTGACAATAAAATTACTGGTGAAGATACCCCTACAGCTATTGAAATTAACTTGCTCAAAATACCAGAGCGCATCATGGCTGTAGTTCCACTAAATAAAGAAAGGAAGACAGAATTTCTTGCTGCTTCATTTGGTATACTGTTAAAATATTCAAACATTATCTCTAGAAGTTGTAATTCTTGTAAGGGAGTTACAATTTGGGGTCGTTTGTTTCCTCTACGATCCACTTCATAAAATATAAATTCTGCCATGAGATCCAATGCAAGGTCCATGTGTTTTATGCTTGTTATTCGGCCACATATAAGTTCCACTGTAACAAATAATATAAATTATTAAAATTTTGTTTTTTATAAAAATTATTATACCTATTCTCCCCAAGGCTTCTTTGGCACATAATGGATACTCGATTTTTCTTAAGGACTGTTTTAGAATTACATCTGATTGAGTACTCATAATCAAATAATTAATGTTAATCACAATTGAAAAATTAATGTTTAAATTCTAAAAAAACATTATTTTTTTAATTTCTTTTCAAACACCAATATATTTATCACACTTTAGACATAATAATTATTTATTAAAATATAACAAAATTGTTTATAGTTTTTTTAGGTTAACAGTATATTTGAGCAGAAAGGTGAAGCTAGCCACAGAGATAAAGAAGCTACAGATTACAAAAATAAACGTCATATCTTCTTCTTCTGCGTATTATAACCAAAAAATTTAAAACATAACCTTTAAATATCGACCAAAAACATTGAAAATGGTTATTGCAATCGGATTTGAAGGCAGTGCCAATAAAATAGGCATTGGCCTAGTACAAGATGGCAAAGTATTGTCGAACTGTCGAAGAACATACATAACACCACCCGGTGAAGGATTTTTACCAAAAGAGACGGCACAACATCACAGGAAAGTTGTTTTGACGGTGCTTAAAGAAGCTTTGGAGCAATCCGGTATTGAAATTAAGGATATCGATGTGGTGTGCTACACTAAAGGACCTGGAATGGGTGCTCCATTGTCTACTGTGGCTATTGTTGCAAGAACGGTGGCTCAACTCTGGAACAAACCTTTATTGGGGGTTAATCACTGTATAGGACGTATCCTTTATCAATTTTTAATATAATTTTTTCACTTTTTTCTTAAATTTTTCCTAATAAAATGTAGATATTGAAATGGGAAGACTTATTACAGGAGCAAAGAATCCCACCGTTCTTTATGTCAGTGGAGGTAACACCCAAGTTATAGCTTATGCAAGAAAAAGATATAGGATTTTTGGTGAAACTATAGACATAGCAGTAGGAAATTGTTTAGATAGGTTTGCTAGGGTTCTAAAACTGTCCAATGATCCAAGTCCTGGTTACAATATTGAACAAGCTGCTAAAAAAGGACAAAAATACTTGTCTTTACCATACTGTGTCAAGGGTATGGATGTAAGTTTTTCAGGAATTCTGAGTTACATGGAACAACACACTGAAAAACTATTGAAAGAAGGTTACACACCAGAAGATCTTTGTTATTCACTACAAGAAACAATTTTTGCAATGCTTGTTGAAACAACAGAAAGGGCCTTAGCACATTGTGGCTCCAATGAAGTTCTTATAGTTGGAGGTGTGGGTTGCAATGAAAGGTTACAAGAAATGATGGGAACAATGTGTAAAGAACGAGATGCAAAACTGTTTGCCACTGATGAAAGATTTTGTATTGATAATGGGGTAATGATTGCTCATGCAGGGTGGGAAATGTTTAAATCAGGAACAAGAATGAGGTGGGAAGACACTTTTATCACACAAAGATTCAGAACTGATGAAGTCGAGACAACCTGGAGGGATGATTGATTTCTTGTTGTATTATATTTTCTAAGTATTGTTTTATAAATGTATATATATAAAATTGACGTGTTTTATTTAATACTTAAATTTGTATTCGAAATTCCAACTGTAAAAACACAGAAAACAAGTTTGGATCGTGTGTTGGAACAAAGCCTGGTACTGTCTTAGTGCCATGGGAACAAAGATACCAATTTTCCGTACATTGGCAACACTGCTTACTTACGAGTGACCAACTTAAGAATTGAAAATTCCCCGTGTGTTGTATGTTGGAGACGCCATTTGCCAAATATCCAGAGGGCTACAAGCGAAAAGAAATTGAATTACTTATGAGAAAAAGCATTCTCCAACAGCGAGGATTGGACCACTATAAATTAAGGTAAGAGTTAAGTCCGTGACAAAAAATAAGTGCTCATTAACAGTTCTTTCTACCTAAGATTGTGTTTGCGTTTTGTATACAGTTAGTTGATTTCCGAAAGTACAACGTTAAAGTAAAAATAGTTCGATTTAAGTACGCGAAAGACTTTCAGTAGTTTGTGTTGTGAATATCGAAGTTAAAAGTCATATAAGATAGTAGTTTGGAATAAAAATGTATAACATGAAGAGCCGAAACGTTAAATCGGAGAGAAAAGGAGATGTCGGCAGACCGAAGGTAAGACTAAAAGTAACAACGGTCTCAAAGTTTAAAGCAGAAGTGTTATAGAACTGTCCAAGTGAACCTTTCCCGCAATCCATGCCAAGTTATAACACCAAGTTGTTTATGTTCACAGTGCTCTAATAAGAAATCATGGACTCCGAAGACTCACATGATGCATCATCAGGAGATGAGAGCAAAGAGGCTCAAAGTCCAGTAAGCAATAGAAGCAGATCTGGAAGTGGGCCTGCATCCCCACACAGTGGTCCTCAGTCCCCAGCAAGTCCCCAAAGTGGACCTGACTCCCCTGCCAGTGGCAAAAACAATGCCAAATCCAGATCCAGATCTAGTTCATATGAAGATGACAGATCAAGGTCTAGAAGCAGGCCTAAAACCCCTAAATCACCGGCCAATGAGTCCCTAAAAAGTGGGCCTCAGTCCCCAGCTTCACCAAGAAACAGGTAGATTATTGTTTTTATTGAAATTTCTCATGTATACATGAGTCTATAGACTCTACATCATTTTGGGAGTGAGATATTTTTAGATTATTTGACATAAAGTATTGGTCCATGATGTTTTTGTCCATTTTTATGATTTCAGGTTTTCCTATTTTGAGGTTATACCTTTTGACATTTGCAATTAATTTATTCTAATTTGGGTTTGCCAGAAAATTTAATTTATATCACATTTTAGTACCAAACTAAAAACATACCAATCATAAGATTTATGAGAACATTTCCTAAATAAAACTGAAAATTAAAGGGGCAAGTGGATAAATAACAATTATAATATTAATTAAAAATAATTTTGGTATTGCAATTAGAATATTTGTTTTTTATTATTAAAATTTTACCCACTGGCCCCTTTAATTAAGTATAAATAACGTTTTTAAACGATCTTTTGCATTTGGTATTAAATAAAAATAATCATGAACCAAAGCTTCAGCCAGTTTACAGCTATTAGCTGATAAACAACCCAACTGTTGCATCCATGTACTAGCTGACAATAAAATTACTGGTGAAGATACTCCTATAGCTATTGAAATTAACTTGCTCAAAATACCAGAGCGCATCATTTATTTGTTTTTTATTATTAAAATTTTACCCACTGGCCCCTTTAATTAAGTATAAATAATAATCTAAAAACTATGATAGTAAATTATACATGGTGTCCTGAAATAACATCTCATAAATCATCCCAATTATTACATATAATAAGGCATTTTAAAGATTAAGTTTTTAGCTAATTTAAAGTATATTTGGGGAAATATATCTACAATAATTTAAATTAGCTAAAAACTTTCATTCTTTAAAATTCTCTGTAAAATTGTTAAAAATAATATGGTACCTACGTTTCTGGGATAAAATGTAATCAGGGCTCCCACACCTCCTAAAATTCATAAAATTCCTAAAATTTGGCTTAAATCTCAAAAACTCCTAAAATTCTCCTAAAATTGCCATCAATCTCCTAAAACTCCTAAAAATTAAATATAAGTAGGCCAACTTGACTGCGTTTAATTACGGTAGTTGTGCTAAAAAATTTCTTTTTTAAAAAGTAATTTAAAAAATATGTATTTTTGGGTTCTAGTTTATTAAATTCTTTTTAAAATGATCTAGGTATCACAACCTACATTTTTCTTAAAAAACAACAAAATATACCATAAAACAAAATCCATGTAGTAGCTTCTAGACTTCTACAAAATTGCCATTTTTAGCCATATTTCGTTAATTTTCGACAAAAATATACCTACCTTGTTGTATATCAAACAAAAGAATTTTTAATTTTCTTTTAAATGATAGCTAAAATAGTAAACAATCTAAAGAATGTTTTGCTGTATCATGCACTTTATATTTTTTCTATTATGAGATTTTACATTACAATTATTGTTATTTATTAACTAAACTGTTAATTTTTTTCAAAATATAAATATAACATCATTAAACTTTGGCCTACTTTTTTAGCCATATCTATCGACGCTTTTTTTTAAATAAAATTAAAAGTGTGGTGAAATTTCTACTTGTAGATATATACTAAAGTAGTAATTTTACCTCACTTTTTATTTTATTAAAAAAAATCTCGTCGAGCGATTTGGCTAAAAAATTAGTCAATATAACCTATTTGTACAAAAGAAGTGATATTTATTTATATTTTTGTTAAAAAGAATTACTTATTTTTTTCCTTATGTTTTATGTATAGTGTAAAGTTGTTTTTAATAAATTAAATAAATTCATTTGCATACATTTTTCTCCTAAAATTCTCCAAAAAACCTCCTAAATTTCTAAATAAAATTTGTAATTTAACCGTGGGAACCCTGTGTAATTGAAAACTCAAATGAAACGTTTTTGGAGAGTTTTTGAGATACAGGGTGTTAAAGTTGTCAAATGAGTTTAACCCTTCTGAAAAAGTTTTATTTTGGGTTTTAACTTCATTTTACCCCAGGTTATCATTATCTAGTATTACCCTGTATTATTATTCTTAGTTTAAATATGATAAATTAATGTTTGAACTAATCATTTAAAAAAGGACATACCTATTATAATCCTAACAAAACTCTTGTACATTTATAATACTATAGTAAATGTCATTAACAAAATTGTCTATTACCAATATCACCGGATTTTTGCCACATTTTTAGTTTGAACAAGGGTGGAATACCACCCTGGTTTGAACCAACATTTCCAAAAGATTCATTGTTAAAAGAGAAGAATTATTATTTACTTTTTAAATCAACATTTAATGAAACAGTCGGACTAAAAATTGCCAGTCTGTAAAAAAAAATTGAAAAAAATTAATTTTGAATTTTATTTTTCTCCAAAATGGTAAGTTTTAGAAAAAAAATGTAGTGGGCATTGTTCATTACAATTTATGTCATGGGCTCTAGGACGAAAAATTCAAAAGTGTTGAGAAAGTTTATCTTGGAAAAACCCTCAAAATTATTATCAATGTTTTTTCCTACGATAGACCGTTTCCGACTACAGTACCTACTTGAAATTCTGCACGATAATATTTCCTAAATGGTCTATTGTAGGGCAAAAAAGTTAAGTCTGAATTTTGTAGGTTTTTTTAAGATAACAACTTTCTTAATTATATAGGTATACTTTTTGAATTTTTCGTCCCAGAGCATCGTGTAACGGAGGTTTTTGTCGCGCGCTATACTACTATTTCTTATTCCTTGGTTGGTCTATGGGAGCTTGTGGGTTTTGATGTTCTCATATAAGGGTACCCATTACAAATGACTAATCTAATCTGACCTTCAATCCGGAGAAAATTGTAGCGGCTTCAGTTAGATGATGTCGGATGGATGAGTCTGAATAGATGTGAAGTATTCGAGATATGCATATTCACATACTGAACTTAAACGTAACAATGGTTGCCTAATGATTGAATCCTCAGTTTGATTTAATTGCGTTTACTTCATTTAAGCCATGCTTATGAGTTTTATCAATCTAAACCCTCTTTATATTGGCTGATTGAGACTTATCTTTTAATAAGTAGCAGCGCTTTCATATTTACAGAACAATACAATATAATCATATATCTATACTCTATAATCTCTATTTCTAGGTTTAGTTTTAAACTGAATCAATTTGTTTTTCTTCTTCTTAAATTTTATGGCCTTTAGCTTTGTTATTCTTTTAATTGAGTTTATATTATTACTTTTAACGCTATTTATTTTGCTTTAAAATTGTTTGCTTGAAAAAATTTTTGCAACCGAAATTCTCTTTTAGTGCCTTTGTCCAAATTATCTTCAAAATAAACCAATAAATTTGTTTTGACGTTATATTTCAAGTACCCTTTTCAAAATTACTTATTTCGCACATGTTGAGGATTTCTAAGGCTTTTCTATAAATTATTCTAATCGTTTTTTCCAACTTTCTCCCTGTAACAATCGACCTAATGACATAAATTGTAATGGATAATGGCCACTAAATTTTTTGTTTAACTTTTTGAGAAAAAATAATAAATACAAAAAAAGAAGAGTTTTTACCTTAATCCGCAAAGTTGGGGCTAAGCTTTCTTATGAGCTCCAAAGATTCATTAAAAAAATTAGTATGCTCAATTTTTTCCACAGATTGACTGTAACGTACATTTTCCTTTAGATCAGCCAGCAATGGTCCTCGTTCCCCATCGCCAGCGAACTCTTCACGAAGTAGTTCAGCTGCAAGCGCAGCTCGCGGAGATAATTCGGACGACGACAGACATTCTTCAAAGTCCGGAAGTAGCGCGAGCAGCAAAAAATCCAAATCCGGTTCGGCCGGTCGGTTCAGCAGAAATTCGCGTCGATCGAGTTCATCGGAAAGATCAAGAAGAACGAGAAATCGAAGAAAATCCGACGGGAATTCGTCAGATTCCACTGACAGCAGCGTGGATTCTTCGAGCAGGAAGAACAAGAATATCGGGAAGTCTGCCGACACGCAACCGGAAGCGATTTCCGACGGGGACATGGAATCCGACCAGGAAAAAGACGTTAAACCGGCGGAAAAAAAGGAAAAGCCGGCGCAACAAGAAATAAACATTTCTCACGAGGATTTATCGGACGTTTCCGATTTGGACGAATCGATCGGAGGACACTCGTTCGAAAGCGGCAAGGAGGACAAAGGTGACGACGCCAAAGATAAAAACGACGACAGTCAGGGATTCGACGAGGTAAAGAAGGCGAGCGAGAAAAACAGCAGGGCGGAAGAGGGCGAAGAGCAGCTGGACTTCGAAGCTGAGGACGGCGAATGCGGCGAGATCGAGTCCACGAAGGAGCCGGAAGATAAAACAACGGACAAAAAACTCGACGCGGAGCGGGAGGAAGGCGAAGAGAAGGAAGAGCCGAAGGAAGAAAAGGAGAAGGAGGAATTGGAGGAGGGAGAAGTGAGCGATGAAGACGACGTCAGACCGGAGGAAACCGAGCCGCGACCGGTTTGCAGGTTTTTCTCGAGAGGTCAGTGTAGAGATGTTTTTTCATTGTTTTTTTTATAAATGTTTTTTTTAATATTTTTAGTTTTTTTCAAGACTAGTTCCATTTGCCTAATTTATATATTTTCAGTCCAATTCATAGACTGAAATTTAGCCACTAAATGCCATTTAGTAAATGTACAGTTTCGGTCATAATTATTGCAACAAATGTAAATAAATCTAACTCTAAATCGCCTTTATTAATCTTTACAAAATTTTGAATAAAAATTTGATTATTTTGATTTGTACAAAATTTTCAGGGTATACTAAGAAAAATACGGTCTTTAACAGCATATTTTTTATTTACTTAAATTCCCCTAAAAGTTATTTTTCGAACGTTTTTTCATTAATAAATAAAAGGGCTTTAAAGATATTTTCTGGAAACACCCTCAAACACGTAAACTGAGATATAAGTATTTTTATCCAAAATTTTATAAAGATTATTAAAGGCGATTTAAGTCGTTTTTTCGCGTAAATACCATGAAATACTATGGTTAATAAACTTAACCTTGGTTAATAGTTAAGGCATTTTTGCGTTTAGAGTGCGTTCAAAAATCCTAACTATGACGTCACAAATACCAGACCATAAAACTATATCGATGAGCTAGTTATTCAACGTGGTTAATAGTCTTTCTCTTTTTAATATATATTTTTCTGTTTCGATCTGTCAAAAAGTTGTTTACATTTGAAATTTGAAATATTTTAAGTAGGTACAATTGCTCTTAAACCGAATTTAAACTTTGTATTAAAATGGTAAACGGGGTGTTGTCAGTAAAAATAAATGATAGGGTGCTCTATATTGTGGACTCTCCACAAGTGGAGGAATTATATGCAGGTTTGTTTTATATTCTTCCTTATTTTGTATTAAACATGTAGGAGAATTGGATAACGTGTATTGAAAAAACTAGTACCTATAGAAAAAGAATATACTAGGTATAAGATGAGGCAAAGAAATTTATTTACACCGGTAAAAGCATAGAAATTAAATATAAATAGGTAAAAACACATTTCAAAAATTATAGGTTATGAACAAGTAAACAAATGTCAAATGTTAGAAACCTAACCATTGTTATATGAATTAACTGTGACGTCATGACTTATTTAACCGTAGTATTACATAGTATTTACGCGAAAAAACGACTTTAGAGTTAGATTTTTTTACAGTTTGATTGAAAAGTAACTACAGTAAATTTAAAAGGAAACGACGTACACATCACAATCAGTTGATTGGGCACGTTTGTTAAAGTGATGGAAAAATCATTGCATTAAGTGAAAGTGGTAGTGCAACTACAGGGCGATAGATGGCGTTTACATGAATAATACCATAGGGTCCTTAGAATACCAAAATGTCAAAAGTCAGAGTTTTTATAACCTATATGATTCACCACCAAAAGTATGTTTTTAGCATTTATTCTGTTAAACATTTTAATGTATAACTAATAATAGTTATAGGTAACAAAGGTCCATTATTATCCTGTTCTGCCTCAAAATAGCGTATTAAGGATGATACCAACTTTTGACTCCCGACTATTTAAATTCTTCGGCATTTTAAATATAGAAAAAACAAAAAAAAACGATATAGGTATAACAAACAACAAAAAAAAATAAACGAAATTATACACGAATTAAACGAAATATTCATAAACACAACTGACAGCTTCGAAATTCTAAAACGTCAATTTCTTTTTTTATTCGTCATTTTATTATGCAAAATTTTAATTTAGAAGACATGACAACATTGCAATTGCTGCCAACTAAAGTTGTTTAGAATGCATCAAAATATTCAATTACATACTTCGTTTTATACATTTAGTATTGGTACCAGTGCGCAAAATTATGACGTCATCGATGACGTGTACGTCGTTTCCTTTTAAATAGTCGTCGCGGCGAAGATTTAAAATTGCGTCATCAATGTCAACTGTCAAAAACCGATTTCTTGACATACGTTTAAAAAACGTGAAATGTTAGGTTAGATAGTCAGTAGCGTATCATTTTGTGACATTTCAAGTAAGTTTTACATTGTTATTGGTTTCTTATGTGGAACTACCAAATAATAAGAAATCAATTTTTTGTTCTCAAAATTTTTAATAACAGGGCTCCCACACCTCCTAAAACTCATAAAATTCCTAAAATTTGGCTTAAATCTTGAAAACTCCTAAAATTCTCCTAAAATTGCATTCAATCTTCTAAAACTCCTAATATCCTAAAAATTAAATTTAAATAGGCCAACCTGACTGCGTTTAATTAAGGTAGTTGTCGCGCTAAAAAATTCTTTTTTAAAAAGTAATTTAAAAATATATATTTTCAGGTTCTATTTTATTAAATTCTTTCTAAAATGATATATCACAACCAAAATTTTTCTTAAAAAACAACGAAAAAACTTCTACAAAATTGTCATTTTTAGCCATATTTCTTTTGTTTTAGACAAAAATATACCGTGTTATAAAATATATCAAACAGGATTTTTAATTTTCTTTTAAATGACAGCTAAAATAGTAAACAATCTAATGATGTTTTGCTGTATTTTGCAAACTTCATATTTTGTTATGAGATTTTTAAGTATTAAGATCCACATTGCAATTGAATCGACGAGAATAAGAACATTACAAGTCCACAAATTTAATTTTGACAATTTATTTTCTAAAATTAATTTTAAAATTCAAAATACATTTTTGTGAGAAGATATAAATTATTTTACAGAGTATGAATATTATATTTTATAATATAGTTGAAATATTTTAACAAAAGTGCATTTTACTTTTGGACTTGTACTATTCTTAATCTTACCGATTCAATTACTGTTACTTATTAACTAAACAGTTAACATTTTTTTCTTAAAATATAGATATCATTTTATTTTGCCCTAGTTTTTTATCCAAATCTATCGACGCATTTTTTTAAATAAAGTTAAAAGTGTGCTGAAATTTATACTTGTATATATATGTACCTCAGATATATACAAAAGTAGTAATTTTACCTCACTTTTAATTTTATTAAAAAAAACTTATTTTTTAAGTAGCAAAGAGTTGTTTTTATTTAATTAAAGAAATTCATTTCCACACTTTTTTTCTCCTAAAATTTTACAAAAAACCTCCTAAATTCCTAAATAAAATTTGTAATTTAGCCGTGGGAGCCCTGCAATAATAATCACTTTATTCTTAATATACATTTTGCTCAAAATGTCATATTAAAAAAATACTCAATTTTTTAAGATTGAAAACCCGTTTTTTTACATCTTTAGGTCAGTGCACCTGGGGGGCGAGTTGCCGATTTTTGCATCCGGGCGTCACCGATAAGGGTAACTACACCATGTTCGAAATGATACGGCCGGTGGTGCCGGGCGAGTTTGGCAGGGCCGACGAGAGGATGTTCGGCAAACCGGAGCCGCCGCCGGTGGAGTCCGCATGGGAGAGAGGTTTGCGCACAGCCAAGGAAATGCTGAGGAAGTCCGTGAAACGGAAAGAGCAAGATATCGATTTCGAGGAGAAAAAGCTGAACCTTAGCTTGGCGCAGGAGGAGTTCGACAAAGAAAACGGGTATTACGGTAGAGGTTTGTCTCCCGAACCGAGATACGTGCGGCACATTCCGGCCGAGTATCCCCCCATCGCCAGACCGCCCCCCGAAGAGTATTACGGAAGGAGACAGGTTGTGTACGAGCCGGACTACGTGGTGCCGCCGCCGCCTCAAAGGGAAAGGGTGCGGTCCTATAGAGAGCTGCCGTCGCACAGGATGCCCGATTTTTACAACAACAAGTACGAGGAGGAGGCGGCGGCGGCCGCGAGCAAAAGGCCGCGCCCCAAGCGGGAGGTTATCGTGCAAAGGGTGGAGGAGAGGCCTGGGAGGGCCGACGACTGGTCGGATCCGTGGATGAGATCGAAATCGCCGGGGAGGAGGAAAGAGGGTGCGGGCGGTGGCGGCGGAGGTGGTGCTGGAGGTGGAGGTGGAGGTGGTGCTGGCAGAAAGCGATCCTACAGTTCAGGATCTAGCTATTCTTCAAGCAGGTAAGTCAAAAAATACAATTGTTACTTTTAACTTTTCTAGGGTAATTTGTTGTTATATTTTTAAAGGGAAGAGGGGTCAAGTGATAGCATATTTTAAAGGCCTTTCATTATTTTTCAAGGTCAGCTGGTTCCTTTTCAAGATATTTATTTTTCAATTTATTTTCATCTTAAATATATGAATATGACACGCGCGGTTGTTTTGAGTGCCATTTCTACAATTTTTATTTGATTGCGTTAATACAATAAAGTAGATAAATACCTAAAGTTACACAATTTTGTAAATTTCATTAAAATCGGACAAAAATTCGTTAAGGGACTTCATTTATGAATGTGTATATTTTTTTAAAGTTAAATTAGGACTCATATACACAAGACCAATGATCCATGGTTAAATTATTTAAAAAAATATACAGGATGTTTCACATTCTTGCTCCATGGTTTCTCCATGGGGGACAGAAAAAGGTATCGATTTGAAATTTTAACAACGTTTATAATCCATTCAAGTCAATTTTTCTAAAAATATTTTGAATAAAATGCCACTTCCGAATTAACCGGAAGTGACATAAACTTTGTTATTTCAAATAGAACACCCCATATATTTTTACATTTTATGTGGAATTGTCATATACCTAAAGAATAGTTTTTGAGTTTTTCTTTTTTTTCTTTAAAATTTGACAAATGCGCGTCAATCAAAAATAGCTTATAAATTTTTTGTTATTTGGTTTGCAGATATGGAGGTGAAATTGTTGGAATCTTAAAACTTTGTTTTAAAGATTTCATGTTAATTCTTTATCATTTTTCAACCAATTACCTAAGAAAACACAATAAAAATTGGGCTAACTTGAAACGTTAATAACTTTTTAATTTTAAATGTAACACTCAGTATGTTTATACCTAATCAAATAGTAAGTTGAAAAACCTTTTGTTTGATGTTACTATTCCCTATACTTAAAGTTAATAATTTTAGAGATATATAACATTTTCAAAAATTTTAAATATTACTTTGTATCAAGAAACCTGTGACGGGTGATTTGACGGTATCTATGGTTACCGCGTAATTTGTCATTGTTGTAAATTTAATGGGGTCAATTTTTCAGGTTATTAGAGTAATTGCATCAAAAATGAAAATCCCTAGAAACCTTTTTAATCTAATCTAGAGGTAAAAACACATTGCGAAAATATTTTTTTATATTCCAAAAGTTCAACCCGGCCCCAAAATATCAAATTGAAAAAAGGTACTTTTCAAACGTTTCCGAACTCCCGCTATATTGCATGACGTCATAAATCTACACCAGTGTCAGAAATCAAGATGTCAACAAATAATAAACACCGATAAAGTTTAACATGTTTTACATGTTTAACATGGAAAACGCGAAAATTGGTTGTAAATATTGTTTTGTGCCTTGTTGTACAAATACAACCTGGAAAACTCCTGGGAAAGTTGTCCCTTCAATTATCAAAAGCAAAGTTTATGACCCCACACTGAGAGCCGTTACGGCTCAGCCGTATTTTCTTGAGTTTATTATTATTTAACATACCTATTCCAACCACATACCTAGTAAACGACATTATATTTTACTTACATTAAAATGATCCTCGCAGCAATATAATGTTGACTGCGGTGACGATGTTTTGATATCGCGCCGAGCTATTTTAATCCACTTTATCCTTATTTTCCCTTTTGGCACGGTGATAAACCTTTTCCCAGGAGTTTTCCAGGTTGTATTTGTACAACAAGGCACAAAACAATATTTACAACCAATTTTTGTTTTCGTGTTTTCCATGTTAAACATAAACTTTATCGGTGTTTATTATTTGTTGACATCTTGATTTCTGACACTGGTGAAGGTTTATGACATCATGCAATATGGCGGGAGTTCGGGAACGTTTGAAAAGTACATTTTTTTCAATTTGATATTTTGGGGCCGGGTTGAACTTTTGGAATATATAAAAATATTTTCGCAATGTGTTTTTACCTCTAGATTACATTAAAAAGGTTTTTAGGGATTTTCATTTTTGATGCAATTACTCTATTTGTTAACTAATTATACAGTTTTTATCTGGACTCGTGTTTTGTTAGGTTGGTGGCTTATGCCAGTTTGACTTTAATGAAATACTTTGACACTGTCAAATTTACAATAATATTTATTATTGATAATTTACTTGTCAATTATAAATAACAAAAATAATTATGCCAAAAATAATAGCAACGAATTTGAATGTAAAAGCCCTTTTGAGGGCAAAACTTCATTTTGGTGAAATTATGCCAAATGCCACAATGAAAGAAAAAGTACATCGCCTTATGGACATTTTTGGAGTCAGATTTATAAAAAAATTGACAAGCCAAACATTTTTAAAATATAGACAGTATTTGCCAATTTTGAAGAAAAATTAACAAACCTGTAGAATGTCAACTATAGATGAAGCACAAGCTCATTAGAGACAATAAAATATAAGATTTATTTTATGAAATATTTTAATAAAAAAAAGATGTGTAACAATTTGTATTACTAATTTATTACTAAATGTTCAGTGTCCTCCATTTACATTCAAGCATTTTCTTCTTGACTTTCTGGGTCTAATATTGGAAATTGTTAAATATTTCTGAAATTATTTAATTTAGGTATGGGAAATAGTATTTACATCAATCGAAATGTTTTTTGATTTCCTATTGGATTATTTAAAAACAACACAACATTTAAAATAAAAAAGTTAATAAGGTTTCAAGTTAGCCTAATTTGCCATGGTTTTTCTCAAGTAATTTGTTGAGATATGTTAAAGAATTTAAATGAAATCTTTAAAGTCTAACATATAAGCTATTTTTGATTGACGCGTATTTGTCAAAATGGTTGTCATTTGACTGAGAATTTTATGTGGAATTAAAAATATATGGGGTGTTCTATTTGAAATAACAAAGTTGATGTCACTTGCGGTTAAACCGCAAGTGGCATTTTGTTTAAAATATTTTTTAAAAAATAGACTTAATTGGATTATAAGTGCTTTAAAAATTTAATGGACCACAAACGTGAAACACGCTACTACTAATTTGGATGTTTGCATAGAAAAAAACTTTTTTTCACAATATCTAGAAATCAAAGTCTAATTAAGCAAAATATTGGCCAATTTTTGAATCAACTCACCTAAATAACCCTAAAAAAGTTGTTGGCTTTCCTGTGGCACACAAAAAATGAAATTTTGTCGACCAGTGTTATTATTTGTATACTTATTATCTAACTTGTTTGCAGTTCGTCAAGTCGTTCTTCGGACTCGACCCGAAGCAGTTACAGATCGCGATCGAGATCGTCGCACAGACGCGGAAGGTCCCGATCGAGGAAGGGGAGACCCGTGTCGCCATCTGTAATAGTTTCGGAGAGAAAAGCGGCCAACGAGAGAGCGGCCGCCATGAATCCGCCAGCGCCGAAACGTAGAGCACCCTCTCCAAGTAAATTTTGTTTTGTCGGGAGATTCGAGTACTCTTTGAACAACGTGTTTTTCTAGGTATGATGAGAGTCGCAGCCGCAAATCCTCCCGCTCCTTCCTCGAAGGAAGATCAGTTCGGCAGAAACAGGAAACTGGCAGCCGCAATAGCGCGAGTCAAACGGGGCAGAAGGTCGTCGAAATCGTCTTCGGGCAGTTCGGATTCCAGCTCGAGCGATTCGGATTCGTCCGGCTCCAGCAGCTCATCCAGCAGGGATGCATCGCCTCCTCGTAGAGGACCAGGTAATTAAAAAAAAAACAGTTTAGTTTCATTTAACTCACAATTCGTGAGTCACAAAGGATGTGTAAACATTTGTTATCTTGGCTGGTACGAGCTTAGTGTGGGAAATATGAACGATTTGAAAGTTTTGGAATATTCAAAACAAAAATTTATCGTTTTCTACTCGTCAAACCCTTTCATTTTATACCCGTATCAAGGAAGTTGTGAAGAAATTGGGACATACAATTTCTTTTGGAATCTTCACATACAAGTTTGTCATTAAAATTTTTGAGAACGCCACATTGCACTCTGGTCCAGAAATCAAAAAAGGTGGTCAGAAGTCGATAGTGCACAGTATTTTAATAGATTCTCATCCCGCACGCATTTTATTTCAAAAAGTTAGTTTTTTTTTAATTAATCTTGATTTGCGATTCTTCTTTCTTGATTTTTTTATTATCTTTTACAAGATAATTGAAAAATGTTCTAGTCAGCTTTGTAAAGTTAGGGCTAAGTAAAAAGTTTCAGGGTATTATTGAGTTAGAAATTCCAAAATACAGGGTTTCAGAAAACCCGGAGATTCGTCATCCAAAAATAAGACAAAAAAATATTAACGTAAGTCCGGAAATGCTACTTTTCAAGATACGGGGTGGGGTGTTAAACATTAAAAAAACGACTTTTTTTCAAGCGGCCATGATATACAGTTGTATTCAATAAAAAAGCGTACAAGAATTAGAATGAGAGAAAACTGTCAAAATAATATTATTGCTTAAAACCGGCTTATCACTGACATAAGTCATTAAAATAATTACTATAGGTTATAAAGAGCATTGACGTCGTAGGTTAATTAAATAATATTACAAAAATTATTAATTTTTAATATAGATTTTTTATTTCTATTATACCACGGTACGAATTGACCATTCTTCTTCGATTCTTGATACTTTTTGAGCCTTTTTAACTGACGAGGCATTTTTATTTTCTACTGTCAGTTATAGTGACTTAAGTCAGTGGAAAGCCGGTTTTACGCAATAATGTTGACAGTTTTCTCTCATTCTAATTCTTGTACGCTTTTTTAATGAATACAACTGTACAACCTTATATGCCTGTATAGAGATAGTTGAAGTGCGTCTTTTTCATTAGCGGCAGACAAAAACTCAAAAAAGCCTAGGGATAGAATTAAATCCATAGGTGTCTCAATAGACGTAAAATAATAAAATTAATTTAGCATTTCATACAAAGCAATCACGATATATTAATTATATTAATTATAATCGCACGGAATATTTAGTGAATATTTATTAAATTTTAATTGGACGAAATAAAGAACAACTTGTTTATTAGTATAATATTATGATGATAGACAAGTCGCCAATGTTGGAAGTCCAAACAAATGTCAGTACGTCAAAATTAATTCAAGCGCAGCATTTTGACAGAGCAGTGTTTATTTTTAGTTTAGGATATTTATCGGCATTTATTTAGTTTTTATCAATAATTTCTAATGCTTTTAGCCAAAATTTTATACCACATGAGTTATGAGTAAATAAAATAATTCTATTTCTTATCCTATTTATATTACGCCCTTGAAAAAAAAATTGTATATGTTATTCGGAGTAGAAGCTCTTTTTGTGCTTCGTATAGTTGCCAGCCTCAGCTACGCTGCGACCGTCAATCTCTTTACTCACCACAAAAAGAGTCACTTCTACTCCTTATGACATAATCTACTATTTTAAAACATCTTAAATGAGCAGCAGACTTCCAAATGCGTTTTGTCCAAATTACATTTGGAAACACAAAGTCTGGAGTGAAGTAAATGATAAATTTTGAGCAGAATTCATGATGCCAGTAAATTTTAAAAAGGAGTCCTCTATTAATAACTCAACCACAAAAACATTTGTCCTTTAAAAATTTCAGAAATCTGAAACAAGATGCATACTAAATGCAGTGTTGTTACATTACACTAGTAACTAGTAATTTATCCCAAACTAGTAACTATAACTGTAACTAGTTACAATTTTTGAGCAACCAGGGGTGTTAAGATACATTTTTTAATTGAATACCTACACATTGACTAATATTTATTCAGTTTCTGAACGCATTCAACAGTGTGAATATATTTTCTAACAAATCTACTGCCATTGAATAAAAAAATCTACCAAACCTATTAAACATGTTGTATCACCATCTATGTTTGTCTGTAAAAGTAAAATATGTATGTGTATAAGATACTATCTGTATCTAGTTACAAATTTTGTTAAGTAACTGTAACTAGATATTGAAAATTATGTAACTATTACAACACTGCCTAAATGCTCGCGGACAAAACTTAGTTTATTTGAAAATAAGAGACTCTTTGCTGTTTTATAGTAAAACACAAGACATTTCAGCAAGTTAAACTTGATTTAAAAAATTAATTATTCTACTTTTAATTAAAAATTGCAAATTCTATTAATTTTACTTACGCATTTTGGAAGTCTGCTCTTCAAATATTGTTTGCCTGATTTTGTTGAAATTTTGCCACGTTATTTATAGGGTTTGCCAATTTTCTCCAAAAAGGCTTGATTTATTAAAAAATAATAAAAGGTAGTTTTTGATTAACTTTTTCAAGTGCGGCACAGCTAGAAACCATGGTTTTGAAATAATCATATAAACTATAATTTTTGATGTAAAAAATGTAATTTCTTTAATATTTGTCAAAACATTTAACATACGCCATGTGCGAAAAATTTAATCTGGCATAATGCATATAAAGGAAAAATCATAAAATCTGTTATTTTTTCTTTAAAAAAATGTAATTATTAGAATAATATTTCTCAATCGCCTTATTTCCTGATTAGGTGATGTGTTATGGCCCCTTTGGTCTCCTGATTTGTCATCATGTGATCATGTGAAGCAAACATTACAATTGTTATGATTGTGCATGATGGCACAATAAATAATAAAAATTTAAAATCGAATAAAATCTGTAATATTTGGATTTTTTAAATAAAATTTTAAATTTGTCGATAAATTATAGTAGATAATAAATTGCACCACTTTAATTTGAATTATCTCAAATAGGGGGGCCTGGAGACGGGTGAGGCGACAGGAAAAACTAACTTTTTTCGCAAACTTCAATTTAAATTCTGTTTGCGCCGAACTTGTTTATTTAATGACATTATAAACTATTATAAATTTGGTGTGGGTCCCATGTCTAATAACTGAGATATTGGTATACATAAAATCCACCAGCCGCCACTGCTGGAAACTACTAAATAATAAGAAATTAAATTTTCAACAATGGAAAATGTAATATATTCTAAATTTCACTTTATTATTAATATACATTTTGCTCAAAATTTCACATTGAAAAAATACTCAATTTTTTAGGATTGATATTTATTGACAGGATATGCTTTATTGTAACGGATTTAAAAAAATAACAAAAATGTTTTTTTTTCAAATCTGTTTTTTACATCTCTATCTCGTACCACAGAGCCATACTGCCGTGCTAAGCTATCATTTTAATTGTTAAAAACAATAAAATGTGCATTTTCTCCTTTATTTCTTAATATAGTATGCAGCATAGTATAAATGTTTACACATTTATAACAATAAAAATGATGAAATTTGTGGCATTACTCATAATTTAGGTGTGGATCTTTCGATAGTAAAAGCTATGGACGCCATAAAAGGTAGCGCTTCGGACAAGGGCCGAATCAAGTTGAATCTGAAGCACCCGGTGGGTGCAAGAAAGGAGTTGGCCGAGTTGGCCAGGAAGGCGGAGGCTGCGCAGAGCAAGAAACGCGCAGCCGCCTCGCCTCCGCCAAATGACCCGAAATCGAAGAAGGCCACTTCCAGGAGGGAAGAACTGCTGAAACAGCTGAAGGCGGTAGAGGATGCGATTGCAAAAAAAAGATCAAAAGTAAATTAATACGTTTATTATTCGGGTTGAATTGTTGAAAGTAATTATTTGACAATGTGATATCACATTTAGAAATGTATTCCTCTGGTGTGTCAGGTTTCTAGATGTTTTCAAGTTAGACATAGTCCGGCTGGAGTATTGTAAATGTAACATTGTGACGTTTAGGAATCATCAATTATAAATGTTAGCAGTGACTTTTAGCAGAGTCCTTTTTGTCAATGTAACTTAGTTAGGTGCTTTGTTAGTTTACATGTATATGACTGACTTAAAATGTTTATTTACTTATATTGTAAGTACATAAATAAAAATTGTGTGACGAATTATCAAATATTAGATATCTAAGATCTAAGATATTTTTTATTATAATTTTTCATGCAAGGTTATTTTTAATTAATCTTTCTTTTATAAAATTATACACATTAGCTATGTTTAAGAAAATAAATTTGAACTTCTACACCAGTTTTATTATTATTCCCATTTTATTCCATAAACAAACAAGTGTTGCACATTTGACCTTTAAATTTCATGATTCGTATTTTAAAAATGCATTATTAATCCAATTTCCCGTTTATGAAATATACACCATGGTGCATAGACAGTATATTCTCATATTTTTATGTTAATAACAAGAAAAAACAAGTTATACTCTAAGGGATTATATGAAAATTTAATTAATATATTTATAATAAATAAATAAATAAAAATTTTATTGCATGTTGAATAGGTACCATACAGAACATAAAATAAAAAATATACAAAAAGCCATCAACTGGGGTCCTTCAGCCTATATATTTATAATATTTATTATATGCTCCACATTAAAAAGGCTACCTTAACATTTGAATACAAATAATTGAGGTTGTCTATCTGTCAGTTTAACTGATTTTGTCTTATTTTCTAAAAATAATAAATATATTTTTTGTGTAAAAAGTACTTAATTTAGAACACAAAAATACATACATATATTCAGTGTTGTAACAGTTACAATATATTTAGTATCTAGCTACAGTTACAGTTACTTACCAAAATTTGTAACTAGATACAGATACATATTTTATTGCAGTAACTAGTTACAGATACAGTTACGTTCAAAAAGTATCTACTTTAAGATACATACAAATTATTTTTTGCTTTAAAAAATCTAAAATAGCAATAAAAGGGAATTTTAAAGTGACAACAAAAATATACATGTTAATTAATTTAATTTTTTTTATAATATTTAATTTATAATAACTTATTTTTTATAATATATTTTTTTAAATAAATAATAGTCGCAGTTTAATTAAAAATGTATCTTTGTATCTTAACACACCTATAGTTACTTAGAATTTGTAACTAGTTACAGTTATAGTTACTAGATTGGGATAAGTAACTAGTTACACAAACAGATACATAAAAAGTATCTAGATACTGTATCAAGTTACTTGTAACTAGATACGTTACAACACTGCATATATATATAGTATTATATATATATATAGTATTATTTTTGGAAAACGAAATTAGCGTTAACTAGATAACTCAATTATTTGTATTAAAATTTCAAGGTGGGACACCGGGTGTTATAAATTTTCCGGAAAAATGGTGAAATTTAAGAAGATAACTAGTTTTCCTATTTCCCCCTTTGCACGCGCAAGAGCTAATTATAATAAAATAATATATTATATTTTTATATTAATAGTATATGAGAGATAATGCGCATTATCTCAAAGGTAGTAATATGCTTTTTCTAATTTTAATGAATAACAATTGTTATATATCAAGTTTGATAAACGGCATTTTTAATTGAGGCACGAGCGCGCTTGCGAGCATACTATACTTTTTCTAGGACAAATACCTACTTAATAATATCAAAAAATGATTTAAATTAAATAATTGTGTAGAGCGACATCTATAAAACAATAGAGTAACCAACTTTGGAATCTGTAAAATGTCAAATCTTTATGTATAAGTCGAATTGTATCCGTTGAAAATGGACCGTTTAATTCGATATAGAAGCAGTTTTTACAGTGAAAGTAAAGAAAATTTTTTATTGTCAGTCCACGGTGGATTCTTCACCCGAAATTAAGTTAAATCTAATTTACTGCCGGCGAAATTAAAAGGTCAGTACAATTTTCACATAAACTTATCAAATATTGGCGTTGAGAAACTATTTAATACTTTTGTATTGAGTTAATGAAATAATATTAACATTTAGTATTATTTTACAAGAAGTGCACTTTATTTTAACGATTGTATGACATTTGACAACTGTCAACTAACTTCAGCCCGTGACTAAAAACCTGTTGCTAACTTCAGCCCGTGACTAAAACGCCCCGGGCCCCCGGTCCAGAAGGGCCCCCAAATCTTAAGTAGTCTTTCTCAGTCCAACAAAAAACTATCTAAAATTTAGTGATTTAAAATTTCCGGAAAAATTGAGCCGGCGAAAAAAAACGGTTTTTTTCCGGAAAAAAAAAACTGGGAAATTTTCATAAAAATTTTTTAAGGCCTGTTTTTTTCCAAATTTTTTTGATTTTTTTCGAAGTCAAAACTAAAAAAGATTTTTAATATTTTGGTCTCGGGAGCCCCTAGCTGCAATCCATCAGGAATATATAATTACATTAGTGCACTCATGAGTGGGCCCCTCGATCTTAAATTTAAATTATTAACAAATTCAAATATAAGTATACTGGATTTCATTATAAATTTTTATGCCATTTAAGGTAGGTAATTTTCAAATGAATTTTAAGCAAAAATCGTAAGTATTATCGAAGTTCAACAAGGACCCTTTTTGTGTCAAAAACCTCAAAAAACATCAAATCCTGGAACAAGACACGTACAAAAAACTTAGGGTAGGTTTACCCTTACTCCCTATATATCTGATCCACGCCTCATGGAAAATTTGAAATTGTTATTATTATATCTTATTGGCCATAAAAAGTTTAATCATTTCCCAAAATTTCACGTTTCTATCCTTAACGGTATTGGAGAAATTAAATAAAAACCATCTTCAGGGCCTCCTCTTTCGGGGGCTTTAGCTCCCTTAGGAAGCATTTCTCAACATGCATTTATAGGATTTTTTTTCACATTTTTGTATGTAGAATCTGCTGTTAAAGTACAGCCATTCCACGTTACTCGGGAATTTTTGTAGCGTCCGTTACAATCAAAAATTGTGAGTAAAACTACCGTAATTATAATCATATATGATGCTTATAAGCTTAAGCCTAATTATTACAAGCATAATAAACATGTTTGTAATAGTAACTATTGTAATAGTATTTAATTAAATTACGGTAGCTTTTACTCACAATTTTTTATTGTAACGGACGCTACAAAAATTCCCGAGTAGCGTGGAATGGCTGAGTATTGCACATTAAATATGGGACACCCTGTATATTGAAATCAGCCAATCACTGATGCCTAAAAACGTGAATAATGAGTTGGTTATTCCTGTTTTTGTGTTTTAATGGTCAAGGTCCTCAATTGATTGTTTAATTTCTGTATAACTACGCATTGAACAAAATGAAGGGTTCACAAAGGTGAGAAATCTATAATTAGGTATCTAAATGTGGAAGTTTAATCAAAGACAACAATCTCTGGCTTAACCTTACGTTTTTGTAGACAAAAGATAGGGCCACGTCATTGAGTTTTACGGGGCACTAGAAAAAGTATGAGCCGCCTCTGGCTTGTGCGAGAAAGAGCGCACGCCGAACAAGTAGAGAGAAAGACAGTAGTAGAGTAGTTTTGAAAACAACAGTGAGTAAGTTGTGTATTTGTGTTTTCTGGCTTTAGCGGTGCCGATATGGATGCACCATTACGAGAGCAAGTGATGATCAACCAATTCGTGTTGGCGGCTGGTTGTGCTAGAGATCAGGCAAAACAGCTCCTGCAATCAGCCCATTGGCAATTTGAGGTAATCATTTCAATTTGTAAACAAACAGCCGTGCACGAGAATAAATATGGCGTCGGGTTTCTCCCCTCCCCCCGTCATTCCTTGTCCTGGGTTGAACGTTTTATCGACTTGCCGATTTGGTCAAGGGCCCCAAGGTCAAAAGCACACTTCCTTCCTGTTATTTTTGGCCCTGATCCCGTCTTCCTAATGCCAAGTCCCTGGGTTCCAAGCCGTACCCATCACGACTCGCCTACGTAGATAGGTCATGTGACCAAAATATTTATATAATAAGGAATTTGATGTGTAAAATTATTATTATCAATACTATATTAATAAATAGGTACCCATGTATATTGTTTCGGTTCATGTAGTCACGCCAATCGAAATATTCCGCATTAGTGGACAAAATGGATAATCTATTTCAGTTGATATTTTTTATTTATTTATTTAATTGTATATAGCTATTTCACTGTAAAATAGTTTAACAAAAACAGTTCTGTGTAAATATTCCAAAGGCACTACTTTCACATCTCAAATAAAACAAATAAAAACTAAGTAGGTTACATAAATATCCAAACAAACTTATTTTAAGGAATTTTGTTCTGTTTTAAAATTAAGTAAAAATTCTAGCAGATACCTACTGGCCGGTTCCGGTGTTGCATAATTTTAAACAGTTCTAAATATAAGTTTTTAAATTTATTTCGCAAGAAAATCATTAACAGGTGTTTAACTTAACCTACCTAGTATAAAGCAAACGACCGCAATCCAAAGTGCAGCATGTCATTGTTTAATTTTGGGCTGTTTTAAAATTGTAAATGTTGAAAATAAATAGTGATAATTTTATATTATGTAGATAACCTTTTAGGAATAAATTTAGTTAAGTTTACTTTACCACAATAACAAATTTTATCTCCACGCGGTCTATAATTTAAACTTTATTGTTGTCAACATTCGATAAAGAAATACCTTGTTATGGCCTAGGCCGATAAAAATTTTTATGAGGCAAGTAATTAGTTCGATTTTTTCTCGCTAGGGGTATTGTTTTGACAAATTAATCCTTTTCTAAGAAATTAACGTACTAAACTGGTTTAATTTATTTATAATAAGCACTAATTTGTTTGTTTTACTGTTATAACATTATAATGTTTAATATTTTTCATTAAATTATTGTAAAATTAAATATGAATAATAAAATAAAAAGTGAGGTTAGGACATTGCAATTTGACGTTTCACAGTTGTGTTTTCTTTTTCTACGATTTAAATTATCTTTAAATTTTAATTTGCTTTAAGTTTTCAGTAAAATTAAATGTTAAACACAGCGTAAACATTCCAAACTACCTATTTTTTAATAAAAATACAAACAAATTGAAATTAGATACCTATGTATTAAACAATTAATTGAATTCAATGTAATAGCCACAGGGTAAGTAAACCATTTTCTTACAAAAATCCATTTCTACTTAAATCATGTAGCTAGGTATTGCAAACTATTACTGCTTCTAAAAGGAATAATAATTATTGTACATTTAATGTAATCTTTAGCTAATAAATAAATGAGATTAAAAAAAGTGAGGTTATGCCACTTTCATGTTGAATTAAATTGACCTATATAAAGTGCTTTGAAGATA